ACAGATTTTCTAATCTTCATGGCTTGCCTGAGAGGAGGAGCTCTTCAATTAGTCGTTATTGTTCTATCTGTGCCGTTGCCGGCACTTCATTTTCTCCCATCTATGTACAGTAAGCGGCATTGAAAAAGCCTGAACCATGCCATTAACTGTAGCATCCAATAAAAAGCTTTAAGCGAGTTTATTCAACATTTTATCCTGCCTCATTGATTACTACCATCTCCTTCAACAGCAACCTTATCGAATCGGCTACAAGGTCATCCGGGATCTCACCCAGCCGACAACCCAAAGTGGCAGCTGTCAAGCGGAAAACCGGTCCAGCACAATGAAATAAAAAAGGCCCCCACCGGGAAAATGGCACGCCGTGCTCTAGAAGAAGCTTTTTTGTTGAAAAGCGTGGGGAAGAGAAGGGGTAGGCCAGGGGGGTTCGGAGGCATAGATAAATAGATGTACTGTTCCGTTCCCATCAACCTTAAACTTACCTTACATCTGCATTTCGCTCGCGAGCCGGTGAAGATCGATCAATATTGGAGGTTATAATCTTCTAGGAAGCTTATATTGCAGGTGTGTTACTGGATTTGAGTTATCATTAGTAACAATTCCCAACTCGGTAATCCTACCACTGGACGAGCGATGTACACAATACCCCCAATTGAACTTACCCCAGTGGAGTCATATTCTACACTTGTCACAAGTGTGTATCCCTTTGAAGCGTTTCGAATCTAGAATAGAATGTTAATAAAACCAACTTAGGAGCCCGAATCCATAAATCGTACTACGATTACAACCCCTCACGGACACTCGCAATAATCGCAACCGCTCTTTATGCCACGACATGCACCCTCCATATACTCCAGGTAGCTCGTTATCGTGCCTGGTACTTCTCCGTTATCATTGTGGCCGGTCTTAGTACTGCCCCCCCATCACTTCCTATACCCACGGCAACTAACAACATAATATCAATAGTGGAAACATTCGGATACGCCACCCGTGTACTTTCACAGGCTGATGTCTTCAGTCGGTATATATTCCCTTGCCAGTGAGAGAAATAATACCAGCTGATGTGAGTGATAGCGGCCTCTTCATCGCGCAGTTTTCTCTCGTCGTCCTAGCCCCTGTTCTCATCGCCGCCGCATCTTACATACTCTTTGGGCGCCTACTCGAAACAGTCCTCCCCGGAGGTCGCAACGCGAGGTCCCTAGGGGTACCGGCAAGATGGGTCACTTGGATATTTTTGACGGGGGATATAACGTCGTTTGTGCTGCAGGGCATTGGTGCGGGGATAATGAGTGGTGCCAGTGGTGGTGTGTTTCTTCCGACCGAGTAAGAGAGCTAGATGGAAGCTAATATAGTGGCGGGAACTTAGGCACGAATATGAAAAAGATGAATACGGGCCGAGACGTCATGTTGACAGGATTGGCTGTGCAGATTGTGACTTTTGGGTTTTTTATCGCCGCAACGGTCAGATTCGATTTCAAGTCAAGGTCTTTGGCGACGTTGGGTTTGGCAAGGCCTAGATGGAGGATCCTCCTATGGGCATTGTATGCCAGCTCGGTTCTCATTATGGTTTGTCCAGCCCTTCCAAGATTGGCATTCGCGAGTAAGCTGATAAATGTGCGGGGTTAGGTGAGGAGTTGTTATCGTGTAGCAGAGTTCTCGCAAGGATGGACAGGATATTTGGCTTCGCATGGTACTGATATCTATCCCTTTCCAGATTTCCCGCTCTGCTCTTTTGACTAACAGAAAAAAAATAGAGGTCTACTTCTACTGTCTAGAAGCACTCCCGATGTTCCCATGCTTTGTAATCTTCAACATATTTCATCCATCGAGGCTACTAGACACGGTAGGAAAGGAGGACGTAGTTGTTGAGGAGGGGTCCGGTGTGGGTTCCATGGAGGAGATGAAGGTATAGAGAGAGAGAGAGAGAGACATATATTCTTTTTAATTGGGGATGAAGTTAGTTTCTGTAAATATTTTTTGGAGTAGGAACCCAGTGCTACTAGATCTAGAGAACCAGGGGTACTCACTGTAACAATGTGACGGCAAATGAAGTGTTAGAATCATTTAGATACGTACACGTGCAGTTGAAGGGGTAGCCGCCCAGATAATTAACCCCCCCCCCCCCTCTCTAGGCCCTTTCTCCGCAGGGTCTCATGCAAGTCTACCACTTATCGCCGTTCTGTCATTTGAAGTTGTTCAACAGACATGTCGAGACACCAGGTAGTAAGTGAGTTGTGATGGATTACGGGAAGAGGTGACGTCCATTCAGGTAATGGGTACATGTAGCGTTGTCGTGTACATACAAGGTTGACACCTATGTAAACTCCGAACAAATAAATCAACGTCAGTTGTAATACAGATCAACCCGATATCTGACGCAATTCGCGAGTCCACGAGTATCATTAAGACAATAGGTCTAATGTCTTCACAGCCTGGTGAAGGGGCCCAGCGCCCACTCGTTGTTCTTCCCACCGGATGGATCAATATAAATGCCCAGAACAACACCATACACACCCTTGCTGGGAGTGATGCAATATCATGTGCATCCCCTGGCGCATCCCTTACCACCTTCGCTATTGTCAATTTGCTCACTTTGTTTGGAGCGTTCATTCTAGGACGTGCGACATTTCGCTCGCGGTTTCTCCCCCGATGGCTGTCGGAACCCTGGAAGAATGACCGAAATGACTCTATCCCTCAACCGGAATCGTTCTTACGCCCAAGAGTTTTTATTCCAGCTTTGATTATGATTATACTAGAGTTAATCTCGACGATGGTTGGTGCATATCTGGCTTATAACACTGGGCTTTTGGGGCTACATGCCGTGATCCTTATGTCGCTGGCAAGGCCGAGAGGTACTTGGATTACTATTGTGGTATCCTGGTGTTTTGCGAGAGTGATGAAAAAGCTCGGTGTTATTAAAGATAGAAAAATGTGGATGGGAAACTACCAATCCAGCCATTTCACCATGATAGCTTCGGAGATTGTTTTGGAGGTAATCGGAGTGATCCCAACAATATACCTTCTAGGCACAGTTGCAGGTGTAGGAAGAGGCGAGACGACGAGGGCTTCGGATCCCTATACGAGGCTGATGTACACTGGCGCATTTGTTTATATTAATGGAATTGCTATATCCACCAGCATATTCGGGATTGCAGTATATCTGTGGGTCAGAAAAAGGTTCAATAAGCAACACACTGGGAATGGGAACAACATGGAGGCTCGACTGAAAACTGTTAAAAGAAGAAGACGGCTGATCATGATCTGTTTGTTCACATTTGGTTGGATTCCAGCTCTAGGCAGTTGGATGATTTGGACCGGATTTGTACACGCCGCAAAGGATTAGTATGTTGAGATATCCAACTGAAGGTGACGGAGGCTAACATTATTGGCTGTAAAGCTACTGTTCGAAAAAGCTGGTGGAAATAGGTGTGGTCTGGGTAGTTTGCACTTTTCTAAGTACATAGCCATAGTTCGAACTCGTTTTCTAGTCTTGAGCTGATAAACTAGGGATCCTCACTGGGGCCGGTTGATCGAAGGAGACATTTCAGTTTACCACTACCCAGAATGGGATTGTTTGGATACCTGTGAACGTTAGAACGGTTTTTCGGGGTTGTGGGAAGCAAAGACTCGCTTTGAGGACAGGGCCCATATTTGAAGGGACAAACGATCGTTTTTGTGGGGGCGTTTGGGGATCCGGTTTGTTTTGGATTAAGACAGGTAGAATATGCTAGCAGAAATGCTCGCTGATTAGCGGACTGAATTGGGCTGCTTGGCACCGTACCAGAAAATAAATGTTATTTTGCAAGGTTCTTGTGAAGAAATACAAAAATGAGATCTTTGTTCGGAGTTACCTCTTATTGGGGGTTGAGGACAGGATTGCTGCGTTCCGTTCGACTTATAAACGGACTATTGAAATTACTGAACCCCAGGCTCCTCTCGACCTGTTCACCTTGCTCCGGAGCCGGGGAAATGGCAAAGAGGATCATAATGCCGTCTTAGCTACGGCCCGTATGAGGCAACGGTACTGATCTACTTTTGAAGCACGGCGGTCTAATTGGTCAAGCCGAGACCGGAAAGATATAAGAGTAAAAAGATCGTCATGCATGAGACCATCCGTTGCAAGACCGGATGAGTACAGTACAGGAACCAAACAAAACCCATTAGTCTAACACTCTGGAAGAAGGTTTAATTTTATATCGGTGTTTGAATTCATTCGTTCCGTCGATAAGTATACAAGGGTATCGCATGCGGCTAATGTTATAGTGTGGAGAAGGATTCTGTTCACACTCCTCGAGAGAGGCAGGAGCGGACATGATCATGAAACATGTACCACGCAATATCGACCGAGCTTATGGGAGGCATGTCTGTCTCATCGATGTCCTTATGGAAGAATATCAATCTCACAGTCGAATAGAGGCATAAGAAGCAAGGATCAAGACTTGCTAGGATGATAGGGCATACTGTACTGGCTTGTCAGGAGCAATAATGCTACCCACAGTTACACAACGCTAACCCAAAATACCTGCTACTAATTGTCGCCAAGCGAAAGTTAAATTACAACCGATTCCGAATCCATGTAACTCGTGCCGCATGCTCCAAGCCGGCGCGATTCCTAAACAGGACAATCGTAATAATTGCCACCTCTGTCTACTACTCACAAGGTATCACTCGATTGGAAAGCATTGTTTGGCAGGGATAAATGATGTGGTTCTTGGGTTTGATTGCCAGCACAGATGGTCGGAAACTATTCGCAATAAAACTTTGTACTCAATTGGGCGCTTACTATATGTATAACGTCATGTACAAATGTTTCTTCCGGATAGTTACAAGCATCTTCCGACACACATACACAAACACACACACACACCCAAAAAGAGAACTCGTGTCTTTAGATGAAATCTTCTCGAAAACTGTATCAGGTTGATCTAAGTTAATATCCATTGATGAAAAATAACCGAAAGGAAACTCACGGGATGAGAAGTAAGTGGACCCCAGATCATCTTTCAAACGTATGTTGCGCCATAGGAAGCAAAAAGTTGGTGGTAGTCAACGGGTGGAACCTTAGTAGCAACATTAATGCCATTGAAGTTCCGTCGTTGCAAAGCCTCCAAGCCCGCCCCTAAGCGTGGAGGCGAAGGAACTGGTTTCAAAATAGGACTAGAAGGGATAATGACTGCCTGTTTACCAAAGCAACGGCCCGGAAATTTCATATTTTTGACCTTGTTCCAGAGAGCACTGAGCACACTACGGGAGTAGATACTAGATTGTTTCTGGGGAGCATCCGCAATAGTGGGGAGGATATCAAGTGACTGTGAAGTGACCAGTGAAGAGGGAGCCTTGGGAGACCCAAAAGAAAAGAAGCACTTGAAGGATTGAGCAAACGATCTATCCTGATACAGTGATGGTGGAGGGGGTATCCTTCTAGCTTTCGCAGTTCTCATCTGAGAGAGTGTTCTGGAGCGGGTACACTCAAACTTCATGTAGGGTTGACCTGTAGAGTGTAAGGAAAAGAAAGAAGCGAAGAGAATTAGGTTCAAATTTACGAGAAGGCCCACCTTCGCTACCCGAAGAGGGAGGTGGCTTAACGGCTGCTGCGACGGTCAGGATATCGCCCATAGAACGGGAACGACCGTGCGGCTTGTTGTTTGGGCCTGCGTCAAGCACGTTGTAAAAACCAGCTCTTGACCCTGGTGCTTCAGGTTCATCGGGGTTCTGACCTCCACGATAACGTTCTAATGCTGTCAGATCATTCTTTGAACATAATGGTGGCTTTGGGAATTGATATACCAGTAGCCTGGTCAAGGGTTAAAGGGGCTTGACCATATACACGTGAGTCACTAGTAGATGGATCGGCAGCGAGGTAAAAAGGACTATCAGACTTCGTGCGAAAGGCAACGCCACTCTGGCTGCGGCGGCGAGAGGTAGGAGGGGAGTCATTGTTTTTCCTGGTTATGAACCTTTCATATGAGTTGACATAGTCCTCCGAATCTATAGCTTTGGTTAATAACGGGGTAGAAGGTTAGAAAAATAAATACAAATACATGCCTGTAGAAACATAATCGTCCTCATCTTCTTCTTCGGGCTCGTTCTCGACCTCGTAATCGTTGTGGTTGGGCAGAACGAACCGGAGAGCCGGAGGGGACTTCTTAGGCAATGTTTTCTTTCCAAATAGATCACGGCCAAAATTGAAGTTGAAATTGCCCGCCATGATATAACAGTTTCCGACAATCCAGAAATGGTAGACGGGGTGTGAGGGGTGGGGGGGGGGGGTAAGAGTTATTTTTTTATGAAAATAATTTTACAAGAAATAGGGTGACTGCCCGAGTGGTGGGTCTTTGCTCATTCTATGTGTGCGCCTTTTGCCTAGCACCAAAAGGATCGGAGTTGACGGTCCTATGTAGGCTGCTACATTGCTTTTCTTTGGGTATGTAATCGCCCAGGTAAGTTGTGTGTGCAGCAATGCAGAGCGACCAAAATCGGAGGTCTTGAGAGGGATGGCTGGAGTTTTATCATTGGCACCTTGACGGGCGGTCGACAACTTGTAATAGATGGCCGTCAAAGCCGTATTTACAGTTCCTAAAGGAATAAACATTTCTTTCTACATTGTTTTAGTAAACTCTCCATGGTTTACCAAATCCTTCATACATATCATTCCCAGGTCTTAACCAGCTAAACCTAAAAACGTTAACATTACAAGAAGTACAAGTACATGTACCTGTAATGGATCAAGGTGCATTTGGGTAAAATTCGTGTGGGTGATTGAACGGGATTTTTCTAGGAAACAGAGGGGGTTCGCCAAGAAAGTTGGAAGGCAGCGCGATATAATAACCTCCCCTCATCCTGAAAAATAAAATCCTTCTTCTCCTTCTCACCACCCACACCTCACTGTCTTTTCATCAAATCAGGTCATCAAATCTATCAGCGTAACTCTCCAGGACGGGCACTTAGGTGCTTTGTCTTTGGGGACAGTATTTTTGGTATCTTTCCTCTAAATTCTTCTCTTTCACAATTAAGAAAACAACCACAGTTTCTCGCGTCTTCAAGGTAAACAAACAAAACGCCCTTCCATTAAGCAGCCCCCCTTCCCCCTCTTGTTTTTTGCCCCTTCATTTTATGATATGATCCTCATCATTAAAGCCTTTTAATACTTCTCATCTAAGTAGAACCTTCCTCTATATCTGCGGAATACAGAAGAGGAGATAAAGAAAAGAGATACAACTATCTAAAGAAGATTTATTTAGCAGCACGGTGCTCTATCAATCAAGCTAACCCCTCAATAAAACGAGTATATAGTGATAAGGAAAAGGTTGTGCCGTAAGTTCCTCAATTCTTTGATTCCTCACAGCTCGATTCTAATATTTTTTGTGGCTACAGGCAACTATGTCTTCGGGACATATTAGTCCTTCTCCTAGAGGGCGTAACGTCCCCTTTTCACAGTGGTTCATCGATACGTTTGAATGCGGGCATGTGTATAACCGTTTGGTTAATGAACTAGTTTGGTTGCCCTACATTCCTGGAATCAGCACAGATGAATCCTTTATCGGGGAAACCCGTCGAAGGAACATGCAAGACAAATGCCACGAGTGTGATGCTGCGGAATACTTCAAGCATATCAAGTCCTCAAACGCCGAAGTCTCTAACTGGAGAGAACAACTCAAAATACTTAATGAGGATGGAAATAGGGAAGGTCAAAGCGTGGGTCCCAATACAAGACTACCTTCTCCAGTCGATAGCAACCCTCTTTCGTCTCTGCTCATGCCAATAGTTGATGATTCAACTCCGGCGGTGGACACTGGCTCCAACCAGCGCACGCTAGTTATCTCTCGTAGCGACCCTCCTTCGTCTCCACTCATGCCAATAGTTGATGATTCAACTCCAGCGGCGGACACTGGCTCCAACCAGCGCACGCTAGTTATCGCTTTCGGAGATTTCCCTGCCCAGGAGTTCCCGATCAAGCCCAGCGAAGGGACCCAAACCCCAACAACTGCGGCTCCTCGCAACAACGTTCAAGAGGAAAGTCCCGCGACAGTCGCTACAAGTACCCCCGGAAAGACCCCAGAGCGGCTCAGCTATGCTGATGTTCTCAAACGCAAGCCTATTACCCCACGCCCGGAACGCGCAGAAGCCGGCTTGATGACGGAAACGCCTGCGCTTCAGGGTGTCGAGCCAGTCAAACCTCCGGTTCGACCAAGATTGGTCTTCAAGGGTCGAGATCTTGCATCTAATGAACCGTCTTCTTCGGGGGTCGTTCCAGCTGAAGATGAACCCAGAATTTCTCACGGTGTCGCTAACACGAGAACGAATATCCCGCTGTCCGAGACTTCTGAGTTCGTTGAGGATGACCTTTTGGAAAGGTAAATACTCACCCAAAAGAAATTGATATTCTCTGACAACGACTTTCCGACTAACTTCTACAGAGTCCCATTCTTTCAAATGCCACAACGCAGGAAGCATGGCGAACCAAGCGGATAGAAACGTAGTGGGGTGTAAGGGCCAGAGAATCGAAATGTTAAAAAGGAGGTCTGTATTTGGGAATTGGTTTCCACTACTTTTGTACCCTTGTTAGTGAGTTAGTTGGTTGCAAGTGTTCAGTCTGTTGAACTGTTTGTGAAATAAAAATGCTAGGAATTAAAAACGATAAGCAAAAGTGAAAAAAGAGATCTGATTCCTCGCTTTATAATCTTGTCTTGATGTGCTTCTCTTCTCGCGTGAGTTTTGCTATATATATCGCCTTCGGTCATAATTAAGAAAACACACGGTAAAGAGAGCATCATGTCTCTGCTCTGAAAACCGGCATTGGTTATGCTTACCGTTACTTGAATTATACGCTAGGCGATTTTCGAATATTAGTAGTGATCGATTAATGCGGCTAGCGGCATTTGAGATCCCTACAGCGTGATGGGTGTGGTCCGTGCGCAAGTAATTGTAACAACACGTGTTCTTGGCCTTATTATGTCTCACCTGCAAATAATAGTACCGTGGCTGAATAGCTGTCCTACGGATCTCTAAGACGAGTTAATCATTCTTCGGACCTGCATCCGCCTCGGTGAGTCATCAAGAAACTAATAAGAGGGCCTTTGAAAACGGGTTTTTCAAGCGGCTCAACTGCACATGAACACACAAGAGAATTGTGTTCGAAACGTGTGCCAGGTAAACTTTACTTTGTGCCCGCTGGCACTTCCGAGCCAGAGAAAACAATGATCTTTACGACGCTGATATTTCTCCAGCCTACCTTTTCAGTTTTCCAAACCGACGCGTCGATCACACTTGCCTCTCCAACGCCGCAACCAACCTCACATACCCCAGCCTATATCACAATAGCGGAGAGAGATTGAATAAACTACGCTAAGAAACTGACACTCATTCAATTTCCGGCGCTCTGGCGGGAAAAGATGAAGGAGCTCTGGCGGTTTGCTAAGCGTGCCCTTGCGGGTCGGGTATGTTCTCGCCAGCTCAAGACAAGCAATACTCCCTCTCGACCGTAGTAGGTACGCGACGATAGAGTTACTGAGCTAATCCTTGCGCTGTAGGCGTTAGTTTACCCACACAATAAACATGAGGAGTGGATTGGGAGGAGCATCGGCTTCATGAACCTATCAATGTAGGCGGAGACGCATGGGATAGGAACTGAGGGAATACGGCTGTTTCCTGGACTTTTCTTCGCATTTCTTAGCCCGCAGCATAAAACCTCTCAGAAACGACTTTTTGAGTTCCTGACAAGAGCCGTTACGCACAAATCCAGAGAGACAAATGTAGAGTGGGACTCATTGTAAGTCAGGGCACTATTTGTATGAATTATTCAAGGTGGGCTATTAATAAAGTAAAAGACTTTTTCTATCGAGTAGTACTTGTGGCTGGATTCACTAGGAGGCTCTCCCCATACCATTTCCAGAGTAGTTTGTTCTCACTCCACCCTCGCCGGGCAATTTTATCTAATTCTGAATATAGATCATCTCTTACCTCGTTTCTTATATGGGGTGCAGCATTTACTCTACAAAACACAATAATTTGAAAATGTACTCCACCCAGCAGAGATTTGTCTCAAGAGGATGTACATACAGCTCCAGTTAAAAGGTCATCGTCCGACGACGAAACCACACACCAAAAAGCAACCCTTTTCAACTTCATGCCCCACCACATCTGTGGTGAATGATCATATGAGGTTTTGCAGAACATATTCCAGGAATACCGATGTCTATCCAAAACCCGGACTGCATAAATATTAATTTTTCCATGAACTGTGGGGTTTCTTCTTGAAACTCCAGTCAAGACCAAAATCACACCCATACTGAGCAATCCAACTACTTTCATAACTATTTGCTGGGTGCGAAATTCATAAATTGAGGTACTTATAAGTATACTTATCTGTCCAAGCAATACCAACCATTCACCAGTGTTACTGCGTTATGGGCAAATGCAACGTTTTGGCGCATTTTAGTGTGTTTTCGTTGTCGTGTGGTGGCTTTTGAACTGGAGCTGTACGTTAACAGGCATAGAGCGTTTCCAAATGAAAACGGATATCACGATCGGCCTACTTTCGAAATTTGTTAGCGTGTGAACTTGGACTTCAGAGCTTCCGCGTTCTGGTTTCAAAGACTATGTTAACAATGGATTTAAGGAAGCACGCACAGTCATGGAAATCGCGTTTGTTACTTGAAATTGGGAAGGGGGGGGGATAGCGAGCCACAACTTTAACAAGCTTTTAGATTGATCAAGAGGTATTATTATCCATTTTTACCGTCTTCTTAATCATATTCTAATACATGCACAATGTCTAGCTGATATGAGGTATGTGATTAGACATCTCGTCCGCAGTTCTCATCTCTAGTTCGGGAAGAGCAGCCTATTAGAACAGAACCCCAACGCACCCCCCCAACCAATAGGAGACACTTACAGCCCAGGTTATTATAATTGTGAGACTAAGTTTAGAAATTTCAGGTTCTAATAAGAGACCGAACGGAATCAACACCAGACTTATATGCTGACAAAGACGAAACAAGATCCATTATCTGTGAGGGAAATGGTCGGGCACTAGCCCCTGTCTTGCGCGTCAACACCTATCCTTGAGAACTTGAGACGAACTACGAACCTAAGTCTACTACAAATCTCGCCTATTCGTTAGCTAAAGCGCGTGAACCAGTTGTGGATTTAAGACAGTATGTTTAAAGCCGTGCCATATATGAGGTTTCGATTAGTGGAATGAAAGATAATTGTGGTTTTGATCATCTAACAGATCTTGGGGTGGCAAAAAGCGAGGTCCCACGATTTCCATGATTGCTCACTTCAGTGCAGGAGTCTACGAAAGGTCCGATGAGACTCTCCAGCAAGATACCAGTCCGTCAGAGACCTAAGAGCTTTAAGGTGCACAAAGGGGGTGTGAGTGATGGATTAAGATTTGATTGGTTATGTTGATACATGCAAAGGGGGGGAGGGGGGCGAGGATAAATTACATTCATTGAGAAAGAGATTCCGGACTGTGGTACAGAGGAAAAATGGCTTGGATCTCACTCAGGGAAGGTTTGAAGCTTTAATGGACCAAAAGACAAGAAGTACTACCATCACCCACAAGAAGACAGCCAATCGATTTTTTCTTTTCCAAGTTCCCTGTGAGAGATCATTTAATGAATCAGAATGATGCACTTCATGATTACCTTGTTGACAGGACCCTAGAAGCTCCTCGCTCTACCAAACCTTTACGTTCTACAGGAGAAATATACACTCTCGATCTCAAGAACGGTATATCTAGCTTCTCACTCTGTGCTGGAGGGGGTTTAGAAGGATGGGCTGAAGAGGACATTACAAAACTGGGCAGGGCCGTTCCCCAAGTTCAGCTTTGTTCAACTTGGGAGCTGCCAGGTCGTACGGCAAAGCTTTGTCGACACCGTCATATATCAAGAGCGAAGGCAGTCTTTGGACGAGATTGATTTAAATGCTCATTAACGTCCTTGAGATCGTACCTTTCCCGTCAAAATCAATTGATATAAGACTTGTGTAGCATATGATTCTTGAATAGTGATAGCTTTTGTAAGTGAGTCCTATACTCAATATTTATATTGGAGAACTCAAGGTGTTGTGACTTTTTGTGGAATCAAAAGATAGGGGCTGCAAACAGAACATGAAGTTAACTTGGATATATTTGGTATTTTCCGTGAACGTGGGTACATGTACATGTAGTTCAAGGTTGCCGTGCTTGGGGCCAACTTCACGCAATGAAATCTTGTATGACACTAGAATTGTGATGTACATATCGATAATAAAAGTTATAATCTCTTCCTCTCTCCATTTGAAGGTAACTTGAGCGTCCTATGTTGATGATTGTGTCGAATTTGGAATCTGGGACTCGACTGGCATTGAGGCTCATTAGAAAATACGCCTGATTGAAGGGTGCGGCTCATCAATATGACGCTTGTTTCCACACCCAGCCACATAAACAAGAATATCTGAGAACGTGAGTGCATAATAACAGGTCTGAATTGTTGGATTCTCTCAAAGAGGTTAAACAGCATACAGAAGGATGCCACGCCGCTCATCGGATCACGTATCACTCAAAAGACCCCGTATTCAGCCGGATCAAGATTTGCATGCAAAGTTTTAGCACGTGTCAGGTCACCGAGGAGGTACATAGAAGTCCTAATGCCAATAGAAAGGGAAATCATAGGCCAGGTCAGCCAGAACAACACGTACAGTAGCGCACGTGGCTGCACTTCCAGGTCCCGTACAGCAACATGTAATCTCATCACGTGTATGTACATTTAGGTAAAGATCAATAAAGGTGACTTCATATGGGTTAGTATATCCTTGACGCAATATCTTTTACCTGTGTTCACATATTCATTGATCTCACAGTCTTTTACACCATCATAACTCTCTTCTGACAAAACGTGTGGTAAGGGTCCACTTTCTCTCACTGATGTCTTGAGATAATGTTAACAGTCTTGGTGGAAGTGAGGTGTGCTGATTCGAAGCACACAATCTATCACGTATCACACTCCGGTGTGAGTTCCCCACAATCAGAACTCGAACCAAGGTTCATCAATACATCAACCCCCTCTTCCCATCTTCATTTTCAGTCCCATCCCATAGGAAACATACCCCGCGCACCTGCTTTTCTGTTCTACTCCCCGCCACCGTTGTCATGCACGAGGACCAGGAATCGAGTATCTGGTGTTGGATTCATGATCTCCCAGAGGTTCAACATGTTCACAAACGGTCCAATGGAAGAAAGTTCTATGCCAACAATATGTTCATCCATGGTCCTATGGAGCCCCCCACAGCGGATGACTTTTCACCAGATACAGTCCACCAAATAGCGGAGGGAGGCACTTCCGACATACCCTTGACCTTCAGAAACATCCAGAAAGCGTTCCCAGAATCAGTACACGAAAAGGAGGATGATTGCTCTACCAGAGGTGAGATGGCCCATGACGAGCAGGTACTACTTGAGTCACACTATGGATTCTTGGGCCGTAAAATAATCCAGGTTCCGGAGATTGTCCTTTCCTTGCCTCGCCAGAATCCAGAGATCGATGACCCGAACTGCGTTCACGCTTCCTACAAACAACCTATAGCAACAGAAACATTAAACCCAATTGCAGAAAAGGTTACGGACACCGAACCAACACCCTCCAAGCCTCCTAAAGGGAGGGGTCTGTTTGAACACACCCAACCAGTCCAGAACATCACCAATCTGCTCCTGTGGTCTGGCGGGAGGATGAGCATCGCTGATGCAATATTTGTGTGGAATATGCTGAAACAGGCTAGGAGGTTAGAAAGGCATTGTGGGGATATACCAGCGGCGGTAGAGCTGGACTTCGAGAAGGATGAGGGATATGAATCAGATATCGCTGCGCAGATGTGTCACAAACCTATCGGGAGAAATCACTCCGAGCCGGGGGATTGCAAGCTCCTACGGGTTGATGTGCTCGATCAGAAAGAAGTGTTACCAAGTGGCCCGCAGAACGATGAACAACTTGTTGAAGTGGAGGTATCTACAGAGGAATGCATCACAGGTGGGGAAATAAAGAACATCCCAAAAAGTTATCCTTCGCTGGAAACCCCAGAGGACGAGGTTCGGCGCCTAACCATGACGAATGCAGCGTGGAGGTTGATAGAGTGGATGAAAGGTGGAACAACGGAGGATGTGATCTCACTAAACTTTGGTCCTTCGTTTGTTTCACCCACAACTAGGAGAAACACCATTGACTTTCATCAAAGACTTCAGGAACAACTGCTGGGTCGGGCACAAAACCTCTTTCATGAGTCTGGAAATTACATGACTCCTTCGTACGACCTTTTTATTGGTTCTGCCCATATTCCCGACATAGTTCCAAGCAGGGACGTAAGAAAGAGCAAGGGTCCGAATAGAGTTGGACTTACTAAACCATTAGCGCACAGACATGACCCTACCGCTATGTTACCTGATAGTTTTGTGCCAAATAGCAGTGTATCTTCACTACGTCTCTCTCATTCATTGCCCTATTCCCCTTACGCCAAAAAATCATTTTTTGATCAAATCAATCAATCCTCCCCGTTTAATAATCACTCTCAAGAATACTCCCCTACTACCTGCGAACACCCCCAAAACCAGGAAGCCCTCTACACCGACTGCTACCAGAACAGGGGTATGGAGTACGCTGGCAATCCAAATGGCAATCCAGGCCAGGGAAGCTGGTTGAATTTATCTTCAGAGGACGACGATGATAATGATCTAACACAACGTAGCTCTAAGAGCCGCCTAACCCGAGAGCATACTATCTCAAGCCAAGAGCACCAACCCCGACACGGATCTCTGCATTCTTCTCCAGCATTGGATGGACTTGAAAATGCTATCTTACAGCGATCCGCAGGGATTGGCCGCTCAGCAGCTGCTGCGGAGCAAAGAGTGAAAATGTTCGCAGTGAACAGTACACCGGCGATAGGCGCTAATGGTCCCGATGTCTCTCCAGGGGTGTCTGATCCAGGGCGAGTGGGAGGGAAAGGGGATGCGGTGTGCACAGAGGTGAGAGCTCTAGAGGTCAACTCGCCGAGGAATGAGGTTATAAAAATCTCGGATGCCATAAGGGGACGGATTGAGGCCATCGAAAGGAAACAGAGAGTAGTAGAACCTGCGCCCGCAGTTCAACCATTTTCAGAAGATGAAAACAAAAGAGAAAGAAATCCATACTTTCCGATAATGGCACCTTACCCAGCGAGAAAGGAGCAGAAGAGAGAAGAGTCAGGGTCTTTACAACTAGTGCTCTCTTCAGATGGTGTGAAGAAATGGAATAACAATCACACTTCAGGAAGGACCAGTACAGTATCCGTTGATACCAAATTGAAGAAGAGTTCTACTCGGAAAAATATTATCAGCAAAGAAAGCTTGGACGATGATTTCTCGGTGAAGCCTCTCTACCAAGGACCAGGATACGTCAATCGCTTTGTTGGGGAAGGAACCAATCCTCAGCAGTCAGTTGCTTATTATCTGGCTTGCAAGGAACTTGCTCACCAAACGGCACTTAGTTCAACCCACGAACCGGAAGACTTTACAAGAGTCATCGATGGAGGGGATGAGCTTACTCGTGGTAAAGAGATAAGAGATATCTCTATCTTTTCGGTGGGCTGTGACAATTCTCTGTGTAAAAACCGCCCCCTTCCTTTCCCCTCCCTCCATCCTTGGTTGTTTTGAGAAGTGTTATCTAACAGAAGATTTACTCCACGTTGTAGTGCCTGCAAACACTCCCAATAGTACCAGAGGGCGTATAAAAACCTCATCTTCATCGGCCTCTTTTCCGGTAGAGGATAACGCTCGCGAGAGATTACCGACAAGAGGCCGGGAACAAACAAAGAATGAGAGATTCATGGACGGTCGTTCTAAGGCTATGGAGATTCTCGGGTATGGCGAGGATATCGCTACTCGTCGAACATTGGTAGACATTGAATACACCAGTGTTGCACTTCCAGTCCCAAAGAGGCCCGCATATCTCGAGACCAAAGTGGATGCTGTAATAGTCTCGCCCCACCTTACTGTCGCCGGCTACGGTAGTATCTCGTCCCTATCATTGTCGACAGAGTCTACTAGTTCCTCCAGTGCTTTGGGGGGCGACCTGGATACGTTTTCTTCAGAGGATCCTAGCAATGCTGGGGTGGTTACGTCTCTAGCAAGAGTATCGTTGGATTCCATGAGAACGGCTCTCTCCTATCCGGCTCAATCTCTAACTACCGGATATCAGCAGCAAGCTCCGATGTCCTTCACTCCTTCTCCCGCCACCATTATAACACCAAATTCGACTATCTTCGATAATTGCAAGAATATTCTCAGAAAATGCTTAGGAAGAAGCAGACAAGTCTAACTAAATAAATTAATCCTAATAATGGTGAAAAGTATTCTTCATTGTTTTACTTAATATAACCGGAGGAGTTTATTGAAAAATTGCATCTAGTATAGGTTGCATCTGGCATAACTGAGCAAAACCTTGAGGGGGGTTGGTTCTATTGAGATCTTGCAGAAGTAGATTTAACTGGATGTCGAGCGATTTGCATAATACAGTGTGACGCGTATTGTAATGTTACGCGGTCGACAGAATTGGGCTCCGGTCAATGAGGGTTAATGGTCGTGCAGCCATGGCGTTCAGGCAGCTTTAGAGCGGTGAAGGATGCAATAGAGAGTTGTGGGTAGACAGTACGTAATAACATTGAGGGTTCTATAATTGAAGGTTTTAGACTCACCTAAAAGAGGATAAGAACATACACAAGTACATGTACTTCCTCTGGCCGATAAAGAAAAGTATAGCGTCCGACACTTTCAGATCAGATATTCGACTATCGGGCTATGTAAAAGTAGTCTATTGAGCAGTATCTTTGCCTCTCGGGTTGACCTTCCACCCAGGATCATCTCAAATGTCATATTCAAAGACCTCCACTCCCCTGCAAGCTACGCACCCGTAAGCCAAAGCTGGGAACGTATAGTATTTCAGGCGACTCGAAAAACTGCCTTACATAGTTATCCTATGGAGTTTCTGTTTTCTCCCTATTTATGTGAAGGGCAGTACTCAAGATGGGACTGGCACAAGTAGCAAGGTTAGTACCTGTATGCAAGATAAATTGTTATTATATTCCTGAAAAGTTTACAACATACATATATCTTTCCGTGCTATTCTTATCAATACATCTACAGCCTTGGAGAGCATTTGAAGCTTCTATAGTAGTACATATAACACCCAACCACACACTTATAGCAAAGAATGGAAGTAACCGCATATGTAGTGGGTTAAGGCTACATGTATTTATACTTATATCTAGGACAGCTCGTTGCGAGGCTCCCGCCTCATACAGGAATAATTATGAATACATCCTTGTGAATACCCAGGAGAATCTTGTTCATATACCATACTGCAGTAATTCGTCTCAGTGGGCACTCATACTGACGTTGGAATTACTTGTTCTGGTCATTTGTCTTGCAAACGCTCCCTCCCCCCCCCCTAATATTCCCTTATACGCGCTGTAAAAGGCAGCTTTGACTACTTCTGTGTAACCGTCCGCTGAGACGAACTACTGCGGTACATATATTCACGGGACTTCTAAACAATAAGTACATCTTATCTAGGGGATGAATATAAAGATATTTACATGTAATTAATACATACTGGAGCTGCGCTGCACTTAGAAACACACTGAAGCCCAAGTACTTACATAGTATCTACATGTTATAATGGAGTTATGGCTCGTGTATACTCCTACTACAAGGGCTCGAAATTGGACTCTCAAGCCGCTGCGAGGCTTTCGAACCCACCTTTCCCGCACTTGTAGTCTAGATACAGCTTCACCGTAATTCAAACCTTCTGAAATGGGGAACGGATACCTGCTTGACGGTTGATATTGAAGCTTGAGATTTTCACAAAAATGATGACTCAAATGTGACTAAGTGAACGCTGAGCGATGTTCTGACCTTCAATTGTTTGACTGGGATGCTTCATGATTGATCATGCAATGGTTGATATTGACCACCGGGGTCCAAGTCACAAACGAAGTGATAAACACTGTAGTAGGTAATTTAGAGGCTCGATAACAGCACAAGACTCTATTGTCTATATACCACTTATATGTAAAACACCTCCTAGGCTCACAAGAGAAATTGTGATATTCTTCTCGTTTCCTGGCTGTCCAACAGACCAAGCCTGTGTTAGTTTTCAGCTCAATTAATTACACAGAGAGGCGTCCCAGTCACCAAAGCTGCCTACTAGGGCCTTAGCGGTCGATAATAACCCAGCCAGTACCACCGTTGATGACTGGGAAGCGTTAATCAGGAGGTCTGAACGACTGCGATATAGCAACGGAACGGTCCAGGAACACGCCTCTTTAGGGCAGCAGCGGAGTGGCAGTCTATATCCCTGTTGACGTCATTATCTTTCATTTCCTTATCCTCGCAGAGTAAAAGCGGGCTCAGCTTATCTAAACATCCCAAACTCGCAGGTAATATATATATCTAACGATTTCTGATATCTTGAACTACCACATGCACCTTGAGACGCCAGGTAATGTATCTTACGTGCGGAGATCTGACTTCTGGGCCTGCTATCTTGAGCAGATAAGATGTCGCAGAAGGTGGCATACGTATCTTTCAGCCCCGCTGAAATTGCTCTCCTATTTCATTGCTACACGGGAAATACTACACGTACTCTTGAGATGACAAATGTTGAGAGTTATGTATCAAATAAACTCAAAGGATTGGTACTTGGTACGATGAGCTCCCCCTTACAATTGTGAAACGTTGATTCATAACACAGTATTATATTGTAAACGCCGCTTAGACACAAATAGTAAGCTACGCAATGATCGTTTGCGACAAAAATAACATAAGGCGGGAGTACGTGAGATGATCGCTAGGATCATACCTTTCTTACTCAAATCGATAAACAGTGAGCTGTTAGACCCATGTTAGCCAATGCAAACTTCACCCAAATCAATATAGCAGAAGGCGAAAAGTAATGTAACACTCCCTTTCCATTTAAGCCTTCATACACAAAAACTCCATCGCTTTAAAGGTTCACGAATTGTATTTCTGAATATAGATGGGAGTCTGCAGTGAAATTGCTGAAAAAAGATGCGAGTTTTCCATTAATATGGAAAGGTTTTTCCCTGTACATCGAATTGAAATAATCTATATTGCTAAAAGAACCTATTTGATTTTTTAAGCACTAGCTATAGATAGTGGGAGAGTAAATAAACGATATCGGATACACAATCTAGGAGTGTTTTACATGACTAGCCCTGGGGAAAATTCCAACGACGCAGCAAACATGTTGAGAACAGGCTTAGAAGAGATCTTACTGCCTCCATTCCGGTTCTTAGCCCCAGATCTCCTAGCTAACTCCCCCATCACAAGTAGTAGGCCCTCTCCGGCCACCTTTCCTTAGAACCCACACATATCGCCCTCCCGGAAGACCTCCACCACACCCAGGAAAAGAAGTGAGGTTGAGTTTAGCAGGGTTCCATCATGCCGGTGCACAGGAGTATCAGCTAGTGGTCGAGATACCCTCGCGGGAACATGTTCCAAGGGGCAAAAACGACTTTTACCCCCCCTCCTAAACCCGCCCACCCTCTGCTAGACCGGCCGGTGACCGGAATCGCTGTAAACATTTTGGAGCGAAACAGGAGTTCAATAGATTTTGTTTGGATCCTACGTGATTCACGGACAACACAGGCTCATGCTCTGATAGCAGAAACGAAGCTCGAATTGTCTATGATGATAGGTAGGTGATGATGACTAGGAAGAAACAAAAGAGACGAGACTGTAGAGTACAAGAATAGCTAGTTACGACACGGTTACCACTTGTGACTTGTCCTGACCCGAAGCACCACCTTAGTTCTGTAACCACTTTGCCTGCGCCACAACGTTCCATCACCATGCGTCTCCAAGATGAGGTAAGGTCGCCTTTTTTCCGGTTGAGTGGACCCCCGGATTCCTGCTCCCCGTGAAGCGCCTCTGCTCATATGTGGGCCGGTCCTAGCTCTTTTCGAGGTGAATATGTCGAAGCCTGCGCCAGGTTGATCCCTCGTGACCCTCCATTATCACTGGGGTTGAATGGGTTATGGAGGTATTCGTACTACGAGTGCTTGTCATTTCAAAAAGTAATTGATTCTTTTCAAAAGTTGGTACAAGGGAAAGTAGATATTGAACCTGAGGTTTCCATTGATTTTTTGCTGACTCGGCCTGGGCGAGCAGAAGACGTTCTTCGGGAACGCTCCCCTGGCACCGACACATCGCCTCCGGGCGGAAGATCAGAAGGCTCTCTTCGGAAACCCTCCCCTGGCATCCACACATCGCCTCCGGGCGGAAAGTCTCGATGACGTCAAGGAAGAGGAGGGATGTCGAGGTGAGAAGAGAATTCTCCCCGCGCCATCCCGACGTCACACTTTCCAAATCCACCACTGTTCGCGAGATTCCCTCAGGACATCTGCCGATCGGCAGGAATCTCAGCTGGTCCTTCATGCTCAAGTCTTCCCATCCCTCCTCTCCCCGACTGGTAATCGGCACCGCTGTGAACGATCCGTCCTGGTTGACGCCCAATACTAGGTAAGGGCGTCTCTTTGCAGGCTGTGGGGAATAGGGATTTTTACTCCCAGTGACCTTCCTCTGCTCAGGGGTGAGCAGAGTAACTGACTGGGTAGACGAGTAAATATCCCCTGGTTCCACAACCCCACGCCAATATGTCTCTTCGTATTTCGACCGGTTTCCTTGGGCAGGTAGTTGACCTACATGTAATTCCTTTAGACATTTTGTGGTGTTTTCTTTTTTCGTTAAAGGATTGGTAGGAGAGGTGAAAGTAGGTAGCAACTGGTCTCGTCATATCATAGCAGGTGAACTGAACTTTTGAAATGTGTATCCTCTATGATGGGGATCTGGCGTCAGGGCGGCTCTCATGCGCTGTATTAAGACCTTAGTGGATTGCTGGCCCGGTGGTAAGTAAATGAGTTTGTACAGGGCATCTGTTTTGAATAAGAGAGGTAATAGGGTCTGTTAGTAAAGCTAGGTGAAGTTTGCCCTTTATGTCTATTTGGGTTACAATATACCTGAGTAGGTGGTGATCCATGAGCCTTTGGCTTGAGTACCCGCATACTCACATGCCTGTATTGAACCTGTGGAGAATATACTGATGACGACAGGAGACGGACACCGGCGCTGTATAACAATAAATAAGCATTCGGCGCTTAGGTATAGAACGGAGATTAGGCTTTAAAGATTTTAGGCTCACGGGTGAGAATTGTATGCAGGGCCCAGTCACCCTCTAAATTGCAGACTGCATGTCGGTCTGATTGAGGTGATTCATTGCTCTGGTGGCCGAAACGAGGGTCAGAAAGGAAGATAGCCCACTCACATATGTAGAGAGTCGAGGAGCGGACTCAGCCCCAGAGTGATGATGTTTGTGAGCTCGATGAGAGAGAGGAAGAGGAGAGGAAGCAGAGTTCTTATTTATAGGCAAAAAAACACTATTCTGACACCCCGCCAGAGAGAAAATTGAACACCTATGAGAAAACATCACTAACGAAACATAATGAACAATTATCATTTTCCTTGTGCACCACCTGGTGTCTTCTATGCCACATTTCTGTAACGGTAGTGAGCTAGCCATTGGGACGCCACCAACTTTAGCTACCATTGGAGTATACTACATGTAAATACGACATGTTTGCATGTACGATGAAATAAATGTATGTATTGCCAAGTTGCAAAAATGTATGTAAGATGCACACGCCCCGAACAGCAACAAAGTGTCTTTTTCAAACGATACCTTGTCCAACAACTCTCAACCTTCATGGGCACACAATTGTCTTTCACATCCATGTGCTTGTCGGGACTTAAATGTACTCACCAAGCTGTGGTGTTTGTTGGTCGCCGTCTTGCGGAAAAAAAAAGAGGAACAAAAATACCTTACCACCTACAAGTAGGTACGTGAGTCGGGTCAATTCGTGACCTGTGTTATACCTAATTCGTCCTTTCCCGGTGTTTCTATCCACGCGTGCATGCATAACTTTGGAGAGTACATACGTCGAAAATATATCAAATCCGTCCTTTTCGTTATATCGTAGGATGTGAATTCCACTAGTCGTCATGTCATCTATGTATCCAGGGGTCCCGATAAGTGATGCAATGTTTGACCTAGCAACACCGAAAGGCATCAAGATTTCAATGTTTTAGTACAAAAAAACATCTTATTATGATAGATACTTTAATAATACGCATGATAAATGAGTCTTGAGGATAGAATCCGCATTTTTTCAAGTCATTAATTTGGGTTTTTTAGCCTACAAAAGGGCAACTTCTGACAAACAGCGATAAAAAGTAAGTAGTAGCTATTCATGATAAGTCTTACTAAAACTATGATCCGCACCTTCTAAAGTATCATAAATTCACTTCGTATTTTGTTGGCTAGTTTCGTTGTTGAAAAATAGGAATTATATGACCGTTGTATTACATGTACTTATCGGGATCCCTGGGCACATGTAGGTACATAAATACAAACCGAAAGGGACAGATATCTTTTTCTCACAAGTACATGTATGTAGCTGGAGGAATGTTGGCACGAGCCGAGATATAGGATCTCACTCGATTTTATCGCTTCCACATGTGTCATGTATTGACTCCTGTCAGGGTTTAGCTCCTTTAAAGTACAGCCCTCCTTGCGCTTAACTCATCACTGCGGAGCCCTAACCCTAAGTATCATCGGTACTCTTGTGCAAAGCTCGTCTTTAACCTCTGCTGTTCTACTAAATACAAGAGGATAATGGCTGGATTTCGGAGTTCAAGGTAATGCATATCGGAGATTACGCCCGATAACCTCAATTAAAATATCAAAATAGCTCAATGCGATAGATCGTCTATGCAGAATTCTGGAAGTCGATGGAATCGAAGTTGTCATAGAAGAAACACCCCATAGGTTAAAGTAAGACCCGAAGACGCGAACACCTGTTAACAGGTGTTTTTGTGAAGCCAAGGTACATTGGGTAGATGTAGATATGGAGCGAGCCCCGCATCCTAAGGTCCCAGACCAGCAAGCGGACCGTCGGAAACTATCGTGGTCTCCAAACTGACGTTTCCGAGCTAATTCAAGTCTTGTTCATCAAATTCTTAGTTGCGTTGTGTCACCGTCTATTTGTTGGATTCCATTTGAATAATCAGTTTATCACCCGTCAAATGTTGTCACCCCCTAACCATCGATAGCTCAACAGTTGGACACACCGCCACTAAATTACCCATTTCACACCTGACTGAATTGACTAACTATAATATCAGTAGAGAGTTATAATTGGTAACGCTACTAGGAGATAGCTATAGAAAAAGGGTAAAGCTTACCTCCATTCGACGTCCATTTGATAGAGGAACCCCGCCTTTATAACTAATGATGGAAAGGATAGTGGTACTTCGTGACGCCATTCTGAATAATGAAGAAACATCTGTTATAATAGAAGTAGCTCCCACTTACCATCGTGGTTGATCATCTACTCTTCCAATTCACCAAACCATTGCTCAAAAATGTCAAAGCTTTCCCAGAACATTCCTAAACCCTGTGCCAAAATACCCGTGGTAATCAATAGACACCTGTTATCGTCCTGGCGTGAGGTTGTGAGGGCTGGGGATATTTACATGTCGACCCAGGGCACTACTCTGCTCACCCCTGAGCAGAGGAAGGTCACTGGGAGTAAAAATCCCTATTCCCCGCAGCCTGCAAAGAGACGCCCTTACCTAGTATTGGGCATCAACCAGGACGGATCGTTCACAGCGGTGCCAATTACCAGTCGGGGAGGGGAGGGATGGGAAGACTTGAGCATGAAGGACCAGCTGAGATTCCTGCCGATCGGCAGATGTCCTGAGGGAATCTCGCGACCAGTGGTGGATTTGGAAAGTGTGACGTCGGGATGGCGCGGGGAGAATTCTCTTCTCACCTCGACATCCCTCCTCTTTCTTGACGTCATCGAGACTTTCCGCCCGGAGGCGATGTGTGGATGCCAGGGGAGGGTTTCCGAAGAGAGCCTTCTGATCTTCCGCCCGGAGGCGATGTGTCGGTGCCAGGGGAGCGTTCCCGAAGAACGTCTTCTGCTCGCCCAGGCCGAGTCAGAAAGAAATCGACGGAAACCTCAGGTTCAAGGGTCTAGCAGTACCAATCCGTTCTCTATCTTGGGTGAGTTACTAGTCATCGAAGATTAAATCCAAATCTAAGGCTAGTGCCAGTCCAAGATAACGTTTTGGTACCGCGATGATCTTTGAGACCAATCCGCCCCCACCATCCTCCAATCATTCCAATCGCCTCCCGCGCAATAACCGTTCCCCACAATTCTACCGCCTTTTCCCCCAGGGTCGTCGCCTGATTGGGAGGAATGACACTGCGCCGAAGACGATCGAGATATTTCTTCAATATAAGATGCCAAAAAGATCGGACAAGAATACCCAAAAAAGCGTCGATCCAGCGAAAAAAGGCCACGTTAGTTTTGTTATTTGATTATTCGGTGTTTGGTGTTGAGATACGGTATGTATAACTTAATCAGCAATGTGGAAGTTCTTTTTGGCGGACATGTTTATAAAGATCCCCTGCATTCTAACTGAAAAAGATCCGTTGCAGTCGATACAATCCGAGTAACTGGTAGTAGTTATCGAAATATTATCTGGATAGTACGACTATCTTAATGGGATAGAACAGCTCTGCTGTTCTCTTAGTGCGCGAATCTCCGCCCCCGGTAGGTGTCCCTATCTTCGTGCCTAGCTGAGTATACGCAGGCCGAAAGACTAACATCGCTAGATCTCCCTCTACTTGCACGTCTCGCTAGAGTACAGCTATATCGAGCTCCGATAGCACCCGCGATCTCAGATTACTCAACGCTTTCAGTGTCGAGGCTGCAATGATATTGAGTGTAGGTGTCTTGTTGGAATCATCTTTTACTTCTTTTTTATTTATCAGTTTTTATTTTCCTATTGTTTTTATTGTATTCGATTATTGTCGCTCTCGTTTGCTGAGAGGACGTCCTGTATTTGCTGATGAGAATGTTTGAATATTCTTATATGTATTGCTTTTGATTCTTTTAGCAGGACCTTAAGATAGTTGAGGAGAAAATAATATCTTTTCGACGCTATCTTGATACTCCCGACATTTGATGATGGCTCGAAATATTCTGTAAATCCCTGGCCATCGATGGACATTTATGATTGCCTGCATATATAATCATCTTGTCGGTCTGTGGAAACATGCAAAAGGTCTAGTGGGTATATATATATGTTCTTCACTGAGTGAGCCGGTTTATCCAAGATGCTTCCTGCCTGAAATGAATTCATCCTCAAAAATAAAATTTGGAAGTCAACGCCCGTCCCTATAAGAAATTATGTGAATCTCTCATGGATGGACGTCATGTGACCTTGATTTTAGGTAAAGGCAAGCAACTTGCTGTCTTTGCCGGTCTGTGGAATACTTAGTGGTGCCATAAGGTTCGCAGTTTACCTAAGTAAACTATCTGCTGGATGGGCCACGCTAGGGTATGAGAGAAATTTGCTTTCTCTGATACATCCAGGTCATAACCTGTAACACTAACCGTATGCTCAGCATTAAATCCTGGACCTGATCCTTGGTGTTTGTGATCGACAGACTCAGACACAGTAGCACCAGGTAACCCATTTTTTGCTATAGAGAGCGATCGAGACCTGATCAAGGGTGTATAATGACTCGTGTCCTCTTCTACAGAGATGAGACACAGACTACCCCTCACCATATCCATGAACGTGCTTACACTACAACAAATCATCCCACTACAAAGGAGCATCATAGTCCTTATCGGATTGGGTAGGAAGTATTGTGGGTACCATCAGTCCTATTCCCTTCCTACCCAGGCTGAGACCTTGTTGTTAGTGCTGTACCCTAACTGATTTTTAGTCCTTTCATGACGAGCGGTTCACGATGCATCCAGGTATATCGGTGGCATTAAACGGCACCTTTCGGGCTACCTTCAGGGTTATAATGCACTTCATCCTTCCCGAAACAAGTCTACAGACCTTTATCTTTTCCACCCCCTATAGCGGCTCTAGAGTTGAGGCACGTATTGAGATGGTCGATACATCTACCTAGCGAGCCGCACACCAGGCACGCGGCGATCAATTGTACCCATAAAGCTGCTGTGCGAAAGGTTTCACCTGGCAGCCTGGTGTACATCTCGTTGCAATCTTAGCGCAGCTTACGAGGCTGCTAGAGGTGAGGAGTAACCAGTACTTCTGCCCTGTGGGATAGCCGTGCCTGTTTGTGAACTAGAACCAACAGTGCAAGTATCGAGTCAACTTCATATCTTTACCCAATTATACCCCCTGGCAAACTGTCAAAATAGTGTTTGGGTGACATCCTTCCAAGCAAAGTTCGTTGGCCAGTTATCAAGACTGATCTTTAAACTTTAAGCTGAATTTTGCCCAAGATACCTATAGATTCTCTCTCGCAGATATCGGCCAGTCAGGCTGCTCTCTTAGGTACGTTGCATAGCACCTCAATAGCCTTTAGAGTAATGGCGGACCACCTGAGCGACGAGCAGTAGGGCCTACCTTAAGCATACTCGCCCTAAGCATACTCGCCTCACCAACCCAAATCTCTTGAGATCCCTCGATATAATACCTCGAAAAGCAATTCCTGCGGACTATCCATGTGGCGCCTTCAGAATACGCCTTGGTTTCAAATAGATGTCAAACGCAGCGTCTACTTCCCACCTAGTTCTACCGATGGAGATACTGTACTGCTGAAGAATACTATGAGGATAGCGAGTCGATATACTACGCCGCTGACCAACGGTGTGATCGTAGGGAAACTCGAAAGTTCACGAATTGACGTGTGAACGTGAACGAACACACCGTACTGTTTGGTCTAGTTGACCGCTAAGCAAGGTTGACCCAAGAGGTAAGGCGCGTCAGCTCCACAATATCCATGTCTCTGCCGCTCGTGCAAAGAGGGCTGATTCAGCGAGATTCCTGAGCTACTCTCAAGGTATCTCGTTAGTATCTTCAGACCTTACAAAGTCTTAATCCACTTATCAAGGGCCGATGCTAATACTCAATTTATGGGAAGCAAACAAATGTTAATTTCGATAGGTCTTGAGTCCCAGTGTGGTCCACCAAGCGCATCGAGGAGAGGAGGGCGGAGTATATCGAGTTACCTCTCCCTCTGAGGACATCTACTTTGGCTTGCCTCGAGCCATAGACACCTATTCCTCGAGCTGTGTCGATGATCTTCGAGGTAGGGTTTGGCAGTGGGTTCTCAATAGTTCTTATCTGGTTCGAGCACCCGTGATATATATTACATGAGTGTCTCTGTTTTGGCAGTCTGGAGTGTATATTGAGTTGAGTCTGGTCAGCCCGAGCCGAGGAATATACCATATATCTCGCGAGATACATTCGCCTCGTTGAAAGTTATACCTCGTATCACCTCGAGGCTTTACTTCGATGCCAGGCACGAAGTACTTCTCCATCGTGTACCACATTAGTCTTGACGACACCGAACTGGGGAGTCCAGGGATAATAGGCTTTGAACTCCCTCGAGCGTGAATGCCTGATGGGCCACAGTATGTAAGCCGTCCTCGTCCTTTTTGTTTATTTTATTGCTTGAAGCTAAACCGGTTTTGTATGTCGTTGGAACTGCTAATAGCAGACGACTACGCCAGGGGACACCTCACACCAAACATGTTCGGTCACTTATTCGGTCCATTTAGTTGTCAGTAGTTTTGGCTAAACTTAGAACCAGTCCCAACCATTGGAAACACTCTCGCGAGACTAGAGACACCTGAGCAATCCAGGCGATACCATACTCTTTAGCATATTAGCCTGGGCAACCACCCTCCCCCAACCGGCACTCTCGACATCTAGAACCTGCATGATTCTGTATCTTGGTTAGTTACAAACCTTCAAAGGTCTTTTCACAGTCCAGCCTAACTCTCGAGGTTTTTCAGCGTTTCGGCCCTGAGTTGAACGAGCTAGAACCACAACCTCGGTTAACTCTTATCTCGGATCGTTTTGTCGGAGTTTATTCCTAGCGTCCTCCTATTACACATGGAGATCCATTGGGTAGTACTCTACCCTTGAGCATCGATCTTTCTCTGCCAGGTCAGATATTCTCTCACATCAGGTTATTGCCGCAAAGATTAACCTAAACTGCCGTTCCATGCTTGGTTCATCGTCTGGAGCAGGATGTTTAAGTTCAGTAACTGGGTCTTTCAGCTGACTAAGTGAGGGTGTTCGAAGTCATGAATAGAGTTAGCATAAACGATTTAAACTATCGGTATAACCGGCTTTGAGGAATTATAAATCGTTTCACCGTCGAGTTAAGATGTTAAAAACTCCAAGTTCAACGGTTGAGTAAAACAGGTTCGAACCAGCTAACCGGTAAACCACTGGAAACACTATGAATGATAGCTTGCTTTTAAGCGCTTTTCCTCTCTTTAATTAGGGGATCTTTCGCCGTGCGTTACTAACACACTCATGATAGCCTTCCTGCTCTTACCGGGCCTTTCGTTCTGGTGATAGAGACCCTTGGCCGCTAGGTATCGTGTAAGGCGCGCCCGTGTGCTTCGCTCTTGGGTGCTTCTGTTCCCTCTGGTGGGGTATTTCTTCGCAACAATAGAGGTAGACTGATGATGGCCTGCACTTGAGGCCTTTGATTTGTCTCTCTGGTATGAAATCTTGCTGATAGCTATAGAGCACACTGATAATATTATGATCTTCAGAGCTTGGGTTTGTTGCCTAGCGACAGGTCGCTAGCTACCACACGTGAAACCTCTGCTCCACGAGGTATTCTCGTATCGTCTCTCTTGTGGAGTTCTTTAAACTTAGAAGCTGGATATATTGGCCGTACGACTATTCCCCTAATCCGTTCTCCTCAACGGTGTGGTTACAGCCAATAAGGAGGGTTTTCCCCAAGGATGGATCATGTCCTCTTGATTTTTGAAGTCCATTGGTACATACTATCTGCTGCTGTGGATTCCGATTAAGGCGTAAATTTTCTGGGCTCTTCTCCTAGGTAAGTACTAAGCTCGAAAGAGCCGGTGCTGAGTGGAGGCTATCGCTCAAAGAGGGGTTTTGCTGCTTAATATATCTAACCCTCATTCCGTGAGCCTGTTTGTCTGTCAAGTCACCGTTTGTGGCTACTTTACTTATTCCGGCCAGTCCAGAGTCTATAGGGAGTTAGATTTTAATGGTTATAACGGGCCTAATATATCCCATCTGCGGAACGCACGAAGGGATAAACTCTGAATGTTGACCCCCCCATCCCCTCCCTTTCACTCAACGGCACTGCCGGAATCAGCAAAGTGGTCGTAGGGCGACTCTGTTCACAATATTCATCGCATCTTTCGCTTTCTCGTCTTGATCCCTTTAAAATCGGGTGTTGCGAAAAAGGGGGGGATAGAAGTGATTAATTATCGAGGAGGCATGGTCGTCGTCTCACCTCTACTCGCTCAAAATAGCCGCCAAGACTTCATAACCGCCGAAAGCCGCCTAACCCGTGAGAAAAATTCTTTCCAGAATCATCCCCTAGAGGGCTCAATTCCCCCTTTGTTATCCAATTTTCGATCGCGTCTCACTGAAACTAACGATATAAGAAAAACGACGGCGGGGCAGGTCTTGAGACTCTCGTCTGTCAGACCTGAATATTTCTTGGTGGTTTCCCGAATCTTTATATATCCTTTTGGCTGCAGCATCGACGCAGCACTGACGCATTTAAATGTTTCCGGACTTCCTATCTCTTAAACGGTCTAGTGTGTAGTTCGAGAATAGAGTGGCCATGATGTCATCGTTTATCAGAGCACATTAACCACATCAGGTTGAGCCACATTGGGATTCAGCCAAGCTTAGTTTACTGAGAGGGTCTTAAATCTGCTGACGTGTCCGGCTAAAATTCCTGGTTCCATGTCATCGGACACTGCAACCAGCCAGTTGTTTGGACTGAGGGCAACACAGCAACCAGTCTCGGTGGAGCAGCAAAGGTCCAATCAAACACTATTTTGCTCATTTACTCTCCGAGGTTCGAAAAGAATGTGCCGTTTAGAGTAAGGGCATACCATTCTTACTTACTACTATTTCAATATATTTCACATGCGCGAAGTGCAAAGGTGTGTACAACAAAAGAACCTCGCGACGAGGTTCACAAGCTTGTTCCCACACCAATGACAATTCAAAGGAGGAGATAACTTAAATTATGAATTGTTTCAATCACAATTCATACTGGAGAGTACTTTGTCAATATTGCGCGAAGATTTGGTCTTTCTGTCCGCATAAACCGTCCAAACTGGCGTCTTTGCTCATTAATATATCATTCCTCTTTCTATCATTCGTATAGTTGATATCAATATATTAGTAATCCTCGCCGCATCGAGGCCTTGCTGCCCAGCTCCAACGCCTGGAGTCACCTGGTAGAAAACTCGCCCAGCGGAGTATGTCGTCCCTATTAGAGGGGTTTGGTTATGTAGTGCCAACTACCATAGATGTTCGCAAGTAGGCTAGAGTGATTTATATGAGTGAGGAGCGAAAAAGAGTGTTTTACTACTAATGTAAACGTACTATAATGACACTATTTATTATGCCATTCTCCCCAATATTACCGCTCATTTGGATTCGGGTCGCAACCACGACAGTAAGGGTCCTTCCGTGGTTTGGGCCCTAATCATAATTTGGCAAATATGGAGCGGTTTGGGTTGGGCTTGTTGTATTTAGTCAAACTAAAACTAGCCTGAACCTAGAATTAGCCCGTACATTACAACACTTTTTTGGCGGTAGTTGGTGAAGGTGAGATTGTGGCAGTGGGGTCTGAGTAGACATGAAGAATGAGGTCACTGAAAGAGAGATCATGAAAATCTGCAATCTCTTGGCATGTCGTCTGGATTAGTGCAATACGGTTTTTCACAATCGTAGTTGCTAAGCTCAAAACGATATCCTGGCCGGATTACAATTGAGTCGCAATATGAATCCAGACGAGCGACTCAACTGATGGAAGCCTCATTTTCAATGACAATTGATAAAATAATAGGGGGTACATGTAATAAATTTAGCGGAGTCCATGATCCATAGAGGAGAAGTGATAAGTGATACGGCGAGTTTGGAGGGCCCTAGGGGTATCTTAATTTGGATGGTGATTAACGTAGTCCAATACCAATATGGGGATTTGTTTACATTGCTAGTGGCCAGATAGTATGTATGATTTTGTCCGTAACGTAGTGCAATTCATAATTCGAATTATCTCCATATTTTAGTCTAACCCATTATAAAAGTGGGGTTATGCCTACTACGGAGCGTTGCTGTAGAAACAATCACAGACTATAATGCGAACTACCTAGCAAAACCTCTCTAATAAATACAGAGACTGCCGAAGCCTATTTTAAGAATGATTCTACTAAACATCCCTATCATCAACTGGTCATGACCTATGATTATTAGTATTCTAATCGCTAGGTCTCTGCCTCAAGGAACATGTAAGAAGCGCGCGGAACACTATCCTACTCCAATTTGAGCAGCCACTCCGGATACTCAATAGCGACAGCGAACACCCTGGAATTCTCAGAGCGTCATCGATCTTATACGATTCCCTCAGAAAACGAGTCCCAATAATATCTCAAGTAGGTTGGAATCACATCCTCTTCCGCGGCGGTGATGCGGGCAATGATGTTGCTTAGTCACTAGCCCTATCTTTAGGTGTCTGGTTGTGACTGTGCGGATGTTAAGTAGCGCTAACAAAGAGACCAGTCCCACATCCCACCAGTCGTTTCGCCCATATCCAGCCCACAGCACGAAAATTTCAATATCGATTAGTTCAATTCACCAATACCATCGATATTCGACTCATGATCGACGTCATATCACTTAATACATCCTCTAACCTACCAGAAAATACCCTATTCACTGATTCCACCTACCCGCGGCGTATGAGACCGTTGACAAAGTCCTCCGAACTCGAGACCTACCCCCAGATCACTTCAAGCTACAACCACTTCACCGTTTCCAGCATTCTCCAGTACCCAGAGGATCCGCATGTGCTACAGTCCTCTACCCCCCCCCCCCCAAACAAAAAGAAAAAAATAAAGGAAACAGCCGTTCAACTCGGTATCTCTAAGTTCCTAGGGCGAATCCGATTCACTTCTTCTGGATAATACCAAGGCCAACAGCAAGTAAGACCCGAATGCGATCACCCCAAAGCCTCCTTCAGAGCGGCCTACTCCCCCGCAATGCTCGAAAATGACCAACCTTGAGTTCAATGGTAGGTGCTCATACGTACATATGCTCTGAGCCTCTAGTGTCCGTCCTTTCTCTGTCACTGCAAGATACAGCTCGGTTTCAATCCATGAGGGTCTGCCTACCTCGATACACCCAAGAAAAACCATGCAGACACGCCCCTAGCTACTCGGCACCTACCGAACCACACCTTTACCACTCACCTTACACACAGGCCTGACACGCCGGCAAATGAATAGTCACCGACTTCAATACATGACTGCAGCATCTGTTCGGTAGTTTAGGGAAAGAAGCCTGTGAAGATAACAGGATTACTGTTAGACGTCTGACTAGAGGTATCGCCCCTTCTAAGTATTTAAACTACTTGACAGTTTAGTACTCTCTTCCGAAAACCCGGTCAGCGGATACCCCCCAACCCACGGCATCCCGAATCCACCCCCACCCGCAGCCTCAGACCGAGCACAGCACACCCCCAGCGCCAAACCCCACTACAATCCCCCCAGCTATCCTAGATTCCATAACCCAACGCCACCCATCCAATATACGGAAACCAGCGGTCGAGTCACAAGCCATCACTCGCGCCCAGCCAACGCACGGACCAGCACACAAGCGAAGAACCTGCCAACAGACCAGCGCGCAGGTAACATCGGAAACACACAATTTCATCCCAAAAGCAGGCAACCCGCTCTTTCAGTTCTCGACTCGTTACGCCAGACCTATCCATCAATACAGCATCTGTAAGGTGGTGGTGGGGTGTGCTAGTTGTCATCACTGCATCCTTCGAAAGCGTTGCAGATGTACTGTTGAGAATGGGGTGTGTCGTCGAGTAACGCATACACTCGGGGAGGTGTTCATTGGCAGGAAATCGGCGTACTTGTATCTAAACAATCAGTTTTTTTTCGTCCTTGACCTAGCTACCAATCGCAAATATAGAGACAGCGACAAGCGCTCATGAGTACCAGTTCACTGTCAGTGAATTTCCCAAGGCTACATCTGGAAATAGTTGATTATTCAGACCATATGGTTTAGTAAATTATATATATCACAAAACTATTATAATTTTCAAGTTAGTAATGTGTTGTGTAATTTAATATGGGTCTGGTATTCAGGTGTGGTATTGCGAGTGATAGTCTGTGAAGAGCGTCGGCGTGCTCTCGGAATGCGCAGAATGAAGGTTTGATTAAGTCTAAATAATTATGACCTTTTTGAAAAAAAGGATTGGTCTAAATTGGGGATGTTTAATGCCTTTTTTATTGTGCGTGTTTGTCTCTAAGCATCTACAACGACCACCTCGTAGAATTAAAGCAAAATAATTTGCAGTGTAACAGTGAGACCCAAGTAAAATCTACTCCCACAATCCCCTAAGACATACCGCCCGCGGCCCCACGCAACACAAATAGCAAAACCACCAGCGCACCAAAGGACCTTCTACTCCCCCTCCTCCAGCCACCCCCTCGGCAACACCAGTACCCTCGCCTCCTCCCCACCGCCCGTAAGCCTAAGACTCTTCCACGTCCCCTTAACCCAATTCCGTATCCCCGCACGCCGCGGACACTCCTCCAGTCCCTCTGGATCCCCAAAATACGTCATTGTGAGCCCGCCCTCGGAGTAGTCATTCATATTGCGCGGCCCCGCACAGCGGAACACCGGTGAGCTTCTGTGTGCCTCCTCGAGGCGTCTGAGGACCTCCTGCTCACGGGTGAGCGCTGGAGAACTGACTGTTCGCACGGCGGTGACGACAGGTTGTGGTGCGCGCAGTGTATTTGCCGCGGTGTCTGGGGAGGATGATGGAGCGGGGATATGGCGGCCTGTGAGGGGGAGTGGGGGTGCTCTGGCGGTGTTGTTCGACTCGAGGGTGTGGTTAGGAGGTCCGCCTTCGAAGAGGCCGGCGAGGGCGGGTCTGATGCGGCGGCCGATGGAGCCATGGCCGTTTCCTTCGCACTTGAGGAAGGCGGCTCTGTGGGCTGGTGCTGGGAGCCTTGTTCTTGTTGGTGCGGCGGGGCGTCGGTTTTCCTGCTGGATATTAGCACTGTTGCGTTCTCGTGGGTAGAGAGGTAGAAAATACTTCCTCCTTTTTCCCTCCTGTCCGGACCCAATACGTCTGCAAAGCTTTATGTTAGAAACTTGATTCCTCAATTCACCTGCCGTATACAGCTCAAGAAAAAAGACAGGAATGGCTATTCACCTTAACCGGCACCTTCCTCATCTCCGGCGACTTCTCCACCGTCGGCGACGACATCTGCTCGAACTTTGCTCTATGCTTTGACACCGAGCTAAAGCACCCCATCACACTACACGGGCCCGGGCCAGAAGCCGTACAACCTTTCTCATGCTCTCCTTCTTTTTTCGGCGCATCTTTCACTTTGCCCGTGACCCTTTTCGGCGCGTTGAATCCAAACCGTCTCTTAGCCGTCGCCGTGACCATTGTTCCATTTGTGGCAGGAACTGCCGGTCTCACCTCTGCTACCGGTCCACTTGTGGCAGGAGCTGCCGGTGGTCGTCGGGTACCTCGTCGCCTAGCAACCGGGATGCGTGAAGCTCTCGGGCAGCTCGGAGTCCAGCTCCAGTTGCGTGTGCAGCAGGTGTAGCGTCGTTTCCGGCGCACCTGGGCGCCGGGTGTGGATGGCGGGAAGGGGAGTTTAGTCGCCATTGAAGGCTTGTTGGCTTCTATTTTCCGCTTGCCAGCTTGGTTGTTTGTGTTGCTGATTATTGGTTTGAATTTGGGGATGGTCGGGGGGGTGTTCGCAAACTCGCAGTGAAGCACTAGCTAGTGGGGGAGCTTGCGGCCGTCCATTCTATGGTGCCAAGCTAGCGTCTTTCAATGAAGTCGGCCCAACTTGTGAAATGTCACAGCCTTCAGGTGGACCTAATGCCTCTAGATCAGCAACCGTTTTTGCTACCGCGCCATCTTGGTATGCAGTTGTTGATGACTATCTAATACTATGTATTTACTGCCCTTAATTCTGCGAGCCTACTCGCCCTCTGATTGGCCAAGAGCAGAACCTGACCTCTGTGTGGCAACGGGCTCACCCAAAATAAAAAAAAAGACCCCAAACGGCATATAACACCCTATAGACGAAGTATTGAGAGGTATCACTAGTGGGATGGGACATATTAGAGTCTTTTATCCACACTCACTCGAAGATTGAAAGATGGGAATCGAGGCAAAACGACCAGGATCTTTGCATGAGAAGACCTAACCCTGGATTTTACTGAGTTGAGGAAATATGGTCTGTCTAATTTCTCAGAATTACGCTGAGAGAAGAATGAGTCCCGTCAGTTTATTGGTTCTTCCAGATTGAACTACTGCATATTCTTTCCTCCATTTGGCTTGTACATACAACCCCCGGTCGTTTTGCCTCGATACCTATTTTTCAACCTTCGAGTGGGTGTGGATAAAAGACTCTATTGTTAACGGAATATAGAAAGGTAAGTACATGTACTACGTATACATAAGTCCTATAACCTAGACTATATATCATAAACTACGGCGTATAATGGGAGAAGCATCCTAAAGTGAGGTTGACTCACTGAAGGAGGAGGGGAGGGGGGCGGTACGTTTTGGGTGGCACAAAAAAAGAACAAAAAGTACTGTGCGCTTCCGGGACGAATAGGCACTACTCCCACCCCTGGGTCGAACCCTGGCCTTCTGTGATCGAAAGCAGGGCTAAACCTCGCGGTGTTCTTTGGCGAGGGTTAACCGTTAGACCACTCGCCCATGTGTGTTGGTGGCTAGAAATGATATTTGTGCGCCAAGGATGGTTGGCTAGCACTACATGTAGCTACATGAAGATGTAGTCTATTTCCAACAACTCGCGGTCGCGAGGTGGCACACCCCTAGTGGGATCGTACCTGCACCTGTTGAAGTTGGTTCCGCTCGCATCACCACCACCATCACCGCCACCACTGTCACTATCACATAAGACGTCTCCATGCATCAGGTAGCTATCGACATTTTAGTATTCCTATCATGCTCAAGCAATTTAGGAAGGAGCTAAGATATGCTCACAGGTGATAATTTTTATCTCCATGTCCAAACATCGCCAACCCCTCAACATGTATTCTCGAGAATATCGAAGCTGACCTAAAGGCAACACCAAACACCAGACCTGAAATCCACTCATCTCTCAGCTGTGCACTACGTTCAGAGGAACGACAAACCCGCTGGTACAATGACGAATAATTCGTTACAGCCAATCGATTTGCTAGAGATCAGTCTGGGCGTCACCCTTCATCACCAACAGCCCCTGCTCGTCGCTCAACGAGTTTCGCCATCCCTCCAAGAGCTATTATACGGGCTTCAAAGTGATGGTGTCTTATCATTGTCCTGGGTGTATTATAAGTTGGATGATGTTCTGACTGTGAAAGGAAGATGATCAATTGTCTAATGCACTCGCTTATGGGCCGCTATTCACACCCTTACCAATCTAAAAGCTGTTGTTTCCAGCCTTTGCAATGTGGCATCTTAGTTCTCCTTTGAATAGGCAACTCGGGTGGCACTTAATGTCAGTGAGGGTACTGTATCCTTTGTGGCGGATTGGGATCTAGATAAGGACCAGCCAAAGAGGGGCTGGGTGGGTACTACACAAAAAGCGTACAACCCATACCGCCCTCACAAGCTTCAAAGACCATTTCACCGCAACTACCTCAAACAACGCACAACCAGCTCATTTTTAACGCACGCATAGGCATACAACCGACCACTACAACATTCCAAAGATACAAAAACCGACAAAAAAGTTGCAAAAGTTTGTTAACTCCCACCTTTGCGGGGGATTGAACGCATCTCGTCCAGAGCCCACCTGCATGGTGTAACGGGGTTTGGGTAGTTTGTAGAAGTCCAAGTGTTTACAACTTGGCCACGCACCCCGCTGGAAGCATGTGTCCTTGCTGCGCTTTGAGGGCCACCTCAAGCGGGTGTTTATTACTAATAGAGGACAAATATAGATTATTTTACGTACACCTTTCTCCGTGGCCATATCGTGAAAATCTCAAGCTTCGATCAGCCTCAAGAACAGCTGTGAAGTCTTCAAACGAGCTACAATTTACTCAACAACCAGCTCTCTAGAGCATTGGAGCTCTAAAAATTCGATATCGCCAGGAAATAGAGCTTCAGAAAATTATAAAAAAATGAGAGACCAAAAAAAAAGAAACTCACACCTGAGCGGGGGATTGAACATCAGAGCCCACCTGCCCAGTGTGACGGGGTTTGGGTAATTTGCAGAAGTCCAAGTGTTCACAACTCGGCCACGCACCCCGTTGAGAGGAGGGTCCTACACTCGCTTTTGACGAGGGCTTATTATAGACTTTATGACTAAGACAGGACAGATAGAGACAGTGTTCTCCGTCCACGTGGCAAGATCGCTAGACTCCAAGAATAGCCCTGGGTCCTCCAAAGAACACTGCGATTTGCTCAACCTCAAGTGCTCCAGATGTGCAGAGATATACATCGTATATATGTGTCAAGAGTTAGCTCTTGCTGTGTTAGAACCAAGCTCGGAAAAGTTTGGAAGAGGGAATAAAAAATATACCTAAGCGTGGGTTTGAACCTTTAGCCATAGCTCGCCCTTACATGGCGCTTCGTTAAAGGTACCGCGAGATTGTGTATAATTAAGGAACCCGACATATTATTATTAAGGAATGCAAAAAAAGATTATGATTTTCCCCCAGAATTTGCCTTATGTGGTATGCTAGAAACAATACACACTTACCCATCCGACAATAGGACATATGGACGTTGTCACATTAAAAGTAAAGTCGCAAGATAATTCTCGGGTGGAAGTGATCCTGAAGGTCTTAGTATCCGTTAAACATACATGCCCTTCTCGTGTCTGCAATTTTACCTTCAATTTTAGTAACTGTACCATGCTTTTTACTTGTTCAATGAATCCTGTGGTTGCAACAAAGACCATATGAACATCCCCACGGAACTGTTCAACGACTCATGGTATATCACTCGCAACTGCTTAGACTAGCTGCTAGGTTCATGAATTGTCACTCGTATGCATGCTTTCACTCCGCTTGCCGCAAAGATTCCGGCAGAAAAAAAAAATGTAGATAACTTCTTCTACACATTCAAACAAACTCTCAAGCTTTCTTTACTTTCTGGTCTTAATCCTGCTTAACGTTTCTATGAGATAATGTACTAATCTTATTGCATGTATAGTACGTTGCCAAGGCATGACGTTGTGTGAACCAATGATGCTGCAATTTCATCATCCCTGCATTCCAAATATTCAGTGAAGTAAGCGAGTCGCGCCGATCCTTACTTATGTACCAGAGATTGTAGAAATCCCAAGGTAACTGCCTATAGTACTTGATCTCTTTTCGCATTAATTTTAGTAGTATATAAGTATGTATCTGTCGATATTGGGACTTATTGCTCTGCATACTAGAAGTGTTCGAGCTTTTTGACCCATACGCTGCCGGTGTTAATTATATTTTTGTTGATCAGCCCTCTCTATCCTCATCTATCATGGATTTAGCACCAAGTACGTCAAGTATACATAACGCAAGCTACATGTAAGGACCTACTTGTACTACATGTCATTGGTTGGTGGTTGCATGTTACCTTTCGCGCTAGCGTACTTTTGAAAGCGAGCTAGCCTAATCTGAACCATTGGTACCATGAGTCGATACATCCTAAGAGCCCCCCAATCAAAATTATGTATTTAAACAGAACTCGCAATCTCTCACACCTTCCCACCACTCATCCACAATCACCTTCCTCAACATCAACAATCCTTCACCTTTCACAAATTCATTTTACTAACATAATCTTTGCTCCCCCTCTCGCCCAACTTTCCTTGGTAATAAATACTTTTCCGTTGTATTTATACCTTAAGGTGTTCGAGTCTCCCTATCTTCGTTCGTAATAAACCTCGAATAATAAATCGTAGTAGCTCCAAAGCTTTACGTCACTATTCACCCAAAATCTTCTCCTTGCCGCTCTTCCGCTTCTTTTTCGGAACCAACTTCCCCACGTCACTACTCCTCGCCAGACTTGAGATCTCTCGCATTTTCGCTTCAACTCTTTCCTCTAACCAACCACCGACCTTTTCCCCCCACAAAGTCTTTTCCTTTTCCCCTTCTCCAAAAAACCTACTCCAAAAAACCTACTCCAAAAAACCTAAAGAACCCAAGTTTCTTTCTCTCAATCAAAAGAAATAACATCAACATGAATACCACCACCAGTTCATCGCCCCCGGCCTTGTCCGAGAACATGAAATGTTCCAGAAATCTCAAATCTAAGGTTGTATTACTTCTTCAATGATGTACCACAGTGCGCTAACATAAGTTCTAGAAGCGGAGCGCAAGCATTAAAAGAAAAATCATAGGAACTAAAGCCGAAAAGAGGCATAGGCCAGTCGCTGTCCTCAAAATTAACCTAGCCGGAAAATCCAAGAATAGTGCTTTTGGACCAACCAAAAACCCACACGGAAACGCACGCATCACCAAAAGGAGAGCTTCGAAAGTTAAAGAAAACCAAAACTTTATCAGTCTCATCCGACTACCCAATGCGCAAGACCCCGCAATCTTCGAGACGATGAACTATGCCGACGATGAAGACCCCGCCCCAGTTGACATCGATATTATTCTTGAAAATGAGCCAGTTGAGATAATTTATCCAACCAGCATCGTCACTCACACCGAGAAGGAGCAAGTTAACCTCGAACTCGCTGCAAAGGTGGCCTGTGCACGGATTGCAAGCACTCCTGTATTCCGTAATTCTCCATCTCCCGCCTCTCGATCTTCCTATAAAAACCCGCGTAAGGTCCTATCTCATCGGAGAGAGCCTAAGCATGCTACTCCCCAACACCAAGTCACTACAGCCAAGAAAGCCAAAAAGGCTTCCCCTAAGGGCAAGAAGACGACTAAAAGGGCCTCTTTGAAGGCAAAGGCCACCGCCGCTAGAATCATCGAATACGCAAAGGTCAAATTTTCCAACTCGATCGTAAAAAAGATCGTCCCCATCGAAGACCCAGAAACCTTGATTGACACCAAGACCACCAGTGCTATGTCGGAGATGATGGGCAGGCTCACACTCAAATCAGCTAACCTGAGAAGCCGAGTCTCAAATGGTATTCGCACATGGTTTTCCCCTCTGAGGAACCTTCCAGTCACTCCTCTTGGGGAGATTCTTTAGGCCGTTTTTTTCTTCAATTTTTTTTTTAAATCACGAATCACTTCCACATCATTCTTTTAAGCACCACTGTCATCCGCAGGGTGATTTTAGATATATTTTATCATGACCTTACGTATGAATTGTAAGTCCTCTATACAATCCCTCTCTGTGACACTACGTTAACATGACCTAAGGAATCAACACCGCCCCGTTAGAAGTTTACCCACCAGGAAGTCAGTCGAGTAGGACAATTGGAAGAATATCGAGGTGGAGGGCGCTGTTTGGAGGGCTAGAACCTCCTTAAACCTTTCAAAGGGTTTGCCTTCTTGGCTTTTGTACTTTGTTTCATGGATACAAGTCATTTGTCTGTCTGAGTTTCTGTCGGTCTTGGGTTTTCTATTTTTCTGCCGGTGTTTCTCGTTTTAAATTGAGTGATCTTAGCATCATTACATGTAGTTCTTCCTTTCATGGATACATGTAGTTCTTTCCTTCCAATAGTCCTACAACCTCTTGTGAGGCTTGCTGCCTCTATCTGCCCGATTTGATTTAGTTTCTCGACATTATGTTTATAAAAAAATATTAAAGTAGAACTCAATAAAATCCTAACCTAGGGCTTAGGCATACATATCGACTAGGTTTGTTTGTGATTAAGTACCTTCGTAACTCGTGCTCACGCAGCAAAGAAGAATCATTGCTGAATATCTGCTATCAGACAACTCACTTGACTAAATCTCAATGACACTGATACTTAGGAAAGAAGTATTGTAACCCCATAGCTATTGATAAAAACCCATAGCGTTGGAGGAAGATACATCCGGTCCGTGTTTAGAAACGCACTTATAGCTTTTCAGGGTCCACTTATTTATCCGATCTATACACGCCTTTATATAAAAGACTTCCATAGATAACCCACCACCACAACTGCGTGTGAGAGACATTAGAGCTAATATTTCACTTCGCTTCAAGGATAATCATACGAAACATTATCGTGTGCAGAGTCTATATAACCCCAAGGTTGAAGAAATGATTTTTATTATCGATGTACAGTTTGAATCAAGCTTCATGTAATCATTATCTATCTCATGTACTTATCATAATATCCTATCTTCACTGCAAATTGAAATACCTGGAAGACAGTATGAAAGCTCATCCACGCCATCCAGAATACGTATTCAGAGGAGTATAATTATCTGCCTACTGAATCCCTTAAGTTCCTAGATAATGGTCGAGGCCATATTTTTTTTCACATTAAATAGTTGCCATAGGTTAAAATCTATATCATCTGTTGTAGCATGTTACATCTCGTCAGGATCTCTATTCGTTTAGTTCTCACCATAGCAAATTATATATTCGTACAGAAATTCATAGCTCATCGAAAGCCATTAAGGACCGAATGCCTCCAATGAGATCACCATCGATTTAGGGCTGAGGACATGCCACATGTTTGGTTACCCTATCCTTACTTCATGTAGTAGTACAGTCATTCGCCTTTAAAACTACAAACCTAAAAGGGGTTCATTAACTACATATAACAATGGCTGTCGACTACTCCTACCACCCGCAATTCACCTCACCATAAGCTCATGCTACTGGCACCTCATAACAGTCCTCAGTCGCCTTGCAAGTATATATAACACGAATCAAAGAGAGAGCACCCTGGAGATATATAGCGGATCTCTAAAGATTTTTCAATTCGACATGCGATAACTACCTGACACCTACCTCTGCTATCTCCTCTCCTCATCCTATTCTCTAGTTACAAACGTTATTTCCCATCTCGTTACGGAAGGAATTGGAAGAGATGAATCCCGATCTGGGTTGAGCAGAGTTAGATTAACCAAAGAAGGCCTTATTGAGGTGAATGAATAGCTACACTAACCGCGGCCATTAAAAGATTGTTGCCCATATTGGCCATTCAACAGCTGGAACAATAGATTTTTAGCGATAACTATCTTCCGGAGACCTAATGATATTGGGAGTCGCGTCGGGGTTCATAGCCCCTGACTGCAGCTGGATAAATGCTTTCTGGTTTGAGTTTAGTGCAGAGTTCGATGCGCACAGCGGGGTTAGAATATTCGGGCCCTGTTCGTGGATCGAGCGCAGGGCTGGGGTTAGGCTGAGTACCGAACATATATGAAGGTGGCTCATGTGGATAATAACTAGAAGAGCCATATTGAACACTACGTCGCTCAGATAGTTCTATTCGATTAAGCTGCTGGTGAGCCTGGGGTCCATCGTGACAAAAATGTTGAGAATCCATATCGGAGCCTTGTACCGAACCCTGAAGGCTACCAGCAGCGGGGAAGCTAGTTGAATTTGCGGCGTTCCAATATCCGCCGATATCAACTTCGACCTGGGCCGTGGAATACTGAGAATGTGACGCGGGCTCTCGGTATCTGTTGTCGTAGTCTTGGGAAGACATGTGGTGGCGGGCTTGTAGATCAACTGGATTCCGATTTCCAGGCTGCTGGACGTGGTATCCATAGCTTTCGGAGAGTCCTCCATGCTCTTGAGCTTGCTCCTGGTGACCTCTTCTAATGCTAGAATTCAAGGCATCATTATAATTATGCCTACTATCCACATCTGTAGGCTCTTGTTGGTAAGTCGACCAATAGGGTTTAATCTTAGGACTACAATCCCACATTGCATCCTCACCAGATCCGAACTTCAAGACTGCATCATCGCTAATCTCATAAGATGCAGGCGGAGGCTCTCTTGTAGGTTGGTTTGAACGAAAGGTAGTATAGTCAGCCTGTAACCCTCCCCCTTCATGCGGACGAGAGATCTGAGCGGGAGAACTGGGATTTACCAGCTTTCTGGACCCAATTATCTCCAAATCATCAGATATTGTTAAATCATAAAATGGAAATGGTGGCTGTGACGGCCATTCGTCTTCAGAGTATTCTTCTTGGTCCTGAATTAACTCCTTTCCACCTGTGGTATTTTCCCTAGACTCTTGAACTTCAACAACGGTATCTGTGGGGGAGTATGGTAGGGTGATTGGCGGAGAGTACGGTGGAGTGTCGCACCTCTGGTGTGCGTATGGTGGAGAACAGTGTCGTTTATCCCGGTATCCATCCACTGAAGGCTGATCACTGATCTTTATCCTTGGGTAGCTGCTACCAGGGGCCTTAGGTACATTCCAACCTTCATCTGTGTCAAAAGGTCCACGCTCACCACCCCCAGAAATCCCCCGCCGTGAAGGGCCCCATTTTCCCTGCTGATTTAAGGTTGGATGAATAGATAGGCCTGTTGCCCCAAGGGGTGGTGTTCCTCTGGCTTGGGGAAGGTTATTGTATGAAGCGGGATTTTCTATATTTGCAGATCTTTGTTTGCTAGTGGAACTTACTAGTATCGGATGCTGTATCGGAGGTATCTGAGCATGAACCTTTGAAAGGCAAAATTCATTTTCCAGCGTAGTTCTGTTTTCATCGAAATTCAGAGGCCTAAGTTCAGGAGAGGAGAACAGGCTGTCGCTTATTGGCTCTCGGGATGATCTTTGATGAATATCTTCCACTAGCTCCTCGCCCTTATGGGTTTTACGAATATGGGGTTCTTGTGTCTGCTTAACAAGCGTGCACTTGGTTGTTGCTCTCTCTCGCTCATTTTCTCTCCACTCCCTCTCTTCTTCGGATAACATCTGCTCTGAGCTCATCTTGGCTAGATGTTCGGGAGCGACACTCCCAGCAATCAGACGTGTGAAAAGAGATTCATTTTTTTTGAGGTTGAATAGAATCGAGCGACACTTCTTTACATATGCATTGTGATCAGTCTTTCCATCGTTGTCCACGGTCCGCTCGATACGTTCAGCCAGCTGTCTACACCAGGTTTCCTCCGTGTAAGCCTCATCGAGCACGACATCGGAACCCCTTACCAGCGGTACAGTCTTTGCCAATAGATTATCATACAGAGCATCCAGACCCTTTTGTCGTCGATCCGCTTTAGGTATTTCTGCCTTTTTTTGGACGTCATCCTTGAACATTTTGACAATAGCTTCTCTCTTTCTTAGCTCAGCAGCCACTTTGTGGTCTGGGCGTGGATTCTGAGCTTTAATTCCTGTGTCGAAGCCCCTCGCTAGGTCAGGCTTTGATCGTTGTAAACCCATATTACTTTGTGCGTGCTTTCCTTCTAGCAGCTTTTTTCTGGCAGTGCTAGTTTCAGAAGCCACCTCTTCCAAAGTGATATAGGCTCCGTGCCCCTCCCCGGGCTGATTTCCAGCGATATCCTGTTTTGGGTGCTGGAAATCCTCCCCCCACCCCCCAGCCGCTCCGTACCTTAAAGGTATATGCTATTAACCTATCAATCTCGTTTCCTCCCCATTGAAAGAAAAGAAAGCTTACTCCTGACTCTCTTGTACGACTGTAATCTTCAAATCGTATCCGCTTCGGTGCCTTGGGTTGAGGGGTTTTAGTTTCGTCGCTCTGTAATTTCTAGAATATTTAGATTTATTGTGTTTTAGGGCCACCGAATCTCAAAGAATACCCACTAAAGGTGCCAAGCGATCTGGGGATTCGGGAGAATGAATGCGCTTATTGTCCACTGTAGTCGCTTTTCTTTGTGCCTAGTATGTGTTAGATATTACCTAAAAGATTTACTAAGGTGGCCTTCCATAGCGGACGCTTACCATGTCTTTGGTAGTAACAGAGGTCACTCCTTTGCCTGTGGAACCATATGCCCAAGCGTTTACTTGCTCCTTCCCCTTGAGCAACCGGTTTTGTTGCAATCGCATCTTCTAGGAAGGGTGTGAGTACTATGTGTATTGGCGTTGGATCTGACTGAGTGAATGCTTACTTCCATTCCCGCGTCATATTCGTCCTCAGATTCGGTAGATGTGGTAGTTTTCTTTCCTAATGATGATTTTTTTCTTTGTGGGATATTCTGATGCGTGTAAAAAGTTAGATTTCAATAAATGTGCCGGAAAAGATCGAAGATTGTCGATCGCCCTGGATTGAGTGTTTAATCACCTGTTTACGCTCCTGCTCCTCTACCTCAAGCTGGAAAGCTCTCTGAGAAAACGGTTAGTACGATTAGAATAATGATTGTGAAATACCCACGTACCACCTTACATAGAGGGGAAAGCTTACTAGACGGTTTGTCCTTTGATTGGGTTTATTTAGAGCGCTTTGTATCTCTTGTGGTGGGGATGTCTGCGTAAATACTCGGTGAGCAAAACCCTGAGGCCCAACTGGCTTCGATCTAAGAGGAACTAACGGTGACTATCAGTCCCGCAGGATTGTTCCTATTATATCCGCCTTGCTCACGCATTGCTAATATCTCCTTTACAGTTCCTTTCCTTCTTGGCGCCGCCGGTGCCTCCAACGGCGGATACTAGAATAGATCTCAGTAAGCGTGATGGAGAGGAAGAGTGACCAGACGTACCTTGTCCGGAGGATCATTGTGAGTGCGAACTTTGCGGGGTTTACTTTGCTTGCGAATGGCCATCGCCAATGTTCTTCGGTGAATGTACTAGTTTGGCGGTGACGGTAGTGATGGTGGTGGTGGTGGTGGTGCACTGGTGGTGGTGGTGGTCCTTGTGTGCGGTCAGCTAAATGTGGTATTCGAAATATTACCCTGCAGTTTTAGTTCACACAGGTTACAGACAGATACATGTAAATGTACATGCTCCGGTCAACAACACTCAATCCACAGCAATTAATCTCAAACAAAGCCACGACCACTCCCTCGACTCGCCTATTCAGATCAACATTAAAGCATCACTATCAGACCTTCTCAACACCGCTCCAGATAATGACGCCAGCGGCCATCGTTGTCTCTAACCTCCGGTACGAAAGCTAGGTGGCGCAATAATAAAGTGATAATGATTCCAAGGATCCATTTGATCATTACTCAAAATTATAACACATCCTCTCATCTTTGCGCTAATGCCAGCTGTGTTATAAGGTGAACGATTTTGGGGGGTGGGGGAATGCCAGATAAAATAGCATATTCCTGCCTATTACTGGGGCTTTTGGTCCTATCCTATCACTTGTTAACAAACCCATTGAGCACATGCTCCACGGGGAGCTATACGTAGACCCTCAGAATCATTGGACAGTCCCTTAATCTCTATCTGTATCAGAGGATTGGAGTTATTCGCAGAAACCAAGCTTAACACCTCTCTCTTGGAACAGCATTTCGATAAGTATCCTTCCACCACTGTTAACTGTCCACAATTCCAAGCCTGTCAGTAAGCTTTCTCCTAACGAAGAAGAACAACATAGTTTTGCATTTGCTCTCAAGAAAATGATGGCGTTCTTCCCGTGTCTACGCATGAGAGCTTGGGAGAAATTTCGACCCAGATCTTTTCTTTTCTTTCTCTTCGCCTATGTCATTGCAAAATCTCAGAGGAAGCATATTGGAGTTTCAGGAAGAGAGATCACTCAATATATTTGTAGGTCTAACTGCCAAGAATTCCCTAGATTCCTGCTGTCTATTCATTGCTCTCGACCTCCTATCAACATTCCATTGCATAATTAAGGTGTAAGGGAATAGATTCTCTTCGTCGAGTTGTAACTCCTCGACTAACCTCAGCTACAAGAATATAATTAAAGACGAGTGGAGAGCAGTCAACTGGTCTGCACTTCTGTGAGACTCAACTGCAACTAAAACAAAATATGATTAGCAGTCTGTTCATGAGCTCATTTTTATTGGGCATTTAGCAAAGACCTCTATCGTGTCAGCTCTTTATCACATCAGAGAGGCCCAGTGCGCCCCTACATTTTTAAGGTGGTGGGAAATCTTCCTCCACCATAATAATCTCATCTACTGGTTTTTATTATCGTAAAAATGGGCTCAAGGGTACGATATGAGTGTGAACCCAGACATAAGCTTTAACATTAAACAGCAATCATTCCGCCTTCACTCCTCTGAGATTTTCCTTTTCTTTTTGAGTTTGCTTATCTTCATATCTCCTCACCCTGCGCGGGATCTCCTCCTTGAAGAATTGTTGAACGTATTTTCAGCTTTTATTAGACTCATTGGCTTGAAAAGGCCCCGTTTCAACTCTCATATTGGGTTGAAATATCTCACTTTCTCAAGGTCTCATTGGCAGCGTTAAGATATTCAAAACTACGTCAACGTTGGAATAATCATCACAACAATACTCCACACTTGAAAATGCATTCACAATAAAAGCAACAAATCTCGCCCTTTATTTCTCATCATCACATCCTACCCTGACCACTAATACATATCCATCAAGGCTACATTAAAGTCAACGTTGTTTATCTCCCATCACTTCCACCATACAAACACAGCTCCCACGCAACCGAACGCACATACCAACATCCACCTCACCAACCAACAGGCCAGTATGCCTAGATACCCTCGACCTGAAGGCTTCGGCCCCCGTGGTGCCCGTGATGACCGGGTCGGCGAGACCCTCCACGACTCAGATGAAGAAGTCGAAGTTCGTGATCGATCACCGTCCCCTGAGTGGCGCCCTCCCACCCGTGAGTACACAGTCCCTCCCGCTCCACCTTCAAGCCTGGAAGATGTACCGAAGAAGCGACCTGGAACTGGCAAGACCGAAGAGCAGCTTGCGGAGACCGCTGCTCGTGTGGAGGATTGGGTTGCAGATGTTGAGATAGCGGATACGCGGAGCTCAGAGGACGGAAGGAGGCAGAGATTGATGAGAAAGGCGCGCGCGGTGTTATTGGAGTTTTTCAGGAAGAAGTAGCATCTTGGCTCAGATATGATTAAGGACAATGATTAGTGGCTTGTGCGTGCGGGAAAGAAATTGCGATTTAGAGAAAAGGCAGCACGATCTAGATAGAGAGTTAGGCGTAAAGTGACGAGGGGGTGTCTACGAGTGTAGCAAGTTGATTTGCAGTTAGGGTGAGAGCGAGGATAAATTAGATTCTAGGTAGAATAAAAATTTTATTTCTGAAATGTCATTTTTTGACTTTGAGTGAGACTTGTTTGGCGATAGTAGTTGGGCTCGGTCGCCATGAGTCCGAGAAAGTACAACCGTCGAAAATCAAGGACTATATCCCTACTACAGCTAGCACATCCACTACAGCTGGATTGTATTCAACCGATACCTGATTTACGGTATATCTCTCGTCCTCTTTTCTGAGAGAGTAACATACATCCCGAACTTATCTTACTTGCCGCACAGGACCTCCACCGGAATCAATTCCTTCAAACACACTCTGCGCCGCGTCCATATGCAGCGATCCGAGCCAAAGCCCGGCTGTCAATCGGAAGCTCAGCTGACTCATGCGAAAGAATTGCTGTTTTAGCTCCTGAGTAACCGCTAGAGAAAGTATGTAGGAGAAGTAAAGTAATTGATCGTGTTATTGTTCTAGCTAGAGGGGGGAATGCCCCGTATTTATACTAATGAAAGGTAGTACAAAAGAAATATAATGAGTCATGGACGTGTGAGTGATAGAATGACTAATAGGAAAGTGAGTCATACGCCGATGACAAATACTATAATGAAATGATGAGAATCTTCCAGAACTATGAAGTGTGCCGAGCGCCCTGTTTCAAGACTTCCCCTCGTGAGCCACAGTGAATAGTGGAAGAAAATAAAACATGTTTGCCTTTGTCCAATCCTTTTGTGAGTAAATCCGCCACGTTCTCGTTCGTAGAAATATATTCCAGTTCAAATAATTCATCCTCAAACCGTTCCCGAACAAAATGAAAATGTACGTCAATATGTTTAGACCTTTTATGAAAGACAGGATTTTTAACCAAAGAGAGAGAACCGTTGTTGTCGCCTCGAAGAATGAAAGAGAGATTTGGTTTTCGTTCCAGCTCGTGGATTGCATTCCTTAACCAGATCAGTTGTCGACTGGTGTCCGAGAGGGCCATGTATTCCGCTTCAGTTGTAGAAGTGGCGACAGATCGTTGCTTATAAGAGCGCCAGGAGATGAGGGCTTCCCCTAGCATGAAGCAGTGGCCGGTGAATGAACGGCGATCGTCGATGTCGGAGGCATAGCTTGCGTCGCTATAGCCGATGAGTGCAGTTGGTCGCGTTTTGGCGTAAAAGAGTGACCAATCGAGGGTACCTTTGAGATAACGGAGGACCCGATGGACTGCAGCTAGATGAGCCTTAGTGGGACAGGAAGAAAATTGCGAGAGCATGGTGACGGTGTAGGCGAGGTCGGGTCTAGTGCCGATGACTGCGTACATGAGTGAACCGATTATTGACTGATAAGTTGTTGGATCGTCGATTTTTTCAGCTTCCGTTCCTTTTTGGAGGTGGACGTTGTTGTCGATAGGTGTTGTCACAGGTCTGGATTCATTGAAGCCATATTTGATAAGTACACGCTTGAGATAAGCTTCCTGTGATAGGATGATGCCAGTCTTAGTGTGGATCAAGTGGATTCCGAGTGCCCAGTTGGCTGTGCCAGTTTCCGTCATTTCGAATTCAGAGTGAAGGAGGAGGCTGACGCGGTTTTTGCGTTCAACGGACCAGTAGAAGATGAGGATATCGTCTACGTATATTGCGATAACAACTTCCCCTGTCTTGTGTATGAAGACACAAGGGTCGAAGTCTGCTTTTCTGAATCCTATTTTGATTAGCGCTTTTGAGAGGCGGGCATACCATTCCCTTGATGATTGTTTGAGTCCGTAGATGCATTTGATTAGTTTGCATGCTTTGCCGCGAGTGGGGTAGCCTGGAGGAGATTTCATGTAGATTTCTTCCTTAAGTTCGCCGTATAGAAATGCGCTTGTGACGTCCATCTGATCGCATTGACCGCCGGTTTGAAGGCAGCGAGCGAGGAGTAGTCTGATGGATTCGTATCGGGTGACGGGGGCATAGGTTTGATCGAAATCTTGACCAGGGACCTGTGAGAAACCTTTTGCGACTAGTCGGGCTTTGTACCGTATGGGGTTGCCATCGGGCCCGAGTTTGATTTTGTATACCCATTTGCAGTCGACCAGTTTGCGGTGATCCGGTGTGTTGACCAGATTCCATGTGTTATTCCTTGCGAGTGAGTCGAGTTCAACTTTCATGGCATTCTGCCATTTTTCGGAGTCGGGACTGTTGATCGCTTGGTGGTAGTTTGTTGGTTCTGTTAGGGTAGTGTCATGCTGAATGTTGTGTCCGTATCTGACCGGAGGTTTCCGTTCCCGTGCTGGGTTACGTCTCGGTTGATCAGTATCTGTTTCATTATCATCATGCGGGGTACGTTCAGTGGCGGGCCTCGTATAGCCGGCCCCCACTATACTTGCGTGGTCTTCCGAATTGGTGTCGGAGAAATGTTCCATGGTTTCGCGCATTATCTGTTGGTTGATCATGTCGTCGTCGCTTGGGTCGTCGTCGTATGTCCTACGTTGTTTTGGTGTTGACGGACGTGAGGGTGGTTCTTGTTTGATCTCGATTTGTTTTGGTTTAGGGGGTGTATCGGTTTTTGTTTTGACTTCGATTTCTTCCCCTACGGATGTACCTTTAAACCTAAAATGACGAGAGAGAACTACTTTCCTTTGTGATGGTATGTAGACGCGACAGATTTTTTCAGAGTCTCCGTATCCGCAGAATTGTCCCGTTATGGCCCTTGCATCCAGTTTTGTTCCAGCTGGTCGTGCTTCGACGGGTATGTGTATGAACATGGTTTCACCGAAGGATCGGAGGTGCCCAATAAAGGGTTTCTTTCCGGTAAGTGCTTCGTATGGTGTCATATTCGGGAGTGATTTGTGCGGGAGGCGATTTTTGACGTGTACCATGGTGTTGATGGCTTCTGCCCATAGATTTTTTGGGAGATTGTGGTCTAGCAAGGCAGATCGTGCCATTGTTGCTATAGTTCTATTAAAGCGTTCTGCTGTTCCATTTGACTCATGGGAGTAGGGTACAGTGAATTCATGCTTTATGCCTTTAGAGGCGAAAAATTGTTGAAGGTCATTGGAGATGTACTCGCCACCGTTGTCGCTTCGAAACCGTTTAACCGTTTTGTCCAATTGATTTTCCATGTATGCGATATATCGTTCTGTGGCAGCTGCTGCATCTGACTTCTTTTTGAGGAAGTAGAGGTGAGCGTACCTGGAGTAATCGTCGATGAAGGTGATATAGTAACTGAAACCGCCCAGAGAAGGAGTCGAGAACTTGCCGCTCAGATCTGAGTGTATTAGTTCCAGTGGTTGTTTGGATTGTGGTTCGGTGAGGGGAGCGAGGTGAGACTTGGTTGATTTAGCGAGTTCACATGTATTGCATGTTTCCATGTGACCAGATGTGGGGAGAGACTTGGGGTCGGCGACCATGGTGCGAAGCCGTGAGAGCGAGGAAGCGGGGAGATGTCCGAGCCGTTGGTGCCAGTCATAGAAGCTGGTGGCGGCAGGGAGGTGTGCGCAGGGTTCCTTGGTTTCAAAAATATAGAGACCAGTACTATTTGCGTTGGCGATCCCGATGATTTCCTTGCTATTCGGTTTGTAGATGGTAAAGCCGTCTTCCGTCCCAATTGTTGTGAATCCCTTTTTAGCGATGCAAGACCAAGACATCAGGTTGGTGTTGCCTAATTCGGGGATCAAGAATACATTCTGCAGAGTGATCAGGCCATGTGATCCGTTGATGGTGACGTTGCCAATTCCGGTTATCTGGAGTTTGCGACCTCCTCCAACAGTAACTGTTCCAGTATGGGGGGTAGGGTCGGTAACCAGCGTTCCGGTCATGTGGTTGGTTGCACCAGGGTCGAAGATCCATGCCTTGTTGTCGGTGGTGGAAGGTCCTGCAATGAAGCCAAAGTAGTCTTCCATGGTAATATCCGAGGTGTCATCTGAGAAGTTGGTGAGGTCGAAGTCAACCGGCATTGTGAATACATCGGTTTCTTCGAGTGCGGGAAGGCCAGAAAGATCGGGGATCCAAGAGAGGTCGAGTTTTGTGTGAAATGCAGTACCAGATGCGACGTTAAGCTTGCCAGATGCAGCGGACTTCTCCTTGTCTCTGAAAGCTTTGAGTTTCCGGCAATTTTTGTGCGTGTGGCCTTTTGCATATTCTCCATTCTTGGTGCACCAGGTGCATGTGACGTCCCGATTTCCTGTTTCGTTGTTACGTGGCCTCCTGACTCTGTTGTTGTTTCCGTGTCCTGGGTTTCCTCGCCTGATTGTGTAGGCTTCTCCAGCCGCCTGTTCATCGTTGTTGCGCCGTGAGTCCAGATCCAACAGCTTTTCGTAGACGTCATCGAAGGTGACGTTGGGCTTGGTTTGCAGGTTGTCAACGACTGATTCGAGGGATTCGTGCCGGAGTGAGAGGAGTAGGAAGGATGCCTTCGCTTCTGAGACAGATGCGAGTTGGTGAAGGTGGTAACCGAGTGGGTCTTTGGTTTTGTCCGTAGAGTTACTAGTTCTAGTGAGGAGAGATGACCAAAGAGTGTTGAACTGGGTTAGGTGTTCCTTGATGCCCTTGTCGGGAGTGTACTGTAGTGTGACGACATTGGCGAGGAGCGAGTGGAGGGAGGCGACGGTTTTCCGATCGAATCTGTCCTCGAGTTGAGTCCAGAAGTGATGAGCAGTGTCGGCCGGTGTCAGTGTGAGAATAACTTCGAATTCGATGTTAGATTGAAGGAATACAACTGCAAGGTTGTCCTTTTTGTCCCAGTCGCTGATTTCTTCGGCATTGTCGGAGGTTTCTTCTTCGTCTTCTTCAGCCTCAGCTACACTTCCTGATGCTTGTGGTGCCGTGGTAGGTACAGTAGTGGTGGTGGTTGTCAACACGGGACGCTTGCTCGAACCATTGACCAAGTTCCACAGATCGTGAACTTTCAACATGCGGGTAGCAAGGTCCCTCCATACAGTGTAATGGCCTTGACCATCCAGCTTGCATGGGAGTGCGTGAATTTTGATGCTCCTCTCAGACATGATTGCAAGTGAAACGAAAAAGTGTACTTTGTGGTAAAAATGGTGAAGAGTGTATAAGCGTGAGTGGTCTCCGGGCTCATAACCTAGAGAAAGTATGTAGGAGAAGTAAAGTAATTGATCGTGTTATTGTTCTAGCTAGAGGGGGGAATGCCCCGTATTTATACTAATGAAAGGTAGTACAAAAGAAATATAATGAGTCATGGACGTGTGAGTGATAGAATGACTAATAGGAAAGTGAGTCATACGCCGATGACAAATACTATAATGAAATGATGAGAATCTTCCAGAACTATGAAGTGTGCCGAGCGCCCTGTTTCAAGAACCGCTTTCTCACATGAACAACAACCAATCACCCAGCTCCCCACCCAGCCAAGACTAACGAGTGATACCTTATGAAGCTCGAGACTAAGCTTCAGCGGACAGCGGGAATGTTATGGTTCTGGGTGTTCGATATTAATATCATCATTTCATCTGTCTTTACTCTTTGTTTCGCTATGCATGCCTACATGTACTTTCTGCCAGGTTTCAACATTAGGCGGGGGGTGGGGTGGTGGGGTGGGCGGGGACCTATTCCCAACATCACGGATATGGGCAATTTATGTAACTTCAGGAATCTGCTGACCGCTGGCGTCTGTTTGCTGGTCATATTTTTAGGTTAATAAGTCTAATAAAAGACTTGTGGTTTTCAGCTCATTCCGTTTGCTGTACATCTATATCTCTGATCTTCTCTGTGCATCATAGTTTATTTATGTTAAACTGCTATATCTCTATCTACCGCTGGCTTATGGTCGCCTCAAGAATACTAAATTCACATCAATGTTTTCTATATTTAAAAGGTGGGCTACTTGGTTAGTTTAAAGCCGGTTGGGTATCGGCCGATTAGGAGGTAGAGAAATCTTAATGTTGTATTAAGGGTATCTAAGAAACGGGAAGATATATGCGTTTGATTAGAGCGTGGTATTATATGTATCCCCATGTATAATTTTATGGATAGTTGGGGAATCTAGCAAATGTTTAAGAATCATTTTCAACGCGGCACACATTCGGTAAAGCGCCTATATGTGCCTAACTTGCGCGATTTGGTATCTAAAAATTCAAGCACTAGGGAAGGCCCCCAAGGGTGAGGAGAAAACGAATAAAGAAATGAAATAATTAATGAGACATCAGCTTGATGTGAGTGGAAGAACTCCCCTCACAATCTTTCATCATATGTCAATGAACTAGAATCCCACGCTTTTTTAAGCCGAATGCCAGATCAATTGAAGAAATCACCTGTCTTGGAGATTGGGAGCGACAATCTCTACCAAATACAGACCAGGGCCCAAATATCAATCCCCGCTACTACAGGCTCAACTCGGAATCACCCAAGGATCTAGCCACCAAGCAGGAGTCCGGAACAAACAGATGCTTAGTGGCCCAGCATATAAACCAAAAGGACCCTGGCCCACGAATATTTACCTTGGCTAAGGGTAAGATACGATTGCCACCTAATAGACACAATTCGGAATCACCCGAGAATCAAGGGCCACCAAGCAGGAGTCCGGAACAAACACATACATGGTGGCCCTATATAAACCAAAAGAAACCTGGCTCACGGATATTTACCTTGGCTAGAGGTAAGATCCAATTGCCACATACAGCAATAGCAGGTACCCAGAGCAGTTATCCTCGGCCATCATGAACAAACGCTAGAAGCGGAAGTGTTCTAATATGAATTTTAAGGTGAGGTTGTGAGGCGACCGCCCCCAAATTTTCATGTTGATTGGTGTTTTGTTTCCTATATTTTCTGGTCATTCTCTTGCTTGAAAAAATATGAAGAAATATTTTCTTCGGGGAAGCACCGGGTCAAACTGAAAATTTCTGATATGAGAATAACGTAGTCACGGCCTGTGACAAATTAATTCTCGTCCATGTTCATTACTATGTTCATCCGAGACGGAATATGGCCTCGAAAAGCCGCTCGTTCAACCCTTAGACGGGGAGCCTTCAAAAGAGATATTTTTGGCATATTATTTGGCGATCTTCCGCTGTAGAGATAAATTTCATTGGGTGTTGGATTAAAAGGCTCCGCAAGTTTGTAGATTGGTAACGTGCAACGCCACTCCTCGTAATGCTGTTCGAGGTATTTCATGGCTTTGTCGTATGACCGCACTACATCTGGGCTAGAAGGCCCAGGGTACCCAGGGAACTTTTCAATGCTGAAATACCAAGGTGCCAAAATAATGCCGATCTGCTGTATGATAGTGACAATATCGGGAAGAAGTGTTTTGCTGATCTCCATCGACGCACAAGCGAGAACAGTAAAAATAACGATGAGAGTCGTAGTTGTTGTCCCTTCCGAATGATCAACGGGAGAGTCAGGGTTTAAGAAGGTTGGAATGAATTGAGACATTTCGTTATGTGATCGATCGATGGTGATGATGGAAGAGAAGAGGTACATTCATGGCGATTTTTCACACATTATGATGCCCCGTTAGTTACCCGCTCCCCGCGTTCATACACACAACGTCAACTAAGATACATGTATCTATCAGGCGGTGGGCTGCCAGCAACGGACTATAAATTCTACTTTTTGGACCGAGATAAGTTAAACACTGTGAAAGAACGTATCAAATCGCATCATAATATTCTTTATGCTTGCTCCCCTAGACCTTTTACCCTAACAGACCTTTTCCTGACAGCTTCCCGTCATATTTACTAATATAATATTTACCCCTCTCTAATTGTAATCCTTCCAAGCATATTGACTGACCTTTAAGCCTAGGCCGTATTAGCATAGATATCTACATATATTTATGTACCGATTTAGGAAACTTAGATATTTGGGTTAAATTCCCGAATAAAGCTAATTTCGATTTTCTTTTTTTTACTCAAATTTTGGAAGAGAAAGAGTGAACCGAATGGAACCAATTCGCAATATTCTGTGGCTGTTCATTTTGGGGCCGAGGGGAGCCAAAGCAGTCCCCGATCTCGATCTCGAAACCTCCATACTTGTTCCTGTCTCGTCTTGTCTTCACAAAGCCACCCCACAGCATGACACACCATAATACACCCAGGCCACCCAGCCGACTCCAAACCCATTTTACCATCCTCTTAAGCACACAGCCGTTCAAGCTTTATGAGCGTACATGTAGTGATTCGTCTGCAGGCAAAATATTAAGTTTCAACAGCACATGGAATTGCTTTTTGTCAGTGTTATTAATTCCCTTCTCATAACCAGGCGAACCCAATTCACTGCCGCATCCGCTGCTACCGCCATCATTAATATCGTCAGAAAGAAGCGAAAACTGTAGCCCCCGAAAGAATTTCAGTGTCCCTATGTCATCCTCCATGATCACTTTTGATCACTTATAATAGCAAAAAAGGCCGGGATGATAATCCCTCTAGTACCCTGAGCCTCCCATCTCAAAATCGATATCTTTTCCATCCATACACGTATTATTCTCTTTCAATTACAATTATCCAAGAATATTATCTAATAAGTACTTTAACGGGTTTAAGCCCTTACAATGGATATGTGGTATACTTATATCGGTACTTCCCAGAAACCGTATCCTTTGAAAGCCACTATATAATAATAATAGTTTCTTTTTGTTTTTTGCAGGAAGGGATATGAACTTGGTTCGGATATTTCACTACATCTAGTCCCTCTCTGACATCAAGACAAATCAATTTATCAGGCCTTCTTAATAAAACTACCTTTGTTCCCTCCATTATTTGGCAGTAGACAGGAGCTTTGATAACGTTACCTCAAGAGCTTACAAAATCGCATCTACAGCTCTACTAGTTAAAGCTCTTCCCGTGTTAGAATCTTAAAAACAGTGATATCAGGACTCGATTAGCACTAAGCATATGGGGCCGGGTCGCTAACTCTGCTGATACCTGAGAGATCTATTCACGAACAACCTATTCAACTCCTCGTCATTAACGGGGAAACCTGATGGAATCAGAGAACAGCCCCGATCTAAAATTGGCCTCCAGAGGTGAAGGCCAGATTTTTCTACCTAGATTTGGCCAGTCTAGTGACACACAACTATCCACAATTTTCTTTTGGGGGGGGGTTCCATCAGCATTGACTCAATTCATATCACTTGAAAGAACAATATCTTTAACAGAGACCTGCCCAGACGAATACACCCATTTTGCCTTCTTACATGCCATGGGGTGACAATAAAATACACGCGTATGAATTTTGGCATCCCAAATCTCAACATTTTAAGAGCTGTAATGTCTAGGAAATCTTTGACATTAAAATAAACTTGCAATTTCAACCTATCACATTAGGGATATCCTTGGTAGCGGAAGGTATATCCAGTTGGTAAAGCACTTTTTGACATTGATAGCCAGCTAACATTTAAAAGGAGTATATAGTATTGTTTAAGCATCGGGAATGACAACATCGCCGCTACGACTGGGTTAGTCTCAGCATGGTTTCGTTAGGTCTTCTCGCCCACTTACAATTTATGATAAGTGTATCCCATAAATGGTGTGTCTTGCTCCCTGCCTTGCCTAGCTGCTAGCAGAGCTCTCGGCGAATCCCCATAGTGACCGATATATTCCTGAGATATAATCTCATCCTCATCAGGGAAACACCTGAGCATCATGTTAGCTATAGTACCTACTACCAACTCGGGAGACCTACGAGGTATCAGTGATTGACGCTAGTTGCGGCCTAAAAGGAGCATCAAAAGTCTTAAGCTTTTCCCAGTCTATTCCATTAAAGAACGGATGTGCCTTAATTTCCTGGGCCCCAAGGGACCCCAGCCTATATTCAGCAGACGTAAGTAAAGATAGAACCAGACTCTTGGCCTCTTCTGATAGATCAACATTCTCGGGGAAGGAGAAGGTGTTCTGCCAATTCTGGATTTTGACTGCGGTCTCTCCCTCTATATTTGACCAAAATGGCGGCCATCCGATTAAGCATTCATACATTATTGCTCCAAGACTCCACCAATCACATTCTTTACCATAGCCACTCTGGTTCAACACTTCGGGCGCGATATAGTCTGGTGTCCCAACAGTTGAGTGAGCCCTAAGCCGTTGCGATTGCCGCCAAGTGTTTAGCGACTTCCTATCAGAAAGCTCAAGATGAATCTTATCCACTATCAGAGAATTTCTTGTCCGTCCGCTTGTACCGTTAGTGTTTTGTAAGGAGCCTCGTCCCGCGAGAGTGGTGCTGTAGTACTGTGCACTATGTCCTTTTCGAAATCCAGTTGCGAGACCAAAGTCAGAAAGCTTAATATGGCCGTTCGAATCAAGAAGAACATTATCGGGCTTAATGTCCCTTTATAGGTTCATAGTTTATTAGACTTAGCACCTTCAAATTTAAATTGTCGGACACATACCTGTGGATATATCCCATATTATGAACAGCTTCGATAGCAGATACAAGCTCAGCCATGTAGAATCTTGTAATATCCTCCGTGAATGTATCGTATTTCATGAGTAAAGTCATCATATCACCTCCTTGTAGAAACTCCATAATTAAGTAAAGCTTACTTGCGTCCTGAAACGAAAAGCATAATCCAACTAGCCATGGTGATTTTGCATCCGCCATAACATCCCTCTCGGCCTTGGCATGCGCAAGATCCGCGTTTTTCATTCTGTATTTTGGTATCGTTTTCATGGCGTAAATCTTTCCAGTGTCTCGCTTTTGTACCATACAGACCTGGCCATAGGCACCACGTCCAATTACCTTCAATATCGTAAAGTGCTCTGGCCGGAGATTTGTCCTTCGCAGGCGCAAGAATTGATTCTCTTGATTGCCTAATTGACTTCGCTTTCTGCTTTTTCTCTCCTCCGATAGTGATTCACTTTCTAACTCTTTCCGAAGTGCAAGAAACCTATTACAGATTAATACACATGCATTTAAGGAAAAATGAGCGAGGAATTAATCCCAATACCTCTCGTGTCTTTCTCTTCCATGCCTGACTGCACCCCGGTAGAATAAATCCGCTTTGATTCTCAGGGCATTCGCACGGTCTTGTGTCGCTTGCGAACACCTTCGTGGGTCCCGAGTGAAGGTAACATAATCGTCTTGAATTGTAAAGTTCGAAGCTCCTGTATTTCTAGTCCATGCCGTAGTTCCCTTCTGTGTTTCCGGAATCTCGCGGCTTTCATCGACCCAGACATCCCCGGGCTCACCATTGCTGTCAGGAAATATGGATGGAAGGTTGTTCATCTCAGAAATAAGGAAAGGCTCTTCTGTAAAAGGTGTAGAGTCGGTAAATGCCTCGTACGCAGATTGATCGAAAGAATCGTCTTCGCCACGTTGGGAGGTAGGCGCCTGCTCACCGTGGCCCAAATTCGGCCTTTTGCGACCGAACCTGAATGATTCCAAGAAGCCAGTCATATAGACAGCCGGGGGCAGATGCTCGAGTGTGGTAATGTAGACCAGATTTTGGCGTGATGATTATAGTAGTGGGTATGGCCGTGTATACAGAGCAAAATGTTGATAGAGTGAGCTTAGTATATACGGATGGTGGGTTGTTCTCCCCCACATGAGATAAAGTTCAAGCATGTGGGCCGGGAGGGTGCACGCCGGGAAAAAAAGATATTGTACATGTATGTAACGCCACACCAAAATACATGTAGGTACAAGCAGTAGAAAATACGGCAAATATATACATGTATCTAATGAATTTTACATTAGGAAAGTAGAATTTGAGTTATGTAGTGGTGCATCCAAAGTGATATCAAATCTCCTCTGATCATGACGGATCCCGAATCTCACGATGAAATTAATTCAAGCTTTCCCCTAAGACTTAAGTGTTTCCCTTCCCATGGATTAATACTTAGAGCTCTCAAAGTTTCAAGAATTACGTAGTCAATTAATGTAAAACGCACTACATGTAATTATAGACACCAATATGTATATATTATCAATCTCGAGCTGGTCTTCCCAGATATGTAAACCAGCAAATTTTAAGCCTGGTGTACAAGCCAAATATGTAACGCCATGGACTATGCGCAGTTCTAGTATCACGGGGGCATAAAGTACATGTAGTCTCTTCTCGTATGATATTTCTCCTCTGAAGAGATCATGAGAGCAATTTAAATTTTCTTAAAGCTCATTTGACTAATCAATTTCGATTCTATGCTTCTCTATGTGACTGATGCCGGGTAACATAATGAGATTTTAAATACATTGTATGTAGACTACAAGTAGTTCCGCTGTCACGCATGTACGTTCCAGTTCCCTGTAGTACATCCCACTTCTGCCCACTAACTCCCCCCCACACCCTCCCTTCAACCCCTGCGTTATTAGCACATCGCTTGGCAGAATCACTTATCTACGCCCAACGTGCATATCATGGAACCAATTGTCAATGCAAATAGTGCAGTCAATGTTGCACAGCAGTTCAACCCTAGGCTTTACGGATATGAGGGAGCCCTCTCCTCAGCGGTTGGTGAAAATGCGGAAACCTCGGCATACGACGAAAGATTCGCCCAAGCCGGTGAGTCTTTGAGTGCAACAAGTGCAACTACCTCTACAAGCCTTCAGCAATATAATCCACTCTTCGAATCTAGAGAGTCTCTCTCTTGGAATCAATCTCTAGAGACCCCGCTCACAGCACGTCCTCGAGGTTCCGCACCTATGGAACCACCTATATGTCCTGAACTACTTGGGTCAACATCTAAGACTCATGCGGACGATTTCATATCTGCCGACTTTCTCAACGCTCTCGTGAGAGCCAACGCCGGGATGGATTCACGCGAAGAGGCCACCATTCCACAGACCCCCGTCTCTCCTCCTCATCAGAACACCTTTATTGTTCGGTCAGAAATGCATAACGATCACCTCTGTACCACCGCTCCGCCTACCCGACAGATCGAAGTCGGGCCTCTACCTGGCGTTCGATCTACTCTTCGAAATCGACAATCTATCCCTGAGTGCTCTACCTACGTCTGCAAGTGGGCTGACTGTAATCAATCCTTTGGCGATGTCATGCTTTTACGTGTAAGTCTACAATTCTTTTTACATCCTCATATGTTTTTGACGGTTGCTAAATTTTCTGCATCCTTTTTAGTTCCATGTAACAGAAACGCATGTGAGGCGGGGTTCATTAGTTACTCTTAAATGCGCCTGGAATTACTGCGGAAAGGTGTACAAAAAACGTGATAATATCACTTCTCACCTGCATACACATATACCCTATTTCGAGCATGATTGCGACTACTGTGGTCGCAAATGGCAGCGCCGTCATGATTTGACGAAACACATTAAGGTATGGGGTTTTTTTTTTTTATTCTCTCTTTTTTTCTTTTTTCTTTTTTAACAACATCATATTCATGCTAATTCGCTTGCCTTTTGAAAGCAATCGCATGCACCCGTTGTGTTGGGCAGTCATAGATATTGGCCTGTTAAGCGTTTCGTAGGATTATACAGTGACAGATCGATTGCCGTGACGGAGATGGGCTCTTTCCAGCAACCGGCTCCTCTAGATGTCTTGCCCGAAGGAAAGCTGCATTACATCAAGATCGAGGAGGAGCCCTTACCTAGGAACCTAGGTCCATTCATAGCATCCAACCTTTCCAACCAAATTTGTTCTGCTCCTCAGAACGTAACAAACCAACCGGCAGAGCAAGGAAGACCGGCGTTCGCCGCCGCCTTTCGTTACTCACAAGTGACACAAAATCAAAATGCAAGTGAAGTTACAGCGGACAAAGGTTTAGCTACCTTTGAGCCTAACTCTAATCCCGCTAATACCGATCCTTCGGTCTATTCTTTGGGCGCTGAGAGTCAGAATATTGCTGAACAATCTCAAATCTCTTCACTCAATCGTCCTGTCGAGAATCAACCTAGCGTGATGAAATCTTCATCTTCCTCCAAGAACTCAGCACACTTCACTGGTCCAACACACGTGCCGAGGAGGAGCAAAAGAAAGACTCCACCCCACGACACCGATCCGACTCCTAAGCGGCATCAATCCGGAGTGCTATCATTCCCGACACAGCGCAGAGACAGGCCCATCGACAAGTCGCTCATGCCCCTGGCACCTTTGCCTCTCTTAGCTGCTCCCCCTTTTAAGCATGTCGCTCATTTGGAACCTCTAGGAGGACAGACCACCCCTCAAACTGCTGCTGGCGCGAACCCGGAGTCGGGGTATAAGGTTTTTTAGAAGGCCAAACTTCTAAAAGTGCATTATCATCGAAAGAGGATACATGCGCTATGAACTAAACGGGAAGTTCTACGCAATGTATTGGGGCTTCGATATAAATCTACCATTTCAATCCCGTTTTCACAATCAGTATAACCGGGGGGGTATGTAGAAGATATGGCAGTCAAATACAGATACCAAATGCGTAATAATAGAATCAACTTTTGTTTACATATTTGGCCTCGATTCTTCTTCAGGGGTAATCAATACTGATTAGAGCTACATATGTGTTTATCTCATATATCGTGATGCTATTGTAGTTCTTTATGGGGTAGCTAAATGTAGAATTTGCAACCGCGGCGCTGATTCAAGGTTTCTAATAGCTGATCGTATGATATTTATCAATAAGAGCAGCCAGAAATACTTCAAGCTGATTATCACTTATGCATGACCTTTATTTATCCATTCAAACGTCAAAACCCCCACATTTACATACGTCAAAGCTACTCTACCTACATGTACAGCCACTCTACAAAAGTCTTCGTGATTCCAATTTCGGAGTGAGACATTTCTCCATATGTAACCGCAGCGGACTATCAAGAACCCCCCAAGAGAAGACTTCCCCAGTGACCAATGGCGCCCAAACTAATGAAGAATAAGATCAATGACCTATCTTCTTTTTATATATAGTCACAAACTATATTATATATTTTTCGTTGTTTTGAATCTCAACTTTAATAACATCAGTATAACGGGTGCGCCACTCTGCGCACTGACATTAAAACTATATCACGAACACTTTTGCTGAGTGGCTGTATATAAAGCTGACCTCTTGATCATATACATAGCGTGAATGAAAGTAAAAAATTTAGTTGCATAACCCGATAACCATAATGAAAATCAATCTTTCTACTATCCTGTAATACATATACCCATACCCTTGAAAATCTATCTAAAGGAATTTCTATGAAATACACCCGGGAGTAAGACCGATACTTGAAAGTGATAATGTTAATCTGTGATACTAAAGCCCTTATATATAGGCACTTTCAGAGGTATTCAATCTGGTTCTAAGCACAAAATCTCTATTTTACTCGAACATTCTGTTCTGTATACCCCCTGGACAGTACTAAGCTCACTACATGTATAGAGAATTTGATAGGTCACAGAATATCACTCGTTGAGTGTTGTTGTCAATGCCAAGTCTTTCTGCCTTGGTATATGAACGCGGGTCTACTTATGGTCGGCGAAGGGCCGGGACGCAACGCAACAACCAGCGAAAAGGAAACCTAAAAAACTTCAATTTCTACACAACCTCCAGATATGGGAAGTAGGAATAGGTAGATAGACTATATAATATCAAGGGCAAAGATTCCGATGGTGATGTCAGAATAAAGGATTTAAAAGTATTCACTTAATCCTTTTCTAGCATCTTAAAACATTAGGGTTCAACCAACTTGATGTCAAGCCTCCTACTAGCTAAAGGAACTTCTGAGAAATATAATATACACCCTTTAATACATTCTCTATCAGCAGGAGAAGCTTTTGGGTAGATCGGTTGGCAGATTTGAGCTTGTTAGGTTTGAGCCCATAAGTTTTCTCAGACCCGCGTTCATATTACCGCTTGCATACACACATGCATTTCGTACATCGTGTCTACTGCTAAGTAATTTCATGACATTCTAAACAAGACTACTATTTTGCATACCATGCAAAAAATTGCCAAATCTACCTTTTGTATGTCATGCAATACCGGTCGTATTCGGAAACGCTATGAACAGACGAGTAAAGTCATTGTTACACCGAAGACATAAAATTACAGCCGAAACAAGCCAAGCTGTTCGATGCCCCGCTTTACTTAGCAGTTTCATTCCCCCTACTACTTGTAGTGAGATCGTGCTTGTACTGGTGTATACCTATGTATAACTCCATGTCAAAAATCCTGGGACAAGCCCCCGTAGCAACTCGCGGTTGCGTTGTCCCATGATTTTTGAACGAGAACTATATATTTAAACCGTTTGATTATATATATAGTATACCTATACAATCTATATATAGTCAGCAGGAATCTTCCATTTTCTTGGTGTGTAGAAGCCTTGAAAATATTTCACGAGAATAACTCGCATGTGTATGCCTTACATGTATTTTTGACACCGAGCATATTGGTCAAGTACATCCATGTATATTTCTAAAGGGCGATCAACGGATCACAATGCGGACGAACTCGAAATTGGTGTAAAGTCTCATATACGCTTATATTATATACATACATACAGATCTAGAAAGCAGAGCCATTTAACGCGCAATTTGTATCCAGGCATTTAGGCTCGATCACACCCTCTACTGCTTTTACGGGTCGTGAGCACCGCTGCATGCTGCTCGTAGGGGGCGGGCATGAGGCCGCTATTGATCGAGCACAGTACATGCACTAGAATCTATCAATATCTTTTCAATGATTAGTAGATATTAGATCATGGTCATGCAGCATCAGAGATCGATTCACATTTGTCCAATTTCACCATTAAATAAATCGGCAAATCTGACCTCCGCAGAATGTACCCGTAGGCAGATTATTTTGTCAGCGAAACCGGAGAAATATACGTTTTACCTACATATATTCCGCATAGCTACACATGACCTCAATTTGGATATCACCAAGACAACACATCACATATCGATTCTGGCTCTGACTCACGCATCAGGAAATCTTTTTATGACTATATCATAGGGAGAAGGATAATATTATCTGAATAAACACTAACTCATTCGGAGTAATGCCTGCGCTGTTGATTGTTTGATGGAAGGCCGGGATGACCTTCCACTATACCCAGAGTACACTACTCGATCAAGTACCTATCCGACTGGGAGGCTGTAGAGGAATCCGATTGTGGTTGTGAGCAAATGGGGAAGCCGGAAGAAAAATGTGTTTATAACCAAGGTATTGCAAGTGTTCCCAATATCCAGGGCCGGTACCTCGACAAAAATATGCTGACGGGGGATTGCGAGAATGACAAAACTAATCAGGCTGGTGACTTAAATTAACCACTAAAATAGCGATACGTCCGCCGAAATCACCCAAGCTCGGAACCTAGAGAAGCATCGCCGTTCTCTATCCCAAGAGGTCCATGGCATAATATGCAGAGACCTCATTCTTTCGTGCGTTGTGATAGATCACAGAATATCACTCGATGAGATTACCTTCGCAAACATGACATGTAGTTGTTGATAGGCTTTGCCCGGTGAGAGTTTTACGAAGGGAGCGCGTCGTTATTAAGTTTAATAAAATCTCCGAGAAATTTGATTGACTTGGGTGATGTGATCTTCCTAAAAAAGCCCCCATTCCCAGTCTTGGCGTTGTATGTTACTGTCACCGACCTCAGCCCCCTACATACATGCACCTTACATTCTCCTCCACTCTTAATCCATAACAGAGATCATCTGAACATCAAAGGATTGGTTTTTTCCATCCGCTCCCATTTCTATTCCGGCACCGTTCTGCAATAGACAAACCCCGCGTCATTCAAGCATTTGTGAGTTTCTACATGTACATGCAGTTATTATACTTCCGGCGCACATCTCTCTGGGGTGACTGTACGCGTTATTGGCCATTAGCTTCCTAACTAACAAACCACCACAGCTAGGCTTTACTGAATCCATCACTGTTAGCGGGTGACCTATGCTCAAACATGTTTCAAATTGATCGGTTCAAGAAAAGTGTATGTGTCTTGTCTTTCCCCACTCTTTCCCCTGCCTTGTAATATTATCAAGAAATGTATCTTATTCCTTCGATACATGCTCTTTCGGTTTCTCTACGTCGATTATTCCTCACCCCCCGTTAGGAGGTGTATGTCTGACACTTCATTAAATGTAGATTTCTTGTAAGAAAGATAAATCAGACTATGCAGTTCTATGTGACTCTGACAAACTCGCCACCGACGTTAAACGCCAAAGCACCAACGTATACCCCGCTATCGCCGTACGCTATCCTACCGGCACGAAGATTCTTTGGTCGGAAGCCTTGACAGGGCCCGGTGCATTTCTTACCACACATGAGGATACCATTTCAGACTCCACCATTCCCCACATCCCCCCCGGCACCCCCCGCCCCGCTAGGCACCTCCATCTCCACAAAGTCGTCCCAAGCTCCAATTCAATCACCGTGAAAAGTGCGTGCGGTCCCCTCACTATATTTCCTGTCCAATCAGAGTGTGGGACGTTCAAAGCAGGTTCTCGTCCTGAAGCCAAGTCGACGAAAGGGCCGTATTTCAGAATTCCCGCTCCACGCTTTACCGATCATATGCGCTCTGCAGTTCCAAAGTATGTGCTACTTGACTTGAAGAGACCTCTTCCTACCTCGAGCACTATTCTTCAAACTTCTTCTACCCCTTCAATCACTTCACCAGAGAATACCGTCGAAACCTCCTGGCTCAGCATACCTGAGCCTGCCCCTACTAGTGAGCTTCTCAGCAAAACCATTCCTGTCGTTGAGGGAATAGGTCTTTCCGATGGAGTACAGATGCTCCCCATCTTGCCAAACGCATATACCGGCGCTATCATCACCGACTCAACTCAGCCAAAGACTATTGTTGCCCAGAGCCGTGTCCAAAGTGTTGTCATTGCTGAAGATTCAGTAGAAACGGTTGGGCCTCCAATACTTAATGGTACAAGCCCTGCACCTTCAGAACTTATCAATCCCATCAAACCTCCAAAAGAGATTAACCCCTTTGATTCAAAAATGGTCGGTTCCACCAAGAAGAAAAATGAGGTTGAGTCACTGTCTCTGGTAGATTCTCTTGTTGCTTCTGCTCCAGAATGCACCAGTAAACCGACTGGAGATCAAAAAGCGGCCAACATAGATATTCCAAACGTCAAAGAGGAATCAATCATCTCCCCAACAGTAATACAGCTCCACAAAATCCTTTCTCTTGATGATCTTGTCAAAGATGAGCATCTTGCTTGGGGTTCTGAAGAATCTACTTCGAAAGATGATATTACCATTGCTGGTGATACCGAAAAGCACCCACCAACCAAATCTACTACTGCCTCTTCCTCCAAAACGTCGTCAATTGTCGAAGATTCTCATATTTCCATTACGGCCGCTGAGCTTGTCCCATCTGAATCCATTAACGCTGTTCCGGATAAACTCCAAGCACTTCCTCCCCATCTACGACGACCCCCTGTTGCTCCTCCACCCCCTCTTGAAGCCCAATACGTACCTCCACATCTTCGTCCCCTTCAACACCTTTTACTCGGACACCCTACTCGACAGACGCCGATTTATCAGTCCGAAAAGGTCTTCCCTCACAAGCCCAACACAGTCACTCCGGTCCCACCTGGAGATCTTTTAGAGATCACAGACATCGCAACTATTGAACATTTCTCAACCAAAATATCCAACCATGGTGGAGCTACTCACAGCCAAAAATCAGAGCCTTTGCCGTCTATTTCTTCTCACTCTGCACATAAGCTTACCAACCTAGTTACCAGACGCGAGTCTGTTCTTACTGAAAGCTCCGAAGATTGTCCAATTCGGCTAGCTGAGTCTGGTGCTCGCTCAGACACTTCCATAAGCTCCGGAAATAGTATGTCATCAAAGGAATCTGATATCAAACATGATTTGCTTCCCAAAAATTACATACCTCACAATCCCCCAACTAAGAATACTCTACCAATTTTACCTGCAGTGCAAGCGGGAGAACAACAGGATCCTTTGATGACTAAGCAGACTTCTGGGAGTACATATTTCGTTAAGACAGAAAAAGGTCTTATTGAACTTCCTCTTATGTACACTTTCTGTGATGACAAACAATGTCCATTTATCCAAAATTATACACCGGTGTGTATCAAATACTCCTAGACCATTTTTATTCTACAGAGCAAAGCTAAAAATTCTCCTCAGTGCGAAAAGTCTCACGCCAAGCCGCCAAAATTTTATATTCCTTTCAAAAAGCCAATTTGTTCTGAATCTGCTATACGCGGTACCTGCCCCGCTGGGGGCAAGAGTTGTCAACATGGTGCTCATCCATGCCCCTTTGGTATTCGGTAATTTAACTCCTCTGTTTTATGGTCATAGTCACACTGCTAGAGATACTAACCTGACTCCATAGCTTTCATAAATGTCATAAGCGTGATTGTCCACTGGATCATTCAATAACAATAAACCCAGTTGGGGGGGTGTATTCGATATTGATTGGTGAATCGCGAGAAATTCCTACCATTAATGCCTTACAAGTATACCCAGCTAGGAAGAAACACGGAGGAACTTATAACCTTGATCCTCCGGGTCTCTCAACCATAACGGGTCCCAGGAGTGACAATGACTGGTCTGACTTCACACGGATAAGAATACTGCCTACCTTGGACGAAGTAATGTCGGAACGCCCGATTTATCTTCCGCACAAAAGCTCCATAACATGTCCACACGATGTCTTTGAAGTGAGCTTTCGACATCAACGTGAGGCGATGTTGGGACAAGTCAAGCTAGCTCTTTCAAATCTTATCCACAAGGTGTTGCTGGGTGAACAGTTTATTTCTGGTAGCAAGGATGGCCAGGAGCCAACCTACAGAGTCTACAAAAATTGCACAATAACGCGCGGTTTCATTGAACAATGCAAAATCCCTGTTCTTAACTTCAGTCTTTCGTTCGTGGCACCTGCCAAAGAACAGATTGATAATGAAACTGTTCTTCGCAGTGGTCACCTGTTGGCTCTCTTAATTCAGTCCGATGGGGATCTTTCGCTAGTTTGGTTACAAGCCACTCAAGATTGGTCAAACAAGGATGAACACGGGAAGGTTTCTGATATCGGTAGGTACACTCTTGATCTAATCATCTTAGAAATACTAACAAATAATGCAGGTCGAGTGAATGTTAAGATTTTCAATGAACCTACACAAAAAGTGGACATGGAAAAAATTCTTGCCCTACATTCCAAACAGGACACATGCATATTGGTAGATTTTGGCGGTGTTCTTCCAGCAACCTTCATCCATGTTCTTTCTACTATTCAAAAGTTTGAAAGCGAGAAACATTCGTACTTCGCCAGAAATTTATTCCAGAAGGAAATTCCAAAGATTATGTTCCACATCCCAGATTACTTAGAGGCCCGGGAGCTTGACTTTTCTTCCCTCGGGTATGAATATAAGGCCAAATTTGGCTCAGGGCGAGCGAATTTAGAGCTTTTGACTTCAATTAAGACGCAGCTTTCTCAGAAAAACTCTTCTGGAATAATCTTTACTACGGGCCAGATAAATGCGCTCATCAATTCATTTACCTCCCGTCTATCCTTTATTCAGGGCCCTCCAGGTATGATAGATCCGATTTTGTTCTTCCTTCTACCAAGAAACACCGCTAATTTTACTCTAGGAACTGGCAAGTCCTTCATCGGCAAATCAATTATCAAAATGCTCGCTATCAATCGCCGTACCTGGAATAATGATAAGACAACCCCCATTCTACTAACGTAACCCTCCGTCTTCCTTTAGTACGATAAAAAAAAATATTACTAATACCCATCCTAGAGCTCAAACAAATCATGCACTCGATGAGACCATAGCCGGATACATTAAGTGTGGTCTCAAGGTTGCTCGTTTGGGTGTCACCCCCGGCCAGGAGATTCCTAAGCCTGACCACGTCGCGTACAAAACCCATGTCCTCCCGAGAGATATTTACGATCCAATCCGTAGAGCTTATAACCAAGCGCGCTGGCAATCAGAGGCATCTAGTAAGGAGCTTGAGTGCCTTATAGGCGAGTATACCAACTCCTCTGTTGCCTGGAGTCGCCTTGGACCGTTCCTTCAGAAAGAACATCCAAACTTTTATGAAGCTTTTCTCAAACTCTCGGGCGACGGGCGTGAAGCCGACGGATTCATTTCATGGTCAAGTGATGAGCAACAGATCGAAGAAGCCTCTTTAATTGCAGGACTGAAGTCCACTATCCCTCAAGGGTTTCAGGGCTCGGGCTTAAAGATAAATGAACTTGAGATCAGCTCTCAAGAGACATTCTGTACAGAGGAGGTAGAAGACTCTCTTGATCTATGGAAATTTACTCCTAGTGAGCGTCGGAACCTTATCTGTGGATGGAAAATTGTTCTTGATGCTACTCTCAACAAGGATATTGAATCAGCGAGAGCTACGCTCCAGCAGTCAAACCGTGACATAGAGATCAACTTAGCAAAAGAAAACGCCGCAAGGATGATTGGCTTTGGTAAATCTCTATCTTTTTTTCGAACCCGTCACACGATGGCTTTGCTAATTTTTCGAAACCACAGGCGTTGATGTTGTTGCGTGCACTTCTACTCGAGCGGCCAGCGACATTGAACTCTTGAAGCATCTGAAAATAGAGGTGGCTATTGTTGAGGAAGCGGGTGAGATTGTGGAGTCAATGGTGCTCCCAATTTTTGGAAGTACGCTGCAGCAGTTGATAATGATCGGAGATCATATGCAGTTAAAGTAATGTTTGATTGTGCCTCCTGTTTGTAAATTTACTAACATCTTCTTAGACCTTTCTGCAGTACTCCTGAACTTGCAGGCGGATACTATAAACAGGACCAATCCCTATTTGAGAGACTAGTGTGTCCAACCGCAGGCATACCTAGCAGCATACCTCTTGCACTGCTTGACTGTCAAAGAAGAATGCGGCCTGAGATTGCTGGTCTTGTACGCTCCTTGGGACTTTACAGAACTTTGATGGATGGTGATAACGTCAAGTGCTACCCTGATGTTCCTGGGATGGGGGGCAAGAATCTCTTATGGTTAGACCACAAGTCAAAGGAATCGTTCTCCGGAACATCGTACTACAACATTCATGAGGCCGATATGATTGCAGGATATGCTGCACATTTAATCGGATCTGGAGAATTTGGAATTCGCGATATAGTGATACTTGTACGTTTGACACCAATTTCATGCCTAGAAATCTACTGACAAATTACGCAGACACCATATCGCGAACAGGTTTCTGTGATTAAGAGGTTCCTCCAGAAACAGGGGGCATTTGGCCTTGTAATTCCGGCTGAAGATATGAGCTGCCTCGTTGGGAGAAACGCTGAATATAATCCCCCGCTAGAGTCTGAATCGAAAGATTTCACATTGATAAACGTTGATATCTCGGATGCGGTGCAAGTAACCACAATGTACGTACCAATAATTCTCCCGAAGTAATGGTACCCAAACTAACAGCTGCTTAGTGACAACTACCAAGGCCAGGAAGCTGATATTATCCTTTACTCTGCTGTCCGCAGCAATAATACTGGACGTCTGGGGTTTACGGACATAACAAATCGTGCCTGCGTCACTCTCTCGTAAGTTTTTAAATATATCTACACTCTGAGTTTTCATTAGGTTAACTTTATTCAGACGGGCACGCCATGGGATGTATATTTTCGGCAATGCAGACACTGCACAGAATAGTAAAAACTCTTGGAACAAAGTTATCCGTTACATGAAAGCCCATGGGAGGATCACCCGGGACTTGTCAGTCCAAAGATGCAGCCGACACACTGGTCCGGTGCATATGATCAGATCTCCGGCTGACTGGAGAAGGTTAAAACAACTTAAGAGTTGTCACTCGCTTTGCTCTGAAGTATTGTCTTGTGGACACGTGTGTCTTCAGTCTTGTCACTCGCACTCAACCCACTTACTCACTGATTTCAAATGTACTGTACCTACAAGTGCTACATTGGCTTGTGGTCATATTGCCGATTTCCAGTGTGGCACCAGAGACAATAATTGTCCAGATTGCAAGCGTTCCCTGGTAGAAAATATGCCACCTGCTGTTGACGCCATTGAGAATGGTTGTCAAACTACTGAGATAAATATCTTCCCATTACGTATGTTCCATCTATCTCTTCTCTTCTTCAATCTTGAAAGCCAACTAAGGATTACTCCGTGGGTAGATATATCCGAACTCAGTGCAGAAACCGTCGCTCCTACGGTCGCTAGCCATGAGGAATTTTTTCTTTGTGCCTCTCGGTATTTTCTCTCAAATGCCGATGGGCTCGAAAATGGCCTACAGGACGGAAAATCATCCCGTGAGGCCTTCCTTCAAAGTCTCAATCTGTCACACAACGGTCTTGAAGAGAACAAGTGGAAATTTGCTGGGAGATATGGATTATTAAAGGATTTCCAAGGCGTATACAAGGTTGGTTTGAGGCAAGCTGCAATTGTAGAAAGAGAATTCGGCAGCGAGGGTTTGGTGTCCCGGATGGAAGGTCTAAAGCAGTCACTTGGGGTTACCATGGCTGCAGACTTCAATTGGATTCTCGCTGAGATGATGAAGCGAGCGAGGCCTCACAATTGTGCCCAAGTATTTGCATCAGCTTTGAGGCAGGCACTTCAAGAGTTTTTTGATTAAGGGGTTGCACATTGGAGCAAAGTTTTTGTATTTATTCCTGAATTATCAATGTCCGAGTAGTCTTACCCATAAATTGCCCTGCCGCATATATGAATGCTGTCTCAGAGGATATTGCATGCAGCCACCCAAATCGATAGGCATTGATGAATTTCCACAGTAATTGGTTCACCACAATTCAAGCGTGGTCTACATAGCTGATTATCCCATTTTTATTTTGTCACCTACCCAGAGAAAGGTCCACCACTAAACAATTATATATGATAATACATATTCGATCTTATATGCACTAGTTTAATTAATATTTACATGTTCATATACAAACTCTACCCTCAGTTTGTTCCATACTCCGCCCTGCTCCTAAACCTTAGTTCTAGTTGTGATTCTACTCATCTCACTCAGCGAGTATACACAATTAACGCCATTAAAATACCTACCTATATGTCTCCTATTCGGCCTCCTCCCATGATAAATTTCCTAACCTCCGAGTTTCGTAACATGACCACATCCTCTTGTCGATCGACTACGAAAAGTTAGCTAACCTCGCTATTTCCTCCCTTCCTCCTATTTCCCTCGCTTAGGCTGCTTTCTTTGCTTTCTCTTCTTCGTTTAAAACGTTCTTTTGTTACAGCCGGCAATGTGTAGTGTAGTTGGCAGGGTGTCAATACTCCAAGATTTTCTGGTGGTCAATAGGGCTTTTGATTTTGTTCGAAGGTAGCGAAATGGCTAGAAATCAAATCTTGATATTTTTTGTTCCACTTCAGGGACCAACGCCCATTTCCCTTTACTCTGGTGCTCTTAATTCCCCAGACATAAAACCGTAAGTTTTCTTCTTTAGATATGTTTTTCTAGCTTAGCACGAGGTTGTGCTGCCGCATGGTGTGGGAGGTTCCATCGCGTGTCAAGACAATCATTGACGCAGTGTAACCTTCTACCGCGTGCCAAGACCTCTTGTGATTAGCTGAGGGTTATACCAATGAGGCTTTACCGAAGAGGAATAAATCCTAGAAGTTAGCAACTCTATATCCCAATATTCTCTCCGTGCGCAAAAAGTGCTACACAAAGCGTAAAAAAATAAAAAGAGAAACAAATGATTCCGTTGCGGGGAATTGAACCCCGATCTAGTCGGTGAGAGCGACTGATGCTAACCATTACACCACAACGGATTGTATCATCTCTATCCGTTTGCTTATACAAAACTCATCACTAGAATTTACTAACACCACTACATCCACCTACTTGTACCCCGATACAGTTTTTTGTGCGAGATTTATGGAAATGGATAAGCGAATTTGCGGTCTGCTTTGCGCACGGCACTTTTAATAAAGATATTGTCGGGTCGCTCGATGATCTGATATTCGTTTCGCCAAAAGTAAAACACCTCCGGCCCCTGCTCGACCGATTATAATTTATGAAACCTTCGAGGCCCGATGTATTGAGAGTAATATGTTTATAAGTCATTTATAGCGCAATACGAAGATCTAAGAACCCGCCCCCGGTATTTCACGATGCGACAGTCCAAGTATCAAGTTAAATGGGGAGAGGACAAACTTGAGTATTGATAATCTCAACGTCACGATGTATCACTCGTGATCGCACTTCTGAACAATGTGAGGTAGACCAAATAATAATTGGTTTAAAACCCGACCCCTAGGAGTAGGACAATTGTGTAGTTCCTCCCTCTTGTTTTATTGCCTTCCAGCCAGGCCCCGCCAGTCTTCTTTATGCGTACGTCCGTATCCCTTAAACCATTAGGCCGAATGTAAATGGGGGTCACTAGCCGCACATAGCAGGTATGATATTATAAACTCTAGGACTAGAGGTATTTAGTACCGTTTACCACGATCCGATAATCATCTCACCGTGATAATATGAGCTTCTGAGCGTTCAACATATCATACCTGCTATATACGGCTAGCGACCCCCATTTACATTTGGCCTGATGGTTTTTAAGGGATAATCCAATTCGGCAGGAATCCAGCCAACCCGGGATTGTGGCGGTTCCACTCGAGATCAAACTCAAACAAAAGTCAACCTTTCAGTATTCCACAGCCGACTTTACTTAATCCGACAAAAAATTAGACTTGCTGACCGGTTGACTATTTTACTTAAGTTAATTTGTGCAGCCTTGCCCACCGACCATGGAGGGCACCCTCTTATCTCTCGGTATGTGCGGCAATTACATGTATCAAGTAGCAGGAGAGAATATGCACCAGTGAAATCAATCGTCTAGAGACCTATATGCTATGTATACACATGTAGTGAATTAAAGAGCCGTTGGTGGTTGCATTCATCTAAGTACATGTACTTATGTGTACAATAGAGGTTCACGGTGTCGTGGCGAAGATGTGGCATCAGCATGGCGCTAAAGGAAAACTAGTAGAGTATTTATGGATGTTCCCTCCGAATTAATTCCCCATAGTGCCATTATCTATGATATCGATGCTTCTGTCGAAGTATCTCCTACAGTAGAATGGAAAGTCGTCGTAGAAGTCGTGATGGTATAGTACATGTAAGTCTATACTGGTAGCATGCAGTGGCCTAGTATGTACCCCCGCCTATAATACCACCTCCAGAATAACCAGGCTTACTTTTATTCAAAATCGAAAACAAGAAGCAATGAGTAACAATCGTTCTCCGCAACAAAGCTTACGGGCCCTCAGATCTACGCACAGCTTTTGCAACATATTTCTGTCTCGTGTAGTAGGGTCAAACGATGACCCTCATAACGATCTTACTAGACGAGGAAAGGTACAGGAGCCACCATCTGTGCAAGCACTTCTCTTCTCAATGGCACAAGACCCCACAGCTACACCTAACCCTCCCGACGTCCTATAAGCCTAGCAACGGTAATCATAAGGACTCACTCGATCACGTGTACATACGCAACAAACGTCCTCCAAACCAAAAGAGATCCATCTAAAGATCGAAACCACCCAGAAAAAAAACCCTTGTGGCTCAAATGACCTAAAAAAGAAAAAAGAAAAAAAGAGAAAAAAATAAGATTTCCCTCACGACCCAACAACAGGGTAAACCACGTTAACGGCCTGCATCAGCTCTAAGGAAGAAGAGAGAGCTGTTTTTCGAGACTCGTACATCTACACGCTCGTATTTCTGGAAACTTCACTCTATTCGACGTTTCGGGTGCTTATTTCACCACCAAGGAACCAGGACCAAGACCAAGACCCCTCGGCCAATGACACAATCCTGATTCTCGCACTACTGAGCGAAACTCCCCCTTGCCCCCCTAAAACAAGGGCATGTGCAGGAATGGAAGACCGGACACTCCCGTCCCACAATTTGCCACATCACACATGTGGATTTCTTGGAACGCTACTCTACATACGTAGCCCAAGCATTGGCAGCGTCTTGGCGGTACGGTGTGGTATCATCTTTTTCGGGGTTTTGGGTTTTAGCGAGGAAATAGAGTTGAGGACCTTTTTTTTGACAGTTGGAGAGTCTTGCCTGAATCGATCTGCGGTCAGACACTCAATCGCAAGGCGGAAACCTAATCTCAGCGCAAAACCGCGTCGGTCTCACTGGGAGTACATGTAGTCAGTGCATGGGGGATTTTGTGCTGGAGGCCGCACATATTCTGGTCATGGATTCATGCATGGAATTCCCCCCCATACACACTAGACATAGAATCATCTGCCTTCCTCACCAGGATACTTGATTGCACTTTATTGAGAAATACGGCGGCGATGATCATGACATATGGCAGAGAGCTAAGTAGAGTGATCGCTGGGGCGGCGGATTACTCTAATTTTATTTTAAATTACTGGGCGAAGCGGGGGTCAACAATAAAGACGCGCGTTGCAGGGATAGAGGGTTAGGGGTGATGGGCGAGTGAGAAGTGGTGCTGCCGCTGCTCTGGGTTGTGGAGACGATCGCTACGTTTTGGGTTTTATTTCTTGTGATTCCGAAGATGGAAATCTATCGAGAACGAGTAGGTACTTTCCGACTAGAAAACGCGAATCCCATCTCCTCGTGAAGAATACGAGTCTTTCTTGAACTCTACCACACTTCCAGCTCAGCCTCGTGACGAACAAACGCAATGACGGCGAAGGCGACAGCTAGAGAGGGCACTTTACTTGCATACCCACACACCTGTCTTCACACATTCTGCCACACATTCAGCCGGTCTACTGTACTCTATCTGAACCTCCCACCGCACTTTAACCACCACAAAAAACTGACTTCAAAAATAGCAGCCCATAACCCAGGAGCAACGTTTCCAAAACCAAGAAACAGCGACACACAACCCCATGGGAAAAGATGGAAATACCCGTTTCCTCCGCATCCTGTCCAACCCCGGAGTTTCTTTCCTTTTTGCTCTACCCACCCTCCCTTGTGTAATAAGTAGACGACAAGTAAACAAGCTTCCGGCATATCGGCACAGGATTTGGGATCAATGAGCTGATTACTAATCGGGATCGGGGAGTGCCCTGTCACAAAACGAGACGAGACGAGCCTTTATATCGCCTTAGAAAGAGGTTTATTTCACGGCGCTGAAGTATGGCTGATGTCATTACAGATTTTTACATCTCAATCACAATAGCGATGGCGATGGCGATGGTGATAGTCGCACGTTCCTTCCTGGGTGAAAGGCGTGGCAGCCAGCTATCGATAAGAATATCAACATGGTACGATTACGTGGACCGACTGCGGGCAGAAGAAGCAATAACAGCCCTACCGGAGGAGGTTTGTTATTCTAAGGCCACAACGCCGCGACTGAGACGAGGGCGACAACGGGCGGCGCGGGTGTCGCTCGCGGCGCGCGGAGAGCTGAGCGATAATAATAATAATAATAGTTAGTACATACCGCCGCCGATGGGAGATGATGATTAACCGAGAAACAGATAGATCTGAGCAGAAAGAGACAGAGGAAATGCCGTGAGTGCCGATTATGTGGTTGTGTGTGATTGATTAGTGAAGTGGAAGAGATGGAACCGGATTGCATCATGGAACTGGGACACTGCCTCGATTGACTAGAGTAGCTAGCTAGCCTGGGCTGAGGGTGATTGGAGTGCTATTCTTGCGACTGTTAAATACGTGTGTTCTCTCTTCTCTTCTCGTAGCTTCTCCCGTAAGAGAAGCAGAAGAAAGACACAATCAATCGGAAGAATGAAACAAAGACCATTCTCCCGATGCATGCGTACGCGGAAGGAGAGGAAAAAGAAAAGAAAAAAAAAGCCGTTGTAAGGCTGGCTAGCAGGCAATCCATCATTTCAGAACTACACTTTACTCACCTCACCACACCGTAGACAGACAGGCAAGCAGGTATGTAGGCCGTTTCTCAAGAGCTTAGCCTTGACCCTGGTCGGCAATCAATGCCGCCAAGGATTCTGGAACGTGTGGCCGAAACCGGTTTGGCAGGCGCTGGTGTGTGTGGTTGGTACTCTTTTCGGTAGGGTTTGTTAGAGACCTCGTTGGCTTGGTTGGAACTTGGAGGGATCCTCCTCTACTTTAGGGTGTTGCTGCTGCGGCTGAGAGAGACACTAGCACAGTAGCACTGGCCTGCACTGGCCTGCACTTTCTTGTCGTGTGGCTGGACTTAGACTGCGAATGTATGATTTGCGGTATGTGTGTATGGGTGTGCATGCGCTCTGCCGTCACAGGCCTACAGGGGACTCACTCACTAAAGTGTCAGAACTAAGGACTGAGGACTCTTCTCACAACCAGATATGGAAGGCAGTTACTTACTGGACTGGGCTGCTTGGCTGCTTCCCTGCCGTTCCTGTCGTTCCTGTTCCTGTTCCAGTGTGCACAGACAGGCTTTCGGATCGTTCGGCGGAGAAATGAAAGGGGCAGTACAGCACAGTAGGTACAGACAGACTCTTGGTGGGCGAGTGAGCTTGTCTGACTAGCTGGGAGGAAGACTGATTGATATAAAGTCCCATCCACCCCGCAGTCCTATCCACTATTTCACTCCCATCACCGCACAACTCAATCGTTCAGTACAACCCACCCACCACAACCACAACCACAACCACCACTTCTACCTTTCGGTTTATCAATCAGCCCTTCAACGAAACACTCGTTCAATCCCCATAAACTTCAAGATGCAGTACAAATTCTTCACCGCTCTCCTCCTCACTTCTGCCCTTTCCTCTGCGATGGGCGCTGAGGTCCAGAAGAAGGACATCATGTAAGTCACTTTCTAACAAAAGCCCCCACCATCCACAAGAAAACCCAATTCCTAACAATCCCACCAGTAACACTTCTATCGTCAACGAAATCAACTCTGCTGGCAACAATATCGGCTCTGCCTATGCAACTCTGACCTCCGCCGCCGGCGGCGTCACCAGCGTTATCGGTGGGATTGGAAACTCCATCGGCAGCGGCATCGAGTCCAAAGCCACCGCTGCCGCCTCCAGTATCCGCTCTGAAGCCTCCAGCGCCGCCTCCGCCTTGACCAGCAACATTGCCTCCGCTGCCTCCGCCGCCTCCGCAAGGGTTGCGTCCGTCAAGTCTGACATCCGCGACGATCTCACCGCGTGGACCACCGTCGTTGGATACACCTCTGTCCTGTCTGGCATTGAGTCTGCTGCTACTGCCGGTACTGCTGCCGCTGCCAGCTACATCTCTGCCCTCCCATCGAGCATGGATGCCTCTTTCCGTTCTGCAGCTGCTTCGGCGCTGAGCAGTGCGGCGTCGCAGGTTGCTGCTACTGGTACTGGTGCGGCGGCCAGCACAACTGCTGCTCCCGGTGCTGCCAGCAAGGTTGGTCTTGGTGCTAGCGTTATGGGTGCTGCCGCAGTGTTGGCTGTTGCTCTTGCGTTGTAAGGCAATTGTTGATGTGGTTGGATGATTAGAGAAAATGTCTTTTTTTCTTTTTTCTTTTTACAAAATTTTAATGGCTGTAACTAACGTCACTGGTACTGATGGTGGGTGGAAATGGTTGTATGATTTGATACTATGAGACGGTTCTCTCTTTTTTTTCTTCTTTCTGTTGTTTTTTATAACTACTGCTACTACTACTACGGTGTTTTCTTTTTTTTTTTTCCGGCTTGGTTTCATGGGCTGTAAATCTTCCTTTTCTCGTGCGGATACCAGTGCTGTCTCTGTACGGATGGATGGATGGATGGATGGATGGATGGTTCCTACTGGGTACTGCATTCCCTGTCTACTTATCTGTCTGGTAGAAATTCAAACTACGCGTCCGTACCCTACATAATTCTAAGCCTCCTTCTTTCTTCACAGTGCACATTCTCGCAATCGACTCGTTGGTCTCCATGTCTCTACTAATCATTACTTCTTTCTTCCTCTTCCTTGTGAATCAAACCGACTGCACGCCAAGCCCTACATTACGACGACTTTTTTTATTTTATTTTTATGCTTATGTATGCTTAAAGGTTATTATTCTACCACCCCGATTCGTCCCGGGAAATCGTCAATACTCTAAATAGAAGGGAAGAAAGATTCACACTCAGCCTTGCGCTGAACTAAAATCAAACCAAATCAAATCAAATCTAATCGGAAACCGTCTCTGGCAGGGATGCCAAGGCAAGGATGGTGGTTGCAGTATCGGGGATAGCGTGCCCAGGATGCGTACGTGTGCGTGCCGAGGTCCGGAGTGGGTGTGGTGTGGTGTAGTGTGGTGTGGGCGGTGTTGGTATTTGAGGTTGGGACGTGGGTTGGGGTTGGGATTGGGATTGGGGTTTGGGTTTGGTGTGTGTCGCTGTGGAAATAGAGTTTTGGGTTTTGGGTGAAGCTGGGCTGAGTCAGTCAGTTGGGAACTGAAGAGAAGAGAAGCGAAGAGAAGCGAAGAGAACAGAACAGACAAGGACAGAAGAGAGAAGAGCGAGGAGAGAGCGCTGGATGTATACTAGAGCTTGGTCATGTTAGACATCTGTAATGAGTCCCGAGCTAGCTAGGAGTCATCATATGTAGAGTAGACTATACTTTTGTCCGACTCTTCATGACACAGCGAAGAGAAACTACATGTAGTCACGACAATTAATTCCACCCCCTAGCTATGTATGTAGGTATCAGGAGTGTATGTATCCCTACGGAACTTGTGTTGTGTTTCGATAGCAAATGCTATAATCTCTCACTCTCTCCCACTCTCGCTGTCTCGACATGTAGGTATCTATGCTTGGGTGACAAAAAGCTCTCGTGATTTTGTACGAGGATATATGGGCCATGAGACGAGTATAACTCCACGACCACAACACAAAAGATATCAATACGACCAGAGAGCTGAAGATTGATAGAACATATGTATCTCCTAGGTATGAGTCCCGATTGCTGGCTTTGTTGATTGGTAATTTTGTGGGTTAATTGCTATGCGGGAATCACGAGGGCTTTTGTCATCCCACGGTACTACTGTATCCCTTCGGCGGCGATCAGCTAGGTCTAATTAGAAGGCAGTGGAAGAAGATGTTTATAGGTACGCCTGATTGAAATCCAGAGATGTGTATGTACCTATGTACATGTATCCTCACACTAATATATCATTACCACCAGATGAGTCGAATCCATATATCGCGACTCCAATATAGGCCTATGGTATAAACCTGCATGACAGATACTTAATTAGGAGAGGTGATATCCCCATTCCATCCCTACGATACATAGTGCCAGATACCGCTGTCATACTGCGGTACTTGAGTCAGATAACCACGATTCGCGATATGACACGCGAGACGAGATTCCGGTGGTACGACGTCACCAGCCTGGCCCTCCCTGCACTGCACTGTGTAACCACAACCGCATCACCGGATCGCACTCGGTGTGTCTTAGATTTTTGAGGATCCTCATCTTTTAATTTTTTTCTTCTTACCACGCCGGAAAATCATTAAACAGTAGAGAGCTTGACTACTAGGTGCAGCAGTAATGGTGTTCTTGGCAGCATTCTATAATCCTGGCTGGTTATGTTTGTATCTGGGGTGCGTAATCACAAGATCTCACTCGCGGGGGCCAAGTATTAAGGTAGCTGTCAATGATAGTGTGGAAGTGACGGTAAAATCCATATCGCGGGAGCAGACGTAGTTTTCCTCCCCCCCCCCCCCCCCCCTCCAGACGGGTCAACAACCCCCCCTCTGCAATGCCCGTGTGTCAGTCTGGAAACCTTCTCTGCCAGACTTGCGTTTGGGGGCATGGATGCCCACGTTGGGGGGGAAATGCCGACTTGTAACGTACTGGAAATTTGACCGTTGCAACCCTCACCCCGGACAATCCTTGTTCGGCTTTCTCCCAACTTTGGTATGTAGTGAGGTCTACTGGTTGTTTCTGGCAGATTCGATTGTTGGATCATGTATAATAGAATAACAGCACAGTTAATATAGGGTAGGCAGGGTAGGCAACCTAGGTATGTATCTATATGACATGACTCTGCAAACAACAACACCCACTCCCACACCCCACGAATAGGAGCCCATGCTCACTTTCTGGGGGCGGGGCGAATGTGATATCAAGCCAGCCACGATTGGCTTTCCCAGACATATGTATGGTTCTCCCCGGACCGGCCCGGACCACCGTGCAGCAGCCTATGGCGTCATGTGCCCGGTCCAATGAGTCACATTACCTGGGTTTTTCTCCCTCTCTGAGATTGTGTGATTGGTTGGTTGGTTGGGTGGTTGATTGGGGCCTGGGCGCGGGGTATAAATAGCCAGTCTTTCTGCCCCTCTGCTGGGTTCTTGTTTTTTCTGCTTCTTCTTCTTCTTTTTCTCCCCCTCTCCCTTTGCCTTTGCCTTTGCCTTTGCTTTCCTGTTCCTTCTCCTCACCACAAGTCCAGAACAGCAATTACTGCCACCACCACCACGATGTCTCTCGAGTCCTACAGCGAGCGTCTCAAGGACGCCCTCACCGACTCCAACCAAGTCACCCTCTCCCGCATCCTCTCCGCCATAACCTGGCTCAAAGCCGAAAACAACGAGATCTCCGCAGAACTCGTCCAGCAATACGACCTCCCCAACATCGTCTCCCAAATCTCCGAAAACGAGTCCCTCCCCGAGCCCCTCCGCCTCCAAGCCGACCGCCTCCTCTCCCGCTGGTCCCGCGGCATCTTCGACGCGCCCCACACGCCCGCCTCGCACCGCCGCACAGGCCCCGGCGACCTCGGGCTCGTGGTCGGCGACGTCTGGCCCGACCGCGAGAGCATGCACCGCGAGGGCGTGCACGCGTCGCTGCAGGCCGGCATCTGCGGCGACCACAACTACGGCGCGTACAGCATCGTTGCGAACGGCGTGTACCGCGACGAGGACAAGGGCGACGAGATCTGGTACTGCGGCACCGACGCCAAGGGCGACCGCCGGCCGACGAGCTACACGAAATACCTCATGCGCAGCGTGGCGCTGGGGAATCCGCTGAGGGTGTTCCGCGGCAAGGATTGTCCGGGCACGTTTGCGCCGCAGAAGGGGTTCCGCTATGATGGTATGTATCTGGCGGTGGATAAGAGGCAGCCGCCGAGGAACTTTACGAAGCCGGCCAAGGGGGAAGGGAATTTTGAGTTTTTGCTGAGGAGGGTGGAGGGGCAGGCGGCGATTCAGAAGGGGATGCCGGATTCGACCACGCTGGCGCACTGGCATGCGCAGAAGTTGGAGGCGGCCAGGGTGGGGAAGTGAAGAATTGCGGGAGGGGTGGCGAGTTAATTGCTAGCTGGCTGGCCGGCTTGCTGAGGATTGGATTGGATTGGATTGGATGGTGGCGATATATTGGTTTTAGTAGGTTTGTGGGGGGGGACTGATATGCACATGTTTCTTCTTTCTTTCTTTTTCTTGCTGCCGTCAATGTTTCCAGGCTGTTTGTAATCAAGGTCTCACTCTGCTCTTAGTCCGCACCGCAATGTTAATGTCTTTACTGTTCTCGATCTTCTCTTTTTTTTTGTGTAGGCTTAGGAATATTCAGCTCTAGCTAGCCAGAGCTATGAGTGTATCTTAAACAAGTATAGATATATATCTACCGTCAATTCACCCCAAAGCTCGTCTGGTATTCGCTCCCTGCATGTTTTGTATCGTTATCGACAGCGCTATCGCTATCGATAAGCAGAATGGGCCAATAGCTGCAGATCATCATGACGTCACAGCAATATAAACAACACAGAACTAAAGCCAATATCCACCGGCGAATGAAGAAAGAAATAAGCTATACATATAGACAATCCTCATATATACAGTACCGTATATATCACACACCGAGTAATGGCGAGCACCGATATTCTGCTTGTACGTATTTCCCTATGCCTACCATCTCCTCCCATCTATATATACTAACCACCACCCCCCCCACAGGCCGGCGCATTCGCCGCCTTCACCGTCGACCTGCTAATCTACCCCCTCGACACGCTCAAAACGCGCCTCCAAAAAGCCAGCCCCGCCACCCCCACCGCGCGCAAATCCTTCTGGCGCAACAACCCGCACCTCTACAAGGGCCTCTACCAGGGCGTCGGCAGCGTGGTGATCGCGACCGCCCCCGCCGCCGGCGTCTTCTTCACCACGTACGAGTTCCTCCTGTCGCACACGCACTCGGCCGTGCTCTCGTCGGCGGTCGCAGAGGCGTGCTCGTGCGCGATTATTACGCCGGCGGAGGTGGTGAAGCAGAATGCGCAGGTGATCTCTGGGGGAGGAGGGGGAGGAGGGGTGGGGGTGGGGGTGTCGTCGTCGCTGCAGGCGCTGCGGCGCATTCCCAGGGTGAGTTATCTATGGCGTGGGTATGCGACGCTTGTGGGAAGGAACTTGCCGTTCACGGCGATGCAGTTCCCGGTGTTTGAGGCGCTGAAGCGGCGGGTCGTTGATGTGGGGGAGGCGACGCCGGTGGAGATGGGGGTTGGGGCGGCGGTGTGTGCGGGGTCGGCGGGCGGGGTGGCGGCGGTGATTACGACCCCGGTGGACGTGGTGAAGACGAGAGTTATGTTGTCGGCGGGGGGGAGGGGGAGGGGGGGGAGGATGGGGGTGGGGGAGGTGGTGGGGGAGGTGTGGAGGGGGGAGGGGTGGAGGGGGTTCATGAGGGGGGGGGCACTGAGGTGTGGGTGGACGGCGGTTGGGAGTGGGTTGTATTTGGGGAGTTATGAGGCGGCGAAGGTGTGGTTGAGGAGGGGGAGGGAGGAGAAGGAGGGGCAGGTGGTGGCTATTTAGATATAGAGGTTTGTATGTACGGCTTGGTAGAGGTTCTGTTGGGGAATGGGTTATTGTAATGTAGTTTATAAACATGTTGTGCTTCGTTATCGTTTGTATAGGGAAATTTTGATTTATTTCATTGCACTGTATATTCATATAACTGGTCGAGCATGGTCCACTTGGCTGACAACAACTTTAAGCTAGCTATACGAAACCAAAAAATAGTCACTACCGACGACTTGCATCCAAGTCACAACACCGAGCACTGCCAATGGAATTATATTTATCCAAGAAAAAGATACGACACAACACAAAAAGGTATTTATTAGAAGTGCGTACGATTCTCTATACATTGGTGACTGATATTAATGAGCAGTAGTGAAAACAATACTACATACATCGAGACTAGAAGTCGATCAAAGCGCAATAGCACTATTTCAGCTCAACCCGAATGCCCCTACAGGTTATGCGTGCAAAACACTTAGCTCTAGCTTGGGAAGCCTCCGAAAGATACCACTACTAACACAATATAAGTGCACATCCGCATACTCAGATCTCTCGGTCATGAATCTTCCTCATACATCACAGTACAGTACAGTACAGTACAGTACACCCTTGCTATAAAAATACATCTGTTTGGGACCAAAAAAAAAAACAAAAAAAACATATATCTCCACGGCAAACTACATATATCCTTACAGGAAATGAAAGGATACTACATGTAGCTATAGCAAAACGGGCAACTTGCGGGCCGGCGCGGCGGCGAATGATAAAGATCCTTATATCACCTATATGAAATATCCTTTTATGAGCTTATATCGAGAGTCTACTATATATATACCCAATTAACTATACCCAAGGCGCAATATTCCTCTGGGGAAAACTAAAGCATCTGGCTGCTACTCAAGCCCGAGTTCGAGCTTGACCTTAAATTCGGCATAATTCCATCCTCACCTAGCTAGCTCTATATATATATATATATATATATATACCCACCCATATCTCCACTCTAAATCATCACAAAGCCCACACACGCTCCCCCTCCACCACGCAGTACAACCCCATCTCCAAAAAGATTTTCGCAGACGAGCTACATTACCTGAGCTATATATATATATAGATAGAAGAAGAGCCTGTCTTGTCAAGCAACTACATGTAGCTAGCTAGCTAGTCTCCTTCTGATAACAAGCTTCCATCTCGTTTTTCCCTCTTCCTCTTCCTTTACTTTCTATTTTGTGACGCCAGCTTAAATTCAGATATACCTACATGTACTTACTTACCTACCTTCCTTCTCTAATCTCTTGATATCTACCTCTCCCACTACATACATACGCAATTGACCCCCCAAACCCCTCTACACCCCCCCCCCCCCACCTCCACCAACAGCTCCACCACCAACCCGCCCACCACAAGCACACCAATGCCCACCCCCCCACCACCACCCCTCCTCCCCACACACCCCACCGCCGCAGGCCACACCTGCCCAACCTGCAAACTCTTCTACACCACCGACGTCTTCTTCGCCACCCCCCGCTGCCCCTGGTGCCGCGGGCAGCGCGCCCAGCGCTGCGCCCGCTGCAACATCTTCAAGCTGCGGCAGCACTACAACCGCACTGGGTGGGGCGCCGGCGTGTGCGCCGGCTGCTGGCCGTGGTTGGGGGGGGCAACACAGAGGTGGGAGGTTGTGTCGGAGTTGGGGTTGGGGGGACAGGTTATTATAGGTGGGTCTTGTGAGATGGTTGTGGTGTGTGTGTGTGTGTGTGTGTGTGTGTGTGTAGGTGTGGGATTGTCTTGTCTGAACACTACAACTAATATCACCATGGATCCGGGTACTTTTGAAGGTCACGGTCAACAGCGGGTCCTTCGGCAGGCCGTGACGAGGGGTGTTATCATGAGGATTACAAGTCCGATCACTGGCCATATCGGGGTAATTAAACATATCGAAAACTACTAAACTATTCTTCATTTCCACCACACTAACCACAATCCACCCCTCCTCAGAGCACCCTCGCCCGCCAAACCGACATTCTCCCCGCCTCCCCCACCAGCCCCTACCTGCACATCTTCGTCGGCGAAACAATCACCTGCGTCGACACGACCGCGGACGACGTGTGGTTCCGGTCCCGCGACCCGCCGTCGCTCGTGATTGTGCTCACGATCATGAAGCTGCGCTACCCGCTGCTCGAGGACCATCTTATCCGCGGCGTCTCCCTGCAGCAGGAGGGCAGGGAGCTCTTGGTGTGCAATGTGGCGGAGGGCGGGGAGGTGGCCTGGCAGGTCATGGTTGATCAGCTGTTGAGGTGTGCGCCGAGCTGTAAGGTGATGGTGCAGACGCTGCTGGAGGGGTTGAGCTATAAGGCGACTATCACTATGTGTGAAGAGTAGAGTGGGGAGGGTTTGTGGGAGTACTGGGCGGATTGAGACATAATTGGGGAAACGGTTTGGTAGCAGTGTCCGCCATTGAGCCAATGAGTCACATGAAATGGGTAGAAAAGTGGTTGTATTTTCTGCATATCTTCATCAATTCCAATTATAAACGTTCCCTACAGTTTCTCAAAGTCTAGAATTAAATATGAGTTGACCAGTTCATTTCAATCATGGATAATCACTCGGGCACCTTAGTGGTCCCTGTGTTCTTGTAAATCGAGAATATGGATGCTAATAATATTGAGTATTCAAATTGGGCATATAATTTAATTCTCAGTCCTCTTCCATTCTGAAATTCAAGGTTTCTGGATTCGGTGGTCGTATGTGTTCAAGTGGATTAAGAGTACACAAACCTCCAACTCCATGATCGACACCTAAGTACCTATTGGTAGGCTTAGTTCCAAAGCCTGTACGTACTAGTAGATCAATAAACCATCTGTTATTCACCCCACCATCGGCTTATATAACCGAGTTTATCTTTACTTCATTAGCGCTCTGAAGTGGGCGTCTCGGCCATTTGAGGTGATCCAAAAAGTGGCGTGCGGTTTCTTTTGGCGTTTAATGCCCGTAAAAGCTCCGCGTGATCTTTGGTTATAGCCATAGGTCTAAGGTCAAAGAAATAAGAAAGCATGTAAAAGGTGTAGGTGTAAGCACACGCTGTTTTGTAAGCTTTATATCCATTATATATGAACATGAAGGGTGGGAACAAACCCCACTCGGTAAATGTAGCGGCGGTGTACCATTTCCCTAATGTGAATCCGGCCAAAAGAATGGTCCTATATATTTCACACACCAGGTTAGCGTAATTCTTCAAAAGAACATCCATCTTATAACTTATGTATAACCCACAATGTAACCTCAATGGCAATAAGCACAATCTTGACGAATGAGATGACCCTAAGTATCTCAAAGTCCTCATAATGCCTTCCGACATGGCAATACTCATTTACGGTAGAGGATGCTGACAAGACAATGCCTATACCTTATTGTTAATCATTTTGCACATATTGTACAGAAGTCCTAGATCATGAATACCCATCATAAATAACGTCAAGAAGATGATGTGCAAGGTGCGGTGACGTGCCAGGTCAAAAATCGATAGGAGTATCAAGCCCACTGAGCCCGCTATCCCAGATAAAATTGACATGACATCAAATAGCTTTTCTAGTTTTCCCACTGAAGCATAGTTGCGACCTACATATATATATATAGGTTAGATCCATACGAGCACCTCATATATCCAAACGGTTGAATTGATGTGTAAAACCATACGGACTGAAAATAACGACACTGAAAACATAGCTGCCGTAACTGAGCATCCCACAATGAAGAAAGGCTTCATGACATTAGACCCTACGCTTGGGATCAGAAACATTTTTCAATTCGTTGGAGCCGGAAGAAATACCAATATCTGAGATATACACCATGTGCTGATTTGCGTTCATGTGACTATATCTAGGCTGACGCTGTGAAACCCAGATGATCATCATAGACCAGAGCATAGCTACAAGTACAGTAAGCTTTATTTCACTTGGAACCCGTATAGGAATCTACTCTATTCACTCACAAAACCAAACAGCTGCGCCAATCAGAGGGAATATCGAAAAGGGCGACCCTCGATATCTTTTTCTGGGTTTTTCCTCATTGTAGCTTGAATCGGGATTTGTAGATCTCGGCATCGTGCTGGTACGGTAAATACTGGCGTTTTATCAATTAATCTCGAAAGTGTGCCCGAGAATGTGAATAAGGAGTTTAGAGGTTTGTGGCCGTTGTACTGGTCCTCGATACATGTAGTGTATATTTCTGAGCTTCACACAGTCCACGTGGTTCCATGGTATTAAAGTGTATGTAAACGTCGACCCACCTTTACGACTTGGTTCTCTGTTTGCAATGTATGTATGCATGCAGGATTTCCGTTGACATGTTGGTATCTCTTTGTTCTTTTTGGTATTCGGAGTTACAGTACATATCTTGAACCATGTTTTCCTGTCTTGTGTAAATATTTATGCAAAATCCATCTAGTGAATAGATAATAGCATCACGGATTGTCGTCACACCAAGAGTACATCATTTAAAAGAAGAAAGGGAACCCTAACGACTAAGGAAGACTCCTCAGAGAGTATTATATACATGTGATTTCCACAAGTTATAAGTAACCCGCACGAAAACCTTCAGAGCTATTAAAAAATCCTTAGCAATATTATCCTATATCCTATCTTACAAAAAGAAATTACTCTTTGGATCACAGGTCAGTCATCATCTTCATCGCTGTCATATGCAACTAAACCCATTAGCCCCCCAACTACAGGCGGTTTGGCAGCCTGCTTAGGTTCTGTCAGTGGTACTTCTTTCTTGACCGGCGGGGACACTGCTTTGGTCTGCTTAAGCTCCTCTTGAGTGGCTTCTTTGGCGTCAGGCTTCTCATCCTCCTTGGGGGATTCCTTCTCTTCTACCTTTGCTGCTGTGGTGGAGCTTGTCTTTCTCACTTTCACACCCAGGCCCAACTTCCCCCCTTTGCCGCCCTCCTCCTTCTTCCTCCGCTTTCGGCCCGTAGTTCCCCAGCTTGTAAGCTCAGCAGTGCCCTCCACCTCTGGCGCTGCACCAGTCTGCTCGATCTCGGATTGCTGCTGCCGGAACGCGTCTAGCTGCGCTTCAAGCTCCTGCCTCCTCGCCTCCTCAGCTCGGCGCTCACCGCTTAATATTGAGTCCTACAATGGCAGTTAGATTCCACGATTCGAAGAGCCGAAGGAAGGTAAATACCAGGTATTCAACATCGTCCTCGTCCAGCGGTTTAAACTGATTTTTAAACTTCAGCTTCTCCTCGAACTCCTCCTGTTTCTTCGCTACAAGCTCATAGCATCAACAATTGCGCCCAAATAACTTCGTTCTCCCAGGCAAGACCTACCTTTATTAGCCTGTAAGATCGCAAATAGACTTCTCTCTTCCTGCGGTTCCTCGTCTCGTGGCCTGTGGGCCTCCTCAACCTTTTCCTTTGCTGCAGCCCATGCGTCGTTTGAGAGCGCTGGAGCGGCGGCGCTCTCAGCGGTGGTCTCGTCGAGGTTGGAGGTGCCCGCAGATACGAAGCCGGACGACATAGCGAGGGTGAAATTGGGAGTTTGTGGAATCTCGACGCGTTGCGGAATGACGTTGGGTTTGGGTGCTTAGTCATGGGCGCGCAGCCCAAGTTACTTTTTTCAGTTAGTCAGGCACGGCGGAAGTTAAGGCCTCCTCCCCTACGGGCTTATTACTACAAGGTTAGGGTTAAATTCATTATATGGCGATAACTGTTCCTATAGCCTTCGAAAGCTGATTTGATTTGATTTTATGATTTCTAATCCAACCCAACCATAAGTGTCACACTACTGAAGATTTTGGCTATGTATGTGATCGAATAGAGTATATTTGATTGACCTTACCAAGATCATTACTCACGCCCTTTTGGTTCGGTTATTCCCACTGGGCGCGTGGAGTCTTCTGGAAGGATTTTTCGACGATTATTTATCTGCGTGCGGAGGGGCACTTCTAATTTGAGTATGCTCAAAACCATGCTTCGCCCGGGATCGAGAGCGAAAAGTCGAGTGATTTTGGGTGATTCGCCCACCTGCAAAACTCCCGCTAACGATTCTGGGTCAACCATTCGCATTTAACGCATGAATCACCAGAAGCGCCCACACCTGATTCTGATTCACAAGCATCTCGGCACCCCGGCAATTATGAAAACCTCACATGGCAAATATCGTATAACTACAGAGCGGAGGGGAACAACATCGAGATTTTCTTCTTTTTTTTCGTCGTTTTTTTCACCTTTTAATTCCAGATATGCGCAGTAAAAAGTACAGAAAAACAGGTGCTAAATGAGTTATGGTATTTAGAAAATGAAAAAAAGGAAGAGAAATACACCAACCGCCACCCCAGCCTTTCGTGCCTATTCTTGCCAACTGCATATGCATGGTATGGTATGAAAAAACTCAATCAGGGAACAGCAAAAAAAAACACGAGTAGAGAAGCTAAAATAACTAGATCAGGGTTTCAAATCCTTTCAAAGCAACCAGCCTAGATAAAAATGCAGGTTTTTCCTCCTCCTCGTTGCTTCCTCCAATATCCTCCAATATGTCCTTCAAGGAACCTAGCCAGTCCTTCTGAATGTTCACCAAGGCCGCCACATAAAATACCCTTCTAGGAACCGACTATTCCTTTCCAACTCCAACCCTATCTATTGGTGGTCAAGGGCTCATACCCACCAATTTTCAACCTTCCCATCGTCGGTGTGATTGAATTCAGTCCCGTCGGCGTGTTGTCTTTGGAGCCACCTACAGATACCGATGGAGACAGACTCGTATCAATAGACACAACCTGATTCAGTCTGGACGTCGGCTGTTTCCCCACTGCCTCTCCACGAAACATGCTAAACGGGCTTACGGACATCTCAGGACTACGCGGGGAAAGCGGAAGTGCAAAAAGATCTTCCTCCTCCTCCTGGGCGATGACTGTCGTTCGGAGGTGATTTGCGGAAGACGCGCTTTTGTAAACAGTGCCGCCTGGAGAGACAGTGGTTGAGAGCTTAAGCGGCGCTTTTGATCCAGAGTTCGTGTTGATGTTGAGTCCGAGTCCAGTGTCGTTGGACGGGCCGGGTTCTTCCTCGGCGATATGCTTGTTCAGGAACGTCTCCCGTACCCAGATCATCTCCTCACCAACCATCCACCCTTCTCGTCTGACTGCCTCTTCATCCATACCCCCACCTTCGACACCAACCTTGAGGTTTCCAGTACCAACCCCACGCGCACCTTCTAATTCGAGCTCTCGAGCTATTTCTTCAAGTGTAGCAAGATCATCCATTCTTGCTTCAGCCCATGCGGTATGAAGATTTCTCTTACCGCCGCTCTGGTAATCGGTTCGCGATGGAGTGGGGACAGTTGCCAAAGTAAGAGGAGTGCCCCACGTGGGGACGAATAGTATATGAATAGCGTCAGGGATCAGCGCATTACCGGTGAGCAAGAAATGTACCGTAGCTCTCTTGGACTCTGGATCTGGGATGATCTGGGTAGGCGCTTGAACGATCGGCCTGGATGAGAAGAACCCAACTAAATCCTCTGTTTCCTCAAAATCATCTAATCCATTTTCAAACGCGATTAATTTTGCTGTTGATAAAGGTGCTCCGTTGGTGTAGTCCGGCGCGGGCTGGTAAACAGGCTCTGGAATTTCGTGAATGGGAGTTCCTCCACCTGGGGTGTTGGTCCCTCGTTGAAGCGCAAAGTAGGTGCCCTTTTCACTCTTAGCGGATCGGAGATCCTCGCCGTCGCTGGCATACATGTTATCCCACTCAATGACCCATTCGCCGTTCAAGCCTGTAGTATCTACAGTGGTCACATCCCATGCCACGGAAAGGATCTTAGTGCCTGTCGACTCATTTCTGCCTCGGCCGAGTACTACCTCGACGGTAACTTTTGGCTCGGAAATCTCGATGGTGGGCGCTATGTACTCGATGGTGCTATCATTCTGGGGTTCTGTGGATGCCATGGTTGAGTTTTGGGAATATATATTTGCAGATTGATAGGGAGGGGAGGTTGCGGCTTTATATCGATTATGAACTCGTAGCTCGGGGTGTTGCACAGATCTGGTGACCGAGATAGATGCCAACTGCCAGCCTTACCACTTGTCTGGATTAACCTCCTCTGGATTAGCAACTCCTTTTACGGCACGGCTATCTAATGGACTCTGGGGTAAGCTCATAGCTAGTGGACTAACGAAAGCTGTTCACAGAGAGCCCGATGCTCAAGTGCGGGGAGAGGGCTCGGAATAAGGGAACACAACGCACCTTTTGTGAGGAGGGGCAATTTGATGCACGTCTCTCCAGCTACCTCTGATTCCTTCGATTCAACGTATATTTATTTTCCGAAGCTATCGCGTGGACTCGGGAGAATGTATGTTTATCGGCACACAGCTTCGTCTCTTGGTATCCTGCAGTGCAGAACGATCACGAGAAGGAAGAGGCAGAAAAAATTATGACACACGGTTCGTTTGTTCGACACCCAACGTTTGCTCGTGGTTCGACAGCAGAGGCGGAGTTTGCTCGTTCTGGGCCCCTGCTAAAAATAGCCGCCCGCCAGGCACCACACACCTTGAAAAACCCTTCGGCAGGGAACTCAAAAGAAACAAAATTCCCCTCATTCGAACTCTTCCAACAACCCCGGCACGCACAGGGGACATGTCATATCTGGCCAATCATATATCACCGAGGCACTCAGAGATCGACCGGATCATCACCACGCCATGGAGGTTTCGGACAATCAATTTTCGCTGTCAACTGCTGCCCTGGGAAAAGCTGAATTTGGAGGACGGGGCAGCAAAATGTGGTTGCCCCTTTTTTGATGTTAATTTTCGAGGACATGTCGTACGTAACCTTCTCCGAGAGGAGCTGGCCGGTTGTTTTCCGGTTCACGGTCCTGTCCGAAACCACAGGGCTGAGGCTCTGCGGCTCTGAGATCCTGCCGGCGCTAGGATTTCGGCCCCGTCGTGGTAGCGATAAATACAAACGCAGGGTCCCGCAATTAGCATAACCTCGTCTAATCATGTTTTTTTCTGCATGCTCTACTTGCTTACCAGCAAAAGAACCAGAAAATGCGGTTGCTCAGGGCAAGGATAGTTTGTATGGAGTGGCGCCGTTCTCATACAAATAATCCCTGTTCCCGTCACTTGCATTTTCTGGTTCTTTTGCTGGTAAGCAAGTACTGGCAAGGAAAGAAGAATATCGCCGGAAATTGGACATTCTTTTATCCTTGCATGTTCTCGAAGAATCGCCGCACGTTTTGGAGGGCAGCAATCTATAGGACATTCCTGGCCGGATTCTGAAAAAGTGCGAAGACATTTACGTGATGAGCATAGTTTCGAAGTTTTCAGCGAGCTCTGTATGACAAGATAATTAACACAAACATCAATTCCTGGTAAGTGGGCGACTTTTGACAAAGACAATAACACATAAGATTAAAGCCTAGGTAACCCCCGGTTCGGCTTATTGGGGATTCGATGGCGGCTCGGCAATGGTGAGGTCAAGGTGCACTTGTTATAAAGGTTCATCTGAAGAGACATGTCTATCCCGACGAGCACAGGAGGACACAGAGGGGCACTTGATGCTGCAATAACTGAAGTTGGATATCCCATGAAAGACGAACGCACCGACTAGGCCATGCTGCTATACCCCTGGGTTTGTATGTACATGTTACGACGCTCATCAAAACTAAAATCACGCCTGTAAGTTCACTGATGTTTCACACGAACACATATAGGCAGATAAAGCCTGCATATCCACATACATATAGGCTGCACTTTATAACCAGAAATTTTATTCCACGTTGCTATTAGGAAATTATATCATTTACGGCATTGTTTATCCTGTCAAAATGAAGCTGCTTAGAGTTGTTAGAAAGCCTGCATGCTTAGTCATGCATGATTTTAGGACATAGCGAGTTTCATTTTCACGTTTTTAGTTTATCTCCGCTGTTTCTTCATGATATTCGTTTAAATTACAGAAATTATCCTATCGAGTCTGGTGATACAAGTTCTACATATGAACCTTTTACTTGCAGCCGGTGCATTCCTTTACTTTTTCCCAGTGCACCAAATGCCCACGGCATGTCCACATCCATGCTGTGTACGCTATTGCGCTGATCACAACACACGCGTTTCCCGCAGCTGCCACGTACTTAAATTGTTCTGGTGAGCTCCATATGGCAATAAGGACCCATTGGATCAACTCAAAAGTATTAATAAAACCCATCTCTACGCCCGAAAACTCCCCTATATTTGTCGCGGGTATGCGTGTTTGAACGAGAGTTTGCGAAACAAGGTCATAAGTCCATAGTCCAAGGCGGGAAAATGCAAGAAACATGAAGAGCGAGCTCATGAGAAGGGAGCTTGGACGGTCATCTGAATCCACCGGGATGTAGAAAAGAACTACTGTTACCGGAATCTTATGAAAGATCAGTGGTTAATATGGCTTTTGAGATGACGCTTTGGGAAAGGACTATAATACCAAGTTTATAACCATCCACCACAATCCCCAAAGCCCGGTTCTCTCCACTGCCGCTGCTTCACCGGCTGCCGACTGTGTTGTTCCATCTCCCCTCCTTGCTCTCCATGCGGCAGCTTTCTCCATGAATTTGACACTCCATGGCATCACTACGGTTGAAGACACCTCAAGAAGGGTGCTTCCAGTTCTAGCTATGGTTATGACTGATAGTGTAAAGCCGGCATTGAGAAGGTACGTGATCATCGAGGCTGAGAATGATAGGACAGAAACGTAAAGAAGGCCGAGCGATAATGATGCTATAGACAAAAAAGGGTCAAAATTCCTCTCTTGTCTAAACAGGACAGGGGGGTTTTAAAGGAGGAGGTTCTCACGAATCCATATCTCGCTCCTGAAGAATATATTTAGGCTTTGTCTCCATCTCTCCAGTTTGAACATATTGCCGCTTCCATCTCCCGTTTGCTCGGCATCGAGAGCTTTTGGCGCTTGAAGTCTTTCACACTCTCTCCATACACGCCTAGCAGCAAACCACTCTATGCCCATCGACAAAAAGTTTATACCGGCAGTAATTAGGATAGTAACTCGCATACTAGATGTCCAAAGCACGATCGCGGACATAAATATCGGCGACAGAAGTTTGCAGATAAGATCTATCCGTCGCATTACGGCATTCAATTCTGGAAGTGACGGCTTTGAGGTACCAGTAGCCAACCTCGGGACCTGATCCAGCACCATGGTTAGCGAGTAATAAGAGTGGGCGTTGAAGGAGAAACATACCCAATCCCTTTCCATCACAATCATATTTCCTACAGCACTAAGCCGTTCCCCAATTCCCAAGGTCATCACCACGGCCATAATTGCGGCTTTTGCCAGCCAATTTCCATCGAGAATTCCAGCTTGGCCTCCTTTACGGGATGCAGGTACGGGCATAACCGAAAATAGTCCGCCACCCAAAAATTCTTCCCCGACAATGAAAAACCATCCAAGACATGCAAGTACGACACATGTACGTTGTAAGAATATGGTTATGCGCAAAGTTTGTAGTCGAGAAGGGTGTGTATCGCACCATCGACCTACCGAGGCGGATAACGCTAGGGTTGCGATAGTTGTAATGATACCTCTAAGCCGCGAGTGTTAGACTTTGGAATTATCCCCAAGTGAAACGAATTGTAAAACCTAATCGAAGAAGCCATGAGTGTCTCAGGATATGCAGATGCCGTGAAGATAATCTGAACTCTGTTAGCCAAAATTACTAGAGAGTGGGAGGGTGGATTTTTACCGCAGCAAACTCGTATCCCCTCGCATTCCAAGTAGATAAGAAGTGAGATAGATAAAGACTCCATGATTGTCTTTTAGTCAAGACCACTTCATTTTCATGAGTGTCCGTTTCATGGGTATCGTTCGTGGATGAATCTTCGTCTTCGTGTATAGCGAAATTTTTTGTCTCTCTTACTAGTGGGAGTAATGGTTCGCCTTCGTCTGAGAGCTGAAAAGTCGAGCTATCTTCTGGATCATGAGAAGCCATAATTACGTGAGGCTATCATCTGCGGTCGCGCCCACCATAGGACGCCTCTGGTGACGTCCAAGGTTTTGTACCCCTAGGCTTGTTCTGGAACACCCCTGGCCAATCTTGCAGGGATGGCTCGGGTACCCGATTGGCCAAAGCTAACCCCAAATTTATTTACTGGAGCTCTGCAATCTGAATAATTGGGCAATGTCTTCTCCAAACAATATGTTCACGTTTCACCCATTCGCGGCTTATTTCTCCTTTTTCCCGGGGCTCACAAATACCCATGCTATTCATAAACTCGTATACCGCCGACATCAATCCATGAGGATTCATTTGACATGAACGGTGCGTGTGCAACAATCCTACAAGATTCTTGATGGTGGAATAACGCTCCAACGTTATTGGAAAACTCGTGGTGGAATATTCGGTACTCACTAGGATTCTTTCACCGAGATCTTCAGCGAGCGGAAAACTCTTTCTCACGGGTCTCTGTTAAGAGCATCGAGTGATAGGAGGTGATTACCGCATTCATTCTATGCAACTGGAACAAGCGCTTTGGACTCTGCTAATAATAAAAACACCAAAAGGGTCACAGGTTTCTCTCGTTTACTGCATAGCGCAAGCTTTTTTTGATTTTTTTTCTGATACGTACACCGTGCGCATTGCGCAATTGCCCATTCTTTACTTAATTGCGAGGACAACTACGCTAGTCGGCACTTCTCCTATGTTTGCACATCCCTCTCAGTGCGAGGCGGGGCCTCAGCCAAATTGTCATGACTCTAAAACACCTTCATCAAGCAATTGGTCAGCAACTTCACAAAAGACCAAAAACAGAGGCTGCCCTATAGATCCCTGGTATTTCGTGGAGATGATGAAGATCACAAACTGGTTTAAAGGCAGGGCCTCTTCGATTCGAAGTAGACGGTCTAGCGTGGGAGCCTCAACGGTCCTTCCTGAGCCGACACCAACCCCAGATGTCCAAGTTCCTATACCCTTCCCGGAGGAAAAGATTCAAAGATATTGCAAAGGAGGATACCACCCAACAATTCTTGGAGACTTATTCCAGAAAAGATACAAAGTTGTCCGTAAGCTGGGGTACGGTCCAAATTCAACAGTATGGCTTGCTCTAGATGAAAAGTGAGGGTTTATATCTTCCTGAAGACCTCTAGATTGAAAACACTGCTAATAAATCTAGGATTGATCGCCATGTTGCCTTGAAAATATTCACTGCTACAAACTCGGACGGGATTGGTGAATCAAGAAGGTTGGAAACACTTAAATACATCAGAGATAGTGATTCTAAGAGTCCAGGGCGTGGTGGAAATCTCAACTTGTTTGCCATCTTTGCACATCCAGGACCACATGGGATACACAGTTGCCTGGTGATGGAGCCAATGCATCAAAATCTCCTTGAATTTACAGCACGCACTGAGAATAGGATAATCCCTTTGGTAATAGTCAAGGAGATGACAAGACAACTGCTATCGGGACTGGATTATCTGCATAGATCTTGTGACATCACACACACTGGTACGTGAAGCCCGAATCAATCACAAGATTCAGAGTACTAATAAACTTTGCAGATATCCAAGCCCGGAACATTCTAGTTTCAGTCAGCGTCGAAGACTTTGAATACTTTATTCGCAAATTTCTAGAAATGAACCCACCAAGATATTACGGCGATGAATACGGCGATCTACCAGGATATGCAGTTGCCTCAGAAAAGCTTCCAATACCACTCCTTCCTCGACCAAATCTTTTCAAGTTCAAATTTGCTGGCTTAGGCATGTGTAAGTTGTTACCTGTCCATTTTGTGTGCTGGTTTCCTGAAAATTAGCTGAAGATAGTCCTACCAGCCCAGTATGTAGACAAGACACTCCCTGAAATGATACAAGCCCCATTCTTCCGAGCTCCAGAAGTTATTATCGGAGCTCCATGGGGCCACAGTGCTGATATCTGGAATTTTGGGTGCATTGTAAGAGCCTCGCCAAAAAATTATCTACTCCCCTCACTAATTTATCTTTATCTCTAAAAGATCTTCGAACTTCTACAAGGTAGAGTCATGTTTTGGGGGAAAGAAAACAAAGAAAAAGGAATAACACCTGAAGAGGATCATCTGGGCCAAATGATTCAATGCTTTGGAACTTTTCCTCTCGAACTAATCGGTCAAGGGAAATACTCATATAAGTACTTTGATTGCTTTGGTTAGTATATCCCCGTCAATGTCCTACTTACCCCCCAATATATCTCACAGTTTACCGGGGAGTGAACTGACCCGTTACAGGTGACCTAATACATGTCAAAAACCTAGCTATGCACCCTTTCCCATTGGAGAAGTCGCTCAGTAGATGGAATCCTAGTCTCTCTAAGACGGATGTGGTGGGGTTTACACGCTTAGTTCGATCGATGATGAGATTAGATCCCAACGAGCGCAGGACCGCTCAACTGCTGCTGAGGGATCCTTGGCTTAACATTCAGGAAGAGATTGGGTAGATCAACCACTTAGCTACCCTATTATATTGCAACATCTACCGAGTCAATCATAATAATGTTTAATCTTCGACTTTATTCGGTCGCTTCGGTAGACTTTTTAGCTTCACATTCCAGCCCTAATCATGTGCTCATGAAACAACTCTGCTCTACGCCATACTCTTTCTTTGTTACTTGATATAGCAAACGCCCTTTTGAGATGCTTGGCAAGCTTACCCAGAGCCCGGAAATCGCGACTTAAACTACTATCTTTTATTGCTGCCTAGGTACACCCTTCTTCATCCTCACGACCTAAAATACCCTCAAATGCGCCCTCTCATCCGACATCCTAATGGGAAGCCTCTGTGATAGCCTTGACCCTTCAAACCCACTCGACGGTCCAGTTCTACTCGAAAACCCTTGCAAAATCCCCGAAGACCCATTCCCTTCAGCTCGTTCACTCTTAATCGGAAGCCTGTGCGACATGCTCGATTCTGCAGACCCGCCCGACTGTCTGGTACTCTTAGCCGGAGCACTTTTCGGTACCCTTGACGTCGACCCAGCTCCACCTGACCGCTCGGTTTTGGAAGGAATGCTTTGTGGTATTCTTTGTGCTGTAGGCCCGCCTGACCGCTGATATGTCTTGATCGTGAGACCATGTGGCCTCCTCGACGATGCAGCCCTACTACCTGCTTTCCCAGTGGTGGCCAAAAGATTTGGTGGTAATCTAGATGAAGCACTCTTGTCCGAATTTCTTATAGAACCTACACAGATAATATCAGCAACCACTTCCAATTTGGCTTCGGGGAAGAAAAAAAAAACCCAACTTACAGGCACCACAGATCTCGCCGGGATATTGAGTTTCAGCGTTGCAGGAGGGACAAAATGAGCGGGGCTTGATCTGCTTGTTTGTGGCCTTTGCGTATTTACAACGTTGGCAGAGGATGCGTACGTCGCGGACGGGACTCTCGTGGCAGCTTTGGCAGACGGGGTAGGTTATTTTTTCGTGGTGGGCGCGGGGGGCGGATTCTTTGGAGGTCATGCAACCCATAGTGGTGGTGGTGGTTGAGTTGGTTGGTTGGTGGGGGGAATTAGGATTGGTGTTTGTAAGGTGGGATAGAGATGAAATGAGTGTTGGGAGGAAATATAAAACGCTTGGAGTGGGTTGGTTTGGAATTATATGTAGCAGGAAATAATTAATGTGCGTAATCCGGAAAGGAAAGAAATAAAATGAGTGAATCGAGGAAAGAATGAGTGTGCGTTAATTAAGTAAATAAAATATGCTATAACAAACGTGAAGAAACCATGCCATTCCGATTCCCCCCTCGGATTCCTTTAAATACATAAGTACTCGAGATAATATATCATTCAAGATTCAGCCGCAGCAAGAACCGCCGGGTTTGAAACAATGGTCGAGTCGATAATGATAGTTCATCTTGAAAACGCTTCATTGTAATCCAAACACAACGCCTTTATGCCCGCATTGCCAACTGCTTGCTGTGGAGGTAGAGTTCTCTTGAAAACCAGAATGGTACGTCGTAATATAGCTCCAACCCCGTAAAGTGGGATATGTTTTCTCTATTAATTTGGATCTTGCCCAGGGGGTGTCGGTGATACATATATGTACGCCATGTACTGGAATCCATATTTAGAACAAAAGAAACTCCGGTTTTTGGCTTCTAGAAGCATTAGAAATAGATCTAGATGCATCTAGATGCTTGATCACGACAATGTTAGATGTGGAAGTATATACACTAAGATAAAGTGTAATAGGCAAGAGAAAGCTTAGGTATCTTCAGCTATCTAGGGCCAGATGATTCTTTTATGTGAAGTGGCCTTGATATATTCCGGTAGATAAACGCTATGTATGTACATGTATTGTCGCCAGAGAAATCTTCTCATAATTGATATTCCAAATAATGAATTATCCATATATTCACCAGAAGCTTTAATGGGCATGGGCGTTGATAGCTATGAATGGTAAAGGGCAAAAATCGAAGTACATACATGTAGATACATGGAGTAGAAATGTGAATAGCGGATAGGTGTGCATGTGGAGTGCATATTTCGGTTCTGTAATAAATGTAGCCTTGCCTATATATCGAACCAGCAGACAGTTAGTGAACTGGGATTACGATTTGACATGTTACCATGATCTTGTGGGTGGTTTTCAAGCGGTCCAGTAGATAGCGGCCTTTTCCAGGGTTAGGGGAGTTTCTCACCCAGCGTGGGTGCCCATTCGCTCACGTTCAGTGCCAGGAGGAAATCAAGTCAATCTCCTATAAGTAACCCTAGCCCTACTTTCGCTTCAGGAACGGTTTCATTGTGCTGTCTGGTTGCGTTTGCGAACCATACAAGCTAACCTGAACAGCAGCTCTAGAGCTCCACGAATGGGAGGAGCTTATCACCCATGGCTCTGCTTGGACGTAAGTCCAACCCAATGGTTAAGGTCAATGTGTAGATACGGCTCTACACATCCTCTCTTTCATTCGTTCTCTTGGCGAATATGATAAAAGAGTCAGATGATTACATGCACTTTAAATAACTGTTCACGATACTCATGAGCTATCACTCGCGCTAACTGAGGCTTCCTGACTGTCTACCTACTGACAAAAGTTGGGCGAGCGGCGATGCTGTATCTCATCCTATCATCGGCAAGCTACATGTAGTCTGTAGATGTGATAGGATAGAACACAAATAGTCAGGAAGATAAGAAGTTCATGTACGTAAGTGTTGACAACTGCAAGTTCATTCCGCGCGCCATGGATAGAGCTTCAGCTGGAGCTAGGAGAACCAATGTTGCGGTGCGCCACGAGTAAGAAGCAGGCGAAGAAGCAGGCAGATAAATGCCGCGTCTGCGTCCGCCTCAGAAGCAGAGCGCGCACCTTGCTAGCGAAATTTATCCCCCGTCTCCCCGTTTACGATGCTTGGCCATCCCATTCAATGGAGCTTGGCAGCGGTCAAAGAAGATACCGGAATCCTTTATAAGGCCTCTTCTGCCCCCCCCCTCCCTTCTTTTCTCTCCACAGCACAGCACCATCCCCTGCCTAGCCTTGCTAGTTGGGATCCTTCATCTTTTCCTCCTCCTACAGGGAGGGATGGGTTGGGGTTCCAATTAGTCGGTGCTTATAATGGTATTGAAATAGGTATATGGTTGCTGGAAAACAAGGTGGTCCCCTGGGTGGCCCTTTTTTTCGGGGTACTTTTGTACCTTCTTTTTTTCTTTATATTCCTGGCTGTTGCGAGGGGATGAAGAAAAAAAACTTTGGGGTTTCTTTGGCTCCTTGTTTGGCTTGTTTGGCTTTTTGGTTTCGGCTTCTTTTGGGATTTGGCTCTCTTTTTTTGGCTCGTCTCTGTGGGAATTTTTTGGTTCTTAGTTTGGCTTTTGGCCTGTTTTTAATTTTTGGCTCTCCCCCAGGCCCTCTTTTGGCCCTTCAGTTCTACTCTTTTACTCCCTCTCCCTCTTCGTCCCTTCCTCGTCCCACCCCCCTCCTCCGCTCCTGCCTGCCCTTTCGGCTCCTCTCCTGGTTGTAGCTACGGATGACGAGCACGAAGAATACTAGATAGAAACCTCCATTTTTATATATAGCTAAAAATAAAATCAAGATCAAAAAAAGACCAATCCCGAAACCATAAATCACCATTGTAGAACTTGAAGGTGACTTCCATATCCGTAGATACCACTGTAACCATCACTCCCAATCCCAAAGCTATTATTGTAGAACGTGAAGCGATTCTTATCTATGTACTAATCTGATCATCTTTCTAACCTAACTCTCATCTAACAAAACTCTCTAATTGACCTCAATGTTAGGCGTCCCGACCGGCCACAGGAAGTGATATACACCACCGTATCGCATTGTCGCTCAACAAATGGGTACTATTTCCATTTCCAGTATACGGACGGCCATCATTTAGCACGGCCTCATTCTCGAACACGGAGCCGGAAAGTGGTTTGTAGGTAGATCAATCGTACTTATACGTACATGTAGGTATAATAGTTTAATTACCTCGTTGTTTCTTCGCACATTTACCTTGTGATATCATGATCCCATTGCAATCTCTTTCGAAAAGCAAACTTGAGTGCTCGGTCGATTCATGATTCGAGCTTGAAAATGAGCACACGTAGCACAGTGCTCCTAGAAGACGTTCCCTCACGAACACACCCTAACCACACTCGTTACTCACGATGCTCTACCACCCAGGATCATACCCCAACCGAGCTGAACATCCCCGCGGCGATCATCAGTTTTTCTTTTTTCTGCTTTAGCCAAAGTGATCTACCCAAGGTATCTTCAGCTCAAGTCAACCCAACCCAACTCAACCCAACGCAGCGTAGTAGTAGCTCAGTGAATAAACATATATGAGCGTCGGCCAAAATACCGCATCTGCGAGTGCGGTCGGCTGTACGGGAGCGTCTGGGCATATACGTTGGAATGAACGTAATGGTGGGTTGGTATGCGTACGGTACGCATGTTGGGCAGGTATATCCTCCTCCGTCTGCCTCATCATCGGGAGTGCTCCCCCCCCCCCCCCCCCCCACTGTGTAGAGCCCCATAATTGTAACGTGTAGCTTAGAAAGAGACTGTTGAGCTCATCTCGCCGCCGTTCGCCCCACTATCGATCGGAAGCACTCTCCCAACGCGCCATAACTCTGTAGCCAGCATTGGGGGGCTGTTGAGCTCATCTCGCCGTGAGGTATGTGAGTCGAGAATCGTGATCCTTGGTGAGCTGGAGGCTCGATGATGGACATGAGGAAACGAGAACGGTGATAGTGGTGCCAGCAGCACAGGAGGGGGGGGGGGGGGGATGGGATATGCATGGAACACGTCGCTGAAGAATTTTAGAAGTTCTATATACAGGACCACGATAACGGGTATGCATGAATATGATATGCGGTGTTCTAGAAGCTAGGGTCCTGAGCGGTGGGTACACTGGGTGTTAGTAAGTGCCGTAAAAGCGCAGACGTACGGGGGAGGTAAGGTGCATGGAAGCTCGGATCAAACGTCATATGCCGTTTGTGGCCCCTACTAGGGGGGTGAGGGTGGGGGAGGTGGAGGTGGATGAGGAGGATGAGGCGGCGGGAGCAATGAGGAGCTAGCTTCTCATGATACAGCACGTACGTACGGAGCCAAAGTGCTGCGAGCCGAGATTGAAATCATGCGTGCTGCACTTTTGTTTTAGATTAGGATGGGATGGATGGACGAACGGATGGGTGGAGGGTAGCAGGAAGGTAGGTGGTCAGTAGGTGGGTCGCCGGCCGCGGCAATGATCGTTATGCAAGTAGTATGTGATTGGTTAGAATCCTCAGTAAACTACTTACTTGCAAGGTATGCTATATTGCGACGCTGTTATTCATCATCACGTGGTGCGTTTTTCAGCTGGATGTTGCAATGGGCAGTTGAGAACTCGTAGAGCCTGGTGATTATTATTGCGTTAATACGCCTTGAACCGTGAGTGAATAGGTATCAATCTAGAGCGTAAAGCTGGTAGTATAGCAGTGCTTGTAGGAACCCACTGTAAGGTAGGTACATGTAGGTAGGTAGGACCTTAGGTAGGTAGGCAACCCACCACCGACATAGCAGAATAAGTAGGCATAAAAACCATCTTACAACATACCACCCTATGAGGAAGCTTCACCCTCGCCCCAAGGCGCCGCACCACCTATCATTATCCCTACCTTCCCCCCCCCCCCCCCCCCCGCGCCTCCCCCACAATCTTCAAGGCGCACCACTATTTTAGCGAGTGAGATTATATGACGCCACCGCTACCCTTCACTACCCACCACGTCGCGAACAACTCTGCTGGCGTTAACAGCTATCGAAACGGCTACGCATTTCCTCCTTCTAGCCCGCGATCCTGCTTGAGAACTGCGCACGTTCGGTAGAGTACCTACGTGCTGCAGGAGGGTTACACAAAGGGGACGCTCGCAAAAATCTCAGCCTCGCGTTTCATGATCTGTGGCTTGTGTAGTTTTAGTTTTTTTTTCTCGGCCCTACGTAAAGTGCAAGGAGGGGGTGGCGCTTGTCAGGACCACGTAGGGGAGGCGGAGGAAGCAGGAAGCAGGAATCGGGAAGTTTTTCTTTTCTTTACTACTGTCGGTATGTCTTCCGGCGGCGGGGAAAGGGAAGGGAGATTTTCCGCTGAGGGAGGGATGATGGTGCGCACTGCACTGTGAGTGATGAACCATGATCGGCAAAGGGGAGGGGTTCCGGTGAGAGGTACATTGTGTTCCTAGTAACATCTGGTACTTTTGGTGGTAATGACTGAACTACATGTACGTAGCGGAGGAGAGTGACTACATCATAATTGTTCCTATGGCTTTTGTGGATTGGAGAAACACACGGAGGGATTGGGTTTTCTAAAGCCACTCTTCCACTCACTCACCCACCCGCTCGGTAATCTTCTCTGCGAGTCCCTACATGATACTCCTCTGCTCGCGTGGGGAGTAGGTTACCAGACCGACCCAATTGAAAACGCCCAACTGGCCACGAACCAACCACCGCCCCCGCAGCCCGGGTAGCAGGACTTGATCGGGGGAAATGTACATGCGAGTCGGTTTTTATTTACTCACAGTCCACTCATTCGGGGCCTGTCGCGGCGGGATGATGCTGTTGTTGTTGTTGACTGTGGTGGTTGCAGTGGTGGTTGTAACTTGTAACTTGGTCCCTTGAAATTAAAAAAATTTATTAACTAAGCCAGTTAGTTCGCACCAACAACAGAACGAACACGCACAACCGTAACGACACCTTCTCCAGTTCTCCTCTCCTCTCATCTTGCTCTGCACTGCACTGCTCCCCTCCTCTCCCATCCCCCCATCCCCCATCCCCTCACACTCCACTCCCCCTCCAATTTCCGCCAATCGTCAATCTCGTCACCCCTTACGCACTCAGGCCTGGTCCTCTGATTGATTGATCGAGATTGTGTGACAGGCAGGCTCGAAGAAGGTGCTTGGTCTGGGATAGATTCCTGCTTCCTGTTGTGGCAGCAGGGTGGACGTACAAGGCGCCGCCTCCACTGACAAGTTAAGAGTTAAGGGCTGGGATAAATACTTAGCTACCCCACCACCACCTCCACCACCACCACCCCACAGCAGCACTCGGATCCACCAACATCATCATCGGTGGTAATATACTACAACCACCACCACTACCACCACCTGGTCTACTACTCAAATATACAACCACCACCACCACCACTACTACCATCATTTGCTACAGCGAACAATCTTTTCTCTCTAGGACCCACCACCACACATTCACAACCAGACATGTCGACCCGCGTCCCCACCTCATGGGAAGAAGACTGGGCCCCCCGCCAATCCAGCACAAATACTCGGCCCAATCCGGCCGCACCCGCCTTCTCACCACGCATCCTCCGCCCAGATTCTGAGCTTTATACTTTCAACGGCCAGCCGCGAACCACATACCGACCCGAGCTAAAGATTCTCAAGCGCACACCCGACACCCCCGAGGTCCCCGCGCCGGTCGTAACCTCGGAGGAAACAGACAAGTCGCGCCGAGAACGAGAGCGCAAGGAGAAGGAGCGACGGTACCAGGAAGCCCGGGAGCGTATTATGGGCAAGGCTGCCTCCTCCTCCTCTTCCCCCTCCACGCCTGCCAACACCAACAGCAGCAACAACAGCAACAACAGCACACCCAAACAGCAGCAGAAGCAGAGAAAACGTTCCCCCGACGCAAACACAACGCCAAAGTCAAAGTCCCCATCTCAGACGCCCAACGGCAGCGGGAAGCATAGCACAAACAACAGCCGAGGTACGACGCCGGTATCGCGGAGTCGTACGCCGAGTAGACGGTCATCGCCGCCGCGTAATAACGGTGCGATTACGGGTTTCTCGCTAAATGGCGGAGAGTTTACGAATACGCCGGTAGTGCCTGTAGGTGGAAGACGGTATTTGCAGAAGGTTGATGGGAAGCTGCTGGAGAGCCAGTTGACAGCAAGGGATAGCCAGGAGATCGTGGTCGATCGTGATCCGGAGGGCGGCGTGTATCTGAGCGAGGGCGGCCTCGACTGGGACGATTTCTCGAGGGAGCCGGTGGTACCCGCGCAGCAGCAGAGCCAACAATGGTACGGCACAGGTGCGGTTGAGTACGACTACTACAATAATGGCAACAATGGCCACTACGGCAATGGCAACAACTATGGAAACGGCAATGGCAACTATGGCAATGGAAATGTCAATGGTGGCTACGACTATATTTCACAGTTCCAACCACGGCAGACCCAAAATCCGGGGATCTATGGGGCAGCTGCGGGAGAGGGCCGCTTCGTGTACGATAAGCCACAGGTACCCCCGGCACCGGCGCCGGCGTCGGAAAAGAATGTTAGGGCGCCTGGGTCAATGCAGGCTGGCGTTATAAGGACGCCACGGGGCCCGGATGGGAGTAGGGGGTTTAAAGGACGGGGTGCGGGGCCTGCGCAAAATGGGGGGCAAGGTAGGTATTCGTAGATTTGCTGCTTCTTTTTCTTTTTCTTTTTTCTTTGGCTGGTTGGGCCGTATTTTAGTTATTGACCTTATTTTCAACTGTTCTTCTTTTCCTTTCCGGCCTTTTCTTGTTTGTTTGTATCGGGCTGCGGTCTGCTTTTTGTGTTCATCCGCTTTCGGGGCCTCTGTTTTGTGTTCTGCTATTACTTTGCGTCTAGTCGGCCTAGTCTTGTGTTTTATAGTTCGGCTTTTTTCTTCTTTTTTTCTTATACTGTTTCTTTTTAAAAATTAGTCTTAGTCTTTTACGTGCGTCTACTTAATGGGGTATGGGACTTGGAACGGGTAGGATGGGACGGATGGGACGGATGGGATGGGAGTGTTTGTACTTTGAATTATATATTTCTGCTGGTTTCTTCTTTCTTCCGCATGCGTTTAAACGGGGGGGGGGGGGGGGTTTAAGCTTTATTATTGATACTATGATTGAGACTACTACTACTGCTACTGCTGCTACTTATACTACTACTTGTACTGTTTGTTGCTTTGCTGTCTGTCTGTGTTGTTGCTGTTCCGTGTAGGGTTTGGTTGATTGATTACTTTGTTTAATTGTACACTGTTTCGTGTAGAGTGTTTAGTATGGGACGGCTGAGTTGTTCTATGTAAATACGTGTTCCTGTTGCACATGTCTGTCTTGTTGTCCGTATTGTCTGTTGTAGACTTACTTGGTAGGCGCGGGGAGGCCTAGGGCTCGGGGGTGTATGTAGATACGTCGTTTTGCATGGTTCTGTTTTTTTTCTTCCTTTCTTCCTTTCTTTCTTCCTTTTCTTCCTTTTCTTCCCTGCTCCCTGCTTGTCGGGGGTGCGGTGCGGAGCCGTTAGAGCTACGGCGCGCAGCGCAGAGGGGGGGGGGGGTAGATGTGAAACTAAGGGATGGGATGAAGATTAACTTTCCGGCCGCAGCCGCAGTGACGTCGGCGGGGTTGGATTCAGACTGGGGAGGTGCCAATTGGGGGTGCAGTGTAATAGAGTGGACGTTATAGGTAGTCTGTGGAGCATGGGCCGGTCATTGGCCAGTGCGTTGTGGTGCGGTGCGGTGCCTTGTGTTGTGAGACGGGGTAGTTCGGTGTGGTGGCTGTGTTGTGGGGAGGTTGCTGGTTGGTGGGGTGTAGTGGTTGGATGGAAGTGGTTGGGTTGGGTTGGTCGGGTTGGGTTGGGTGGTAATGATCGGTGGGGTGGTAATGATCGGGATGCCGGAATTACGGGGGTTACGGGGTTACGGGATTACGGGGTTGCTTCACAGAAGAACAGGAGCCGGAAGAACGACAAGAAGAAGAAAGAAGACTATAGAGTAGCAGCAACTAAAAAAATCTCATGGTATTAAACGCGGGGCCTAGATCTATCACCCGCCCTTGCCTTTAACAAACAAAACAAAAAGAAAACCCCCGGAAAAAGAAAAAAAAAAAAAAGAACCCCGCATCCCGCATCCCGCATCCCGCACCCCGCGCTCTCCCCCCGAAACCAGCCAGTCTAGTCAACATCCAACCTCCACAGCCCATCGCCCAAATAATGCACCGTCTCCACGCCCACGCCCTTATTCACACTCTTAATCGCCTCCGTATCCATCTTCAGCAAGCCCACCATACACGCCTCCCCTTTCCCCTCGGCGCCAATCGCCACCACTGTCCCCGCCTTGACCTCCCGCTCCCTCTCCGGCAGCCTGGCCCCCGGCGACGTCAGCCCCGGACACATCAACTGCGCCCCGCTCAACACGAAGCGGATCGCGCCGCGGTCGATTTGGAGCGTGGGGAAGCACTGCGGGAAGCGGTGCACGACGCGCAGGTGCGGGAAGAGCGCGTCGTCGTGGTGCTGGAAGAAGAGGATGTCGGTGCCGAGGGCGTAGAGGGAGATGCGGTCGGGCGCTTTGATGAGGTCCAGTTGCGACTTTTTGGGGATTAGCTCGTCGATGTGGGGTGTGAGGAGCGGGAATTGGTCGGTGATTTTGGTGCGGAGGGCGCGTTGGACGGAGGATTTGAGTTTGGTCTTTTGGGTGCCGGTGAAGCTGGGAGGGAGGGGGGGGTTGTGTTAGTTGGGTTCTGTGGGGAGATGGGGGGATGGGGAGGGGGGTAGGATGGAGAGGGGGAGAGGGGGACGGTATTACCCTTTCTTGAACATCTTGAAGCTGGTGGGATGGTAGTGGTTGTGGTTGTAGTTGTGGGGTGTTGAGATGTAATTGTGTGCAGGAGAGACGGTATCGATAGGATGATCGAGCTGAACTGCGGGGGCGGGGCGGATTGGCGGGTTGAGTGCACGCCGGGTAAGTGCCCGTTGCACAGACCAGCCAACGCTTGAGCTGAGATCTCCATCACAGCTTCACAGCCAAACCACGCACCACCACCCCACGACATCTCCACCACAGAAACCCCCCACAACCGCCCACAATGTCCGAATACTGGAAATCCACCGTACGTCCCTCTTCCCCTCCCCTCCTCTCCTCTCCTCTCCTCTCCTAGCTCCACCACTAACCCCCAGCCAACACACAGCCAAAATACTACTGCAAGCACTGCAAAACATTCGTCGTCGACACCCCCGTCAGCAAGAAGAACCACGACGCGTCCCCCAAGCACCAAGGCGCGCTAAAGCGCTTCCTGCGCGACCTCCACCGCACAACCGAAAAAGAAGCCAACGCCGCCACCGCCGCGAAGCGCGAAGTCGCCCGCCTCAACGCCCTCGTCTCCCCCGGCTCCTCCTCTTCCTCTGCATCTGCGGCGGGACTGCCAGCACCGACCTACAAACCGCCGGCAAGAGCAGCGACCGAAGAGGAGCGGAAGCGCCACCTCAAGGAGCTAGAGTCACTCGGTGTCGCGCTGCCGGACGAGGCGCGGCGCGAGCTGGCGATGGTGGGGGATTGGACGGTGGCTAATGTCGTGGAGGCGCCGGAGAAGGGGAAGGGGGAGGTGAGCGAGAAGGAGAAGCTGCAGGGCGAGCTGAAGCGGAAGTTTGAGGAGGAGGAGAAGGAGCGCAAGTGGAACGCTATGGATGAGGATGAGCGCGCGATGCGCGGGTTCAAGATACAGACGAAGACGTATCCGCCGAAGAGCGGTGAGCGGGTGGGCGGGTTTCGGCCGATGGTGTTTAAGGGGAAGGGTAAAGCGGTGGCTATGGAGGTTAAGAAGGAAGGGGAGGGGGAGGGTGGTGCGCTGGAGGCGGTTGTCAAGAGTGAAGAAACGGTGAAAATGAAGGAGGAGGATGAAGCGCCGCGGATTAAAAAGGAAGAGAATGAAGCTGAGGGTGTGCATATCAAGGCCGAAGCCGAAGAAGCGCCCGCGGCGGCGGCGGAGGTCAAGAAGGAGGAGGCGGCGGAGAATGTCAGTGATGGTATCGTCTTCAAGAAGAGGAAGGTAAAGAACATTCGGAAAAAGATCTAAGGTACCCGCAAGAACGATGTATTGGGGGCTTTTGTATTTGTATTATAGCCATAAAAGACAGAAAACGGCGTTCGGGTCATTGATAAATTTGCATTATGTATTTAGCTTAGCTTAACTCAGTTAGCAGTCTAGAAATCATCATCATTCCACATGTCAGAACGTATGGCTGGCACGAGTGACGCGCCATGACTCGCCTAACCCCCGCCCCCACGACCTCGCGAAAAAAGGGACCTCCACATCCAACTCTTATCTTAACCGGGTGTGAAGCAGACTGGGGGGAGTTGTGTGCCAAAATGACAAAAAGAAGTTATCCCTCCGACCAGAGTCGAACTGGTGACCAACGGATGATTGCAGCTATTACAGTCCGGTGTGATACCAACTACACCACAAAGGGATGTTAGAATAGGTGGATGTGGGTATTATCAGAGGCGTTATTAGGCTGGTTGGTGGAGCATGGGTGGGGTGGACAGGGTGGGGTGTTAGTAAGCTAGGCTTGGAAGGCTTGGAAGTGTAGGGGCTTGGGATTGGATGGTGGGGCAACCAAAGTATCCTGAAGACTCGAGAATGGAATTGTGGGGCGGGGAGAGGGTTTATATGCGTGGAGTCGATATCTAGTAATCGCAAAACTTGTGAAGACTCGAGATGGATGCTAAAACCGAAATTGCGACTAGACTTTAGCTTCTCAAAACTTCACTGAAAACGACAAAGAAAAGCCATTACCAGGTTTCTAAAAACTGGGATATTCGACGTCGCAGAGGACTGGCATATGCGGCGGCTACGTCTCTACTAAGTACATGTACAGCGGTGGGTAATAAGTCATCAGACGGAACGCCACCAAAATACGCGTTTGCAGGCAAATTGTGGCTAGGTCGTCCGATGACTTATTACCCACCGCTGCACATTACTTGCTACTAGATGTAGGTACGGGTGGCTACCCGTTACCACAACAGTAACAACCCCTGCGTTGCGTTCAGTTGGTAGCGACGAGTGATAGTCTATGTCTCACGTACGGGAGTTCGCGCTTTGTTCAGGGTAGACATATCTGGAAGGACAGACAATTTGTAAGAAACCGTTGGTAGTTATAGTTAGGTGTACAATAGAGGTTGAGGATGTTGTGGCAAAGACATGATAACAACATGACGCCGAGGGAGGCTAGTGGAGAATTTAAGGAGATTCCCTCCGACCTTCCTGATAGAATTATCTCTCTTCTGATTCTGATTACCTCCTGTATAAATGTCTGGTCTCTATCTTCTGGTGATCGATCTTGGTGGTTATGTATATTCTCCGATACTAAGTGAGCAATTGCACTTTAAGAACGGCTTTAGGGAATTTTGGCTAACATTACGTGTAGTCAATGGTCATTCCTATGGTCCAAGCTGAGGGTTGATAGATCTGGAGTGGAAAGGCGCATTAAGTCTTTGGAATCTATATACACTACATATCCGAAAACCTATATACGCTATATACGCTATATTACATATTCTACAAACTCTACGGATCTATACCACCACATCCTCACTTCAACCCCTCCAACTCCCTTTCCCAAGCTTCCAACTTCTCCGCCTTCTCCACCCGATTCCTCTCCAGCACCTCCCCCTTCTCCAACCTCTCCCTCAACACCCTCGCCCCCTTCACCTTCCTCTCCAGCCCCCTCCTCCTCCGCGCATCCTCCCCCATTCTCACACCCTCCGCAGCCTCCGCAGCCTCCACCATTTCCCCAACAACCTCCCTCCACACCAACCCCACCCCGCTCTTCCTCCTAATCTCGTTCTTCTGCGTCCCACTAACCCTCTCTTTATACCGCACGCCAAACAGCGCCCTACACTCCTCCTGCGTTCTATAGCGCAGCACATCATAATGGCTCGCCCTCGTCATTGACTCATCGCGGCTATCATGGTTCGCACTCGACACCACAATCTTGCCGCCCTGCTCGGCGAACCAGGCGTAGCGCGCAACGTCCGTGGGGGGCAGGTAGAGGGTGATGCGGGAGGGGGCGCAGGACTGCGAGAGAAGGTAGTGCAGTGCGAGGGTGTCGATGCCGCGGGAGGGCCCGAGGAGGAAGTGGTGGTTGGCGGAGAGGGCGCGGAGGAGGTGCGGCGTGTAGTGCGTGGTGAGGTAGGCGGTGTCGGCGAGGAGGGGGCCGGATATGAAGCAGATTTTGGGGTCTGTGGCGGTGGTGGTGGGGGTGGGGGCTGGGACTGTGGGGGTGGGGGTGGGGGTGGGGGTAGAGGTGGAAGGGGAGGGGGAGGCCATTGTGTGCTTTTTGTGCAGGTTGGAGTGCTTTTTGGGTGAGTGGTGATTGTAGCTCATGTAGCTGTAGCTGTAGCTGTAGGTGTTGGGCCTGTGTCTGTGTCTGCGTCTGCGTCTATATGTCAATGTCTATGCAGTGCTACTGTCAGTGGCTTTGTAGGCGTGAGTCGAGTCATCTCTCTTCTCTGCGGCACAGCAAGGAGAAAAAATCAAAGCAGGGGCCGGCCGGGAGCTCTGTAGTTACATGTAGTTGGTGAGTGTAGACATCTGTAGCCATAGCCCAGCTCCAGCCCGTCTCTGACACATAGCTGGGAGAGACACTGATGGGGGTCCTCTATGCTATGCGATGCTGTATCCTTCCTTCTTCAACTTGCAGCGAGTGCAGTGAGTCGAGAAACAACTTGTCAGGTTTATGTACCTAGGTTGTGTCGAGGAGCATCTGGCTGCCGTTATCAGCAAGGCAAATGCAAATGCGGCTCTGCGGATAAAGTTGCCCTCGCACCCGCCAACCAGCCACCCTTGACTCTCCAGCCACAGACCCATACTAATACAATACACGCAACCCGCACCCACAACCCACCAACCCTTCCCCCCCCGCCCCCCCCCCGCCTCTCCTCCTCCCCTCCGCATCGGCCAACGCGGGCACTCACAGCTCTCCCGCAGCCCCCCAAACCCCGTGTGTGTGTGCGTGTGTGTAGCCAGGCCAACATCAACACCCGCATCCATCGTCACCCGGCTTCGATCTGCTCAAAGAGAAAGAATTGCCCGAGTCGACTCCGATAGGTTCGCTAGGCTGCTCTATAGAATTGCCTGCTGCTGTAGGTACAGGAGCGAGTGACTGACTGCTGGCAGGTAGTGTACTTGTCTGCAATAGGATAAGGCGGCCCAGACCAGACACCTATCTATCTTCTATCTTCGATATCAAAAAAACCCACCTACAGCACACAGCTAGCACCAACCATCCACAACCGACTAGCCAGTAAGGCCCCCTCCCCTTTGCTTCAGATGCGGGCAGAGAAGAGGGAGAGAGAGAAGGAGAGAGAGAGAGAGAGAGAGCAAATGGCTAACCTCCCCGTAGTGGAAGACTACAACTCCGAGACCGACAGCGACTACAATAATTACTGGCGCGACTGGGTACCCCCCTTCCCCATCCCTTCCCCCCTTCCCTTCCCTTCTCCCCCACCATCCTTCCTCCTCCATCCCACCCCTCTCCCCCTCCCAAAAGAAAGACCAAAAAAAAAAAAAAAAACTAACCACCACCACCATGTCCTTCGACCAGTTCATCTCGGCGCGCGGGCACGAGTACTTCTGCGAGATTGACGAAGAGTACCTCACGGACCGCTTCAACCTCACGGGGCTGCAGCAGGAGGTGCAGTACTACCAGTACGCGCTCGACCTCGTCACCGACGTCTTTGACTTTGAGTGCGAGGACGAGGTGCGCGAGCAGATTGAAAAGTCGGCAAGGCATCTGTATGGCCTCGTGCATGCGAGGTATATCATCACTACGCGCGGGCTGGCTAAAATGGTATACTCTCTCCCCTCTCCCCCATTCCTCCCCTCCCCCCCCCTCCTTCTCCCTCGTACATCGTACCACCGCCACTAACACCCCACCCGCGCAGCTCGAAAAATACAAAAAATGCGACTTCGGCCGCTGCCCGCGCGTCCTCTGCCGCTCGCACCCCCTGCTCCCGCTAGGGCTGTCCGACATCGCCCAGCAAAAATCAGTCAAGCTGTACTGCGCCAGGTGCGAAGACGTGTACTCGCCCAAGTCGACGCGGCACGCGGCCATCGACGGGGCCTACTTTGGCGCGTCGTTCCCGCACATTCTCTTCCAGGTGTACCCGGGGCTGATCCCGCCAAAGTGCAACGAGCGCTACACGCCGCGGTGCTTCGGCTTCAAGACGCATGCGCAGGCGGCGCTGGTGCGGTGGCAGGAGGGGGAGCGCGGGCGGCAGGATGTGAGGTTGGCGGAGGCGGGGGTGGAGGTGAAGAGGGTGGAGGGGGGGGAGGAGGAGGAGGAGGAGGAGGAGAGGTAGTGCGGACGGGTGGGGTGGGGTGGGTTTGGGGGGGGGGGGGTTAGGTAGTTTTTAGGCTCGGCGGGGAGCGGGGGGCGGAATTGGTTGTGGTTCTGCGCCTGTGGTGTTGTGTTTTTTTTTTCTGTTCGTTTTTTTTTTCGCTTTTTTTTCTTTTTCTTTTTTCTTAAATTGCCCATTTTTTTTTTTTCTTTCTCTTGCTTACTTGTGAGGAGGCGATGCGATACGATACGATGTGCATGGCATGTAGGCCACAAACCCAACCGGCAACTGCAAAGACTCTGTGAATGATAATTGATGCTCCATCTCTTCCAATCTTCTAACGCTCATGCAAGTAATCCATCTAATCCCCAATTCCGATTCCAATTCCAATTCCGATTCGAAACCCCTACCGCCCTCCCTGTATACAATCCACGCAATACACTTCAAACGGTCCATCTTAATAGCTCAGAATCACATGTTCTCCATGTTATGTTCATACCATACATTTACTTCAAATCATGAACCATCACTCGCATTTGCTGTGGCTGGTGGGGGAGGATCTATATGGCCGACCCAGCAGTGTGGCAGGGGGAACTACTCTGCGCGGCTGTAGACCTTTTATGGTCTTAGCTCTGACAGACACTTCTCATTGCGAGGCGGTGGTATGTAGTTGGTGGTGTTGTATTATGTGTACTGTGTACTTCTGAGGTCTCAAACGGGTTGTCTTGATGGGTCAATTGGTGAAAAAAAGAAGAAAAAAACATATCGCCACCGGCTCAAGTAAATATGAGCCGTCCTGTGTTTACCGGTAATGTTAGAGGTGTTGCACAAATCAAACATACTAGAATTGTGGTACACCAAGACACCCTACATTGTCAGCATTTATAGAGATGGCACTTTTGGTCGCTAATATTTTTAGCTTGCGGAAGGTATCAATGCTGCGTGTGTTCAGTTGTCAATACTAGGACATCAGTAGCCATTGTGTACTTGGTTAACGACTAAGTACATGTAGATGAGTGAGGTAAGTATCTGTGTAGTAGTTAAAAGGAGGCCCGCAACAACCAGAACTAACGTTCGATCAAGATCTGCGTCGTGTGGGCTTCCACTCCTGCCCCCCTTTTTTTTTTGCTAACCTTGTTAGTTGCCTGATGTTTTTTTCTTTTTGGTTGCTTCCCGCCACTTTCCCGTTCACGATAGTATGCCTGACAAAACCGATTTCAACCCACCACCCACCACCTCTCTCACTTCCTATGGTATGTTTCAGCGACGGAAGGTGGATGGAGGTGGGGGCGGTGGGGGAGGTGGGGGAGGTGGGGGAGGTGGGGGAGGTGGGGGAGGTGGAGGGGGAGGTGGAGGCGACGGAGGAGGTGGAGGTGAAGGCGGAACAGAGTCCCCTACAGACTGAAGGAAGGGTCGAGCATGATTGTGAGAATTGGCACTATCGGGGTGATAGTTGGTGCTGTGATTTTGCCTGTAATATGGTTGGTGAAATTGTTGCTGGTTTTGTAGCATATCCCCCTGCGGTTGTTGGTGTTTCATGTATTCATACGGATTCCCAGACGAATATTTCTAGTCAAGAATAAGTAAATGAAGAAATTTGAGACGAGAGAACGCATACATTGGTATTGTACTCAAATACCTGTTGGTACTGTGAATTAGGCTGGTTCTGATAGTATTCCTGGTTCTGATCGTGCATAAACTGCCCTCCCTGAGTGGAGAATCCCTGAGTATTCTCGTACGAATGACCTCCATTACCTCTTTGCCAAGGGTTTGGTCTTGTAGGATTGCTAGAGAATGACTGAAGAGATAGTCCACTGTCTGGGTTTTCGCTCGCATTTTGAGAATGCCCGTACTGCTGCTGTTGTTTCTGCCATGGAGCACCAATGGATCTGCTTGGCCCAGTCGGCAGGGTCCTGAAAGCATCTCTACTATCGTTCCTATAGCCATCGTAATTCTCAGTTCTTGGCAGGCGTACACCAGAGTTGTTATTGGGATTGAGCCACGGTGCAGGTTCTCCCGTCGGTCCTCGCTCCCATGGTCTTCTGTCATCAACAGTCTGATTCTGCCCATTCTCTATGAGATTCTGCCTAGCGGGAGGTCCAGTTGCGCCTTGATGGGGATTATTGCCTGAAAGCTCAAGCATGAGTTGCTAATAACCATTAAACTCGTTATTATTGCTAAGTTAAACTCACTCGGAGGGGGGGACAAACATCATATTCACGCTCCACCGCATCTGCCTGGGGCGCAAATGAATCGGTGTTCCTCCAATCAGATCCCTTCTGGCGATCACGACAGTCTCTTGCCATGTGCCCCGCATTCCCGCAAATCCTGCAAATAACATTGGAGGTAACATTGCGTTTCTCGGGACATTCATATTTACGATGGCCGAGACCACCGCCTGAATGAGTTAGTTTTGGAAACAATATTAATACAGGGCCCGATCTTACAATTTGGCATGCTTGATTTTCGTCATCTCTAAGAGTCCCGTTCAAGGAAGCTAATTCGCGAAGTTGATTTCTTTTAAGAGCATTTTGTCCTTCGGGGATAGAAGCAGCCTGATATGTTTTGTGAGTAAGGGTAGTAGCGAGGAAGCAACCTTAATTTACCGTTTCAATAACTTCAAGAATAGCTTTCTTCGCCAACTCAATCTTGCTCTCGGTGTCGGCGATAATCAAGCAGTGAAGATCTTCGTCAAGGTTAGAGTCAGTGGCTCTATCGCTGGCCCCTTTCCCTTCCTTGACAGAGCCTTTCCCGCGGATAGCAATCTTTGCCCCAGATTCTGATTCCATTCTCTTAAGAGTGTTTCCACGAGGGCCGATAAGAAGCCCAACTATTAGTACCAAAAATAGAGGAAACAGAGACATGTATGTTAGTGGATCTTAGAATAAATTCAGAAATTTGAGTTCACTGTATAATTAAACAAGTGGAAGCGGGGGGTTAGTTTACTAAAGTTGATTTCTGGATAATCGTTGACTGGCACATAGATCTTCTCAATAGTCTTGGCCGGGCGACGATAATCAGAAGGCGCATGATAGTTTGAAAATACTGTGTTAGCTTTTTGAATCAATTTGTGGCGTTCATCTTCCAAACGCTTCCGGTAACGATATTCACGCGTATTAATACGACGTCCTTGGTTATCATATGTAGGCGCTGGAGAAAGCGAACTGTACCCGGAGGTTAACGACCAGGACTAAGAGAAGACGAAATAGCAGTTGGGACTTACCGGTTATCATCGTCTGGGACGATGTCACCGATCTTGAGCTTCTGGGTGATCTCTTCAACCCGTAGATGGATAGTGTAGGCATCTAGCTGCTCACTTGTCATCGGGGTAAGGATGACAGTAGGAAGTCCCATCAGACCAGCAACCTTGTTCTCGTCGACGGCTCCCCAGCGGTTCGCCTTTTTGCGTTTCCTGCCATCAGGTAATTCTAGTACATTGATTGGTGGTTAGTACAGCACCCACCGGCGAGTATTTTTTTGGGTGAACAAGAGATGGGAAAAACTGACACATACCACGCATTTCAGATCGTCCTCGTTTGACTCCATCGCCTACGCCTTTTGATATGTCTGCGTTAAGAATTCTCTCCGGTTTGATGAGGTTCACCTTCGATTGCTCTTTCCAAGCAGCCTTTTTGGGGTCATCAACTGCCGAATCTCTTTCACCATGGCTTTGAAGACGGCGTTGGCCTAGTGGTGTAGCATTTGTGCCTGTTCTGCTCTTTCCGACTGTGGAAGCCATTTTGGTGGATTTGTGTGGATGGAATATTGAAGAGTAGAAGGAAGGATGTTTGTTGGTCGAGCCTACAAGGTCAGGTTAGCAGGTCGTTTGTGGGATGTCTTGGCGGTTTTTTACACACAAAATTGTTGTCCCAAGTTCCTGGCCAGTAAATACATGTACTAGATCAGCGAGTGATAGTATATGAGTCTAGCTCTAATGCTAATAATTCGTGATTTAAAGCCAGTTATCGTTTTGGAAAGCTATATGTAGATACATGTAATGATAGGTAAGTTATAAAACAGAAATTGATTGAACCCAGCTCTTGTCGAACCCATGAAACACAGTAAATGAATTTCAAGGACCAAGGTCGAGATCCTTAATGCTCGAGATGATGTGTCACGTGACCATACGATAATCTCAACACTTTGATACCAGCTGGGATCGCATGTGCTTCGAAGCGATTGCGATAAGAAATATAAAGCTTTAAGATATATTTCAACATGTCAGGGTATAACTTTATGTATTTTCATTATTTCACGCTAGGCCCGATACCGAGGGCCCCAAGAGAGCCTTGACAACTGATTTGCCCACTATGGACCGTCCACTCACATCTACTACATGTACCTTCAACGGTGTCGGTTTAGTGAACGCACGAAAACGCCCTCATCTTACATCGACGTTTGAATTATATGCCCAGAATGAGTGTCAACATGCTGCGTTTCTCCTCTCTACCGCTCCGTAATGCTCGTCAAGGCCCTGCGGGGATGGTGGCATATAGGTCCTTCACTTTGCTCTCAAACTCCGTGTCGTCATCACAGCCATCACATGAACGATTCCAACTTTCACAAAGAAGATCCTTTAATTCAATTCCAGGCCCTGGGGGAAATTCACTGTTTGGAAGCCCTGGGCCAGATAGAGGCGGATCTCCAAGCTACTTCAGAAAGGAAAGATTACCGGCCAATACAATTATCAAGTTTGTACATCTGCCTGCTAATGCTCTATCCTTAAAGAGTAGGGTAAAGACATTGTTTAACCTGCGATTCCTCCAGATTCGTTCCGCAGCAAACAGCATGGGTTGTCGAGAGAATGGGAAGATTCCATAGGATTCTCGAGCCAGGTCTAGCTATCCTGCTCCCTATTGTCGACAAAATCCAATACGTCAAGTCCTTGAAGGAAGTCGCTATTGAAATCCCTAGCCAGAGCGCAATCACCGCCGATAATGTTACTTTAGATCTAGATGTGAGCAATCCGTCCCCTTCCAGCTCATTTCGAGAGAGCTAACTTTGCCCAGGGTGTCCTTTATATTCGGGTGTTTGATGCCTACAAGGCTAGTTATGGAGTTGAGGATGCTGAATATGCAATCTCTCAATTGGCACAAACCACTATGCGCTCTGAAATCGGACAACTGACACTTGACCAAGTCCTTAAAGAACGAGCGGCACTGAACATCAACATTACCCAGGCCCTCAATGAACCTGCCGCTGACTGGGGTGTAAAGTGCCTCCGTTACGAAATTAGGGATATCCACGCCCCCGATCAAGTCTTAGAAGCAATGAACCGCCAGGTCTCCGCTGAGCGCTCTAAACGTGCGGAGATTCTCGAATCTGAGGGTCAAAGGCAGAGTGCGATCAATATTGCAGAGGGTAAAAAACAGTCTGTCATCTTAGCCTCTGAAGCGAAAAAGGCAGAGCAGATCAACTGGGCTGCCGGAGAAGCACAGGCCATCCTTGTCAAGGCTGAGGCAACTGCTAGAGGTCTCGAAGCTGTTGCTCAAACAATCCGTGAAAATGGAGATTCTGCACAGAATGCGGTCAGCCTGACGGTGGCGGACAAGTACGTTGAAGCATTTGGAAAGCTTGCGAAAGAGAGCAACACTATCGTCATCCCAGCTCAGCTTGGTGACATCGGCGGAATGATTGCTGGTGCAATGGGAATTTACGGAAAGGTGGCAGAGACACAAGCGAGACAGGCACGAGGACTAGCAATAGAAGCTGCCGAGGACCAGGACAGGCAAGAGAGGGAGGAGGCAAAGTTTGAAAAGAAGGAGAAGAAGAAGCACTCAAAGGTCCCGGTCTCATTCGGGGATTATGAAAAGTAATTGTGGTACTGTAGCGGACCGGGTAGATTTAGAGTTAGATCTACACTGTAGTAAAAAAGACTCCTTCATTACACATAGCTTTCCCCTTTCCTTAAGTCTCGACAGTTAGCGCAAAAACTCCGCTCTGTTATGGTAGCAACTTACTTGTATAATACTTTTGCTGTTTCGATCATCTCCAGGTTTCAATAAAAGCATTCGTAAGTTTTTCTATCACCAGTCATCCGCCAATAGCTATATCCGGCGCTAATTGTCAATCAGAGACCCCACATGCGCTTACTTAGTAATTGTGTGTGCATAGACTCCTGCTTATCAGGCCTGCATTTCTTTTGCCGGGCGCCTCTGCAAAGCGCGCTGTTGGCTCCGTGCTGCCATGCATCCTGCAAGCCCAAGACAGATTTCATAGGTTAGCCGTGACTCATGGCCCATGCTCATGATCAGCGGTTTTTCTTTCTCCACGTAAAGCCGGCCTTTCAGACTATGATTAGGTAGTGCCATAGGCCCGAGGCACCTAAAAGCTTGATTGCTGTTCCAACTCGGCCGGCTGCATGCATGGAGACGCGATCCTACCAGGGCCCTGTAATCCATCGTTGCCCGCCTGAAGTAGGCTGAGCTGTAAGCATCCAGGGAGTTTATATACTGGGCTAATGTTACTTCTATTGTAACTTCCCACCTTCTTTTTCGTTCCATCGGCCTAAACCTTTTCAATTACGCCGGACTATTCCCTACGGCTGTTAGGGAACTCATCAATTTGAAATTCCGACTAACAGCTGGATCCATTGAGCTATGGCTGAAGCAATAGGCCTTACCGCCAGTATAATTGGCATTGCCCAACTCGCAGGAAAAACCTTTCAAGTTTCTTATAATTATATAAACTCAGTTAAAAACGCACGACGAGATATTCGCGAATTTCTGGACGAGTTATCTAGTCTGAAAACCGTTCTGGAATCCCTACAAAAGGTTGCTGATGACAATCCACAATCCGAAGCGCTCCGCCAACTCAATAAATCAAGTGGTCCCATCGAAAGAATCGATGGAGTACTCAAAGAGTTGTATATAAAGTTAGATTCCAAGGAAGGATCTAAGATCAATCGAATGAAATGGCCATTAAAGGAGAAAGAGACGGAAAAATGCATCACTATGTTAGGCCGACATACAACTATTTTCAATATTGCCTTGTCGGCGGATCATATGCAAGTATACCATGTCAAATACTCCTGATTAAGCTATGCTAATGGAATATAGGACTTTGTCGAAAGAGATCGAGGCATACACAAAAGAAATGGGAAGCACAATAGAGGAAATGAAATCTGATATCCGGGACACAGCTTTGGCAATCTATGATCTCAAATTACAGTCAAAAGATACCGGCGAACTAGTTCGCGAAACGAATGTTGTAATCCAAAGCCTGCAGTCAGAGGCCGTTGCTCAGAGGTTGTGGAGGCAAAGACAGATAACCTATGCAGAGTGTAAGATTATCTACAAATAACTAGTTGTGTTAATGGATGTCTGATATTTTGAGAGCATTCTAGCAGAGAGGCGGAAGTCTATAATTAACTGGTTCTACAATGAGAGTTTTGATATAAAGCACGCCGATATCATTGCGATGAGGCAGCCGGGGACTGGCGAGTGGTTTTTCAGAAGACCAGAGTTTCAAGAATGGGCCCAGAAGAACCCTAACTCGCCTATTCTATGGGGCTACGGTATACGTATGTATCAAGTTTCTGCTCTCTTATGACCGACCCTATGGGTAAATTAAAGAGCCTTGGGCTAACGATTCGCATGTCAAATTAACAGCTGGAGCTGGGAAAACATTTTTATGGTATGTTAGTACTTCTGAAGAGGTATCCTGCGTACAGGCTGTGGCCGGCTAACTTGGCACTTCTATCTAGCTCGATGGTGATTGATCATTTCCAAGAACGAAAAATAACAGCAAACTACGCCTTAGCTTATGTGTACTTCGATTATAGAGAGCAGGAGCAACAGGGACCATATCAAGTTCTCGCTAGCTTAGTAAAGCAACTCCTCTTCCAACTAATTCCTCTACCTCTGCCTGTCGAAGAGCTCTACAAACGCTTGGAACCACATGGAAAGAGACCTTCTTTAGATGAGCTTTACTCCATTCTTGAGATCTCTTTCACAGAATTTGATCAAGTATTTCTCATCTTCGACGCCTTGGATGAATGCGATCAAAGAAGACAAAGAAAAACCCTTTTACCGCTGTTCCATCGACTTGCACGGAGTGGAACTCATATATTCATTACTAGTCGGCAACATCCGGAGGACATACGAGATTCTATGAGCGCATCAGCAAGTATCGAGCTATCGCCAAGCATAGAGGATATGAGACGCTTCATTGAGCAAAGAATCGAGGAGAACGTTCGTGCGAGACGCCTAGTGAAACAGGGGAATTGTAGGGAGAGGATTGTTAATGAACTCATAAATTGTGCGCAGGGCATGTAAGTTAAAGTCATCATTTTGATCTTTGATCCAAACACCTTCCTTTCACTGCCTCGATCTAGATACTAGTCAGAAGTGACACTGAATGTTGAACTCGGCGATGAGTCGGCGTTCCATATATCTAATTGGGGCCAGTTAAAGACAATATCTCCCCATCCATCTGTTAGAGAAATACAAACATTTTTGTTCCGGGGCTAAACTGTATAGGTTCCTGTTGGTTCATTTCCATGTAGAATTCATCTGCGAGATGACTACTGTTCGATTCATGCTTCGAGCGCTAGAAAGCCTCAGAAACTCTTCAAACGAGGAGAGGCCTCTGGATCCTACTTATGATAGAGCCATGCAGAACGTCAAAAAGCAAGCCAAAGGCTCGGCCAAGATTGCAATAAAAATTCTTTCTTGGCTGGTGAAAGCTCAAAGGACGCTATCGGTTGACGAACTTCGAGAAGCGATCGCCGTTGAAGACAAACGCTATGCACTCGATGAGTGGGATTGGACAGATAAAGCAACGATGCTTGACCTTTGTGCAGGTCTGGTTACGATTGACGAGAAAAGCAACGTAATAAGATTTGTACACTACACGGTCCAGGAATACTTGATCGGAATCTCTCTTGTCGGAGAGCACGAGAAGCTTGAGATTGCTATGGCCTGTGCCACCTACTTGTCGTTCGACATCTTTTCAGAACCTGAGAAGGGATTATATCGCATATTCAATCGGGTTTCCCAATATCCCTTCCTTGCTTACGCCGGAAGATACCTGCCATTCCACATCAGTGAATGTCAGGAAGAGTTAACGGCGGATCTACTTCTCAAACTCTTCGAAAATCCAGGTCACATAGCCTCTTATATCCAGGCCTATGATTATAATGGAGGGGCGAGTCTAGGATCTGGGAATCCATACCCTGTACAAAAGCCGTTGCATGTAGCATGTTGGATGGGACATAAAGCGGTAGTAAAGGCTATACTTGGTATGGGGGCAGATATTGAGGCAGAGGACTGCAAGGGGGAGAGGCCGCTATATATTGCCGCTGCTAATGGACACACCGAAATTGTTAAACTTCTCCTGGAAAATGGTGCGGATATCAATGTGGCAACGCGTGATGGAGATAGACCGTTACCTATCGCCACTTTCAACGGAAACAAGGAGCTAGTGGATCTGCTTCTTGAAAACGGTGCAGAAATTTCGGAGCCAGGTAAAAAGGGATATACAGCTCTACACGTCGCAACGACGGCTAGAAATGACGAAATGATTAGATATTTTCTCGATCATGGTGCGAGTCTTACAGCACAGACTGAGCTTGGGATGACACCATTACATACAGCTGTGGGGATGGGATATCTGGATGCTGTAGAGCTTTTCCTTGACCGCGGTGCGGATATCACCTTGAGAAGTAAATATGGAGGGGGCACTCCACTCCACTGGGCAGTAGGAAGCAGCGGAAACGTGGCCACGGTCGAACTTTTACTGTCTCGGGGTGCGGATATAAATGCCAGTTTTGATGGGGGTGACACACCTCTGCACCACGCTGTAATGGGAAAACAACATGCTATCATCAATTATCTGCTCGACAAAGGCGCAGAAATCGAAGCAATCGGTGAATTCGGATACTCTCCATTACATCTTTGTGTAAGTAAGGGAGAACCAGACGTCTGTCAATTACTCCTGGATAGAGGCGCCGATATCTCATCCATAATTCCCGAAATTCCGGATGTCAGACATTCAACTTCAGTTCTGCACACTGCTATCTGGAGAGAAACTGAGGTTGGAATAAAAATAGTGCAGCTTCTCCTCAAAAATGGTGCCAATGAGTCACTACGAATTGAATACGAAGATGCAGTTCTAGACGAAGGACTTTCGCAAAACCTGAATTCGATGAGGAAGTTCTGGGCCGTATTGCGTGATGCATATCCCCTCCCTGGGCTGTGGCCATATGAGCTAGAAATAGTGAAGAAAAATGAAGAAAACAAAGAAAGGCAACGGAGAGAGTATTATGAAAGAGAGAAAGAAAGGAGAAGGCGGGAGGAGCAAGACGAGACTGACGATGAGAGTGAGGACGAGAGTGAGGACGAGACTGAAGATGAAAGTGAGGATGAGGATGAGGATGTCAAAAATGATGAAAGTGATGAAAGTAAATGTGAACTTGTGAACGCATAATTCTAGACAATATGGAAGATGGATTTATTCAAGAGAGGAAGTAGGGATTAAATGGATGGGAAGAAGCCCCCACCATATTAGACAGTCCAAGATATGCTGATTACAGTATAAACATCATTAGATGGTTATATCCTAAAATATATTAGACCACTTTTAACGTGTATACATCTTCAATGTACATGTATCTTATACTCGCGACAGATGTTTAGAAACCAGGCATATAACCCACTCATAGGGACCTTCCAATAGTCTTTGATTGAAACATATCTATATGTATAAATTATATGCCTGTTCGCCTCTTGAGACATGTATTACATCTACGCACATACATGTACTCTAGTTTAAGTATCGTTTTATGGCACATAAGGTCGCCGAAGTCGTAGTCCAACGATTCAGTTTCTGTCTTTGGTCGCAATAACAGTGAACTTGCAGATGCAATCAGGACACACACAAGTACATAATACATATAACCTTTTTTCTGGTGTGAGTACATATATGCAGGTTTCCGTGTATTGAGCCAACGAAGAAGTATCATTTAACACCCTTCTTTCATATATAACCATTACATGTACTTTGCTTTAATCATATATGGACTTCCTCGCCAGAACTAACGGTAAATGTACTTAAATGTAAGCATAAATGCACGCAGTGCGCAGATTTAGAACAAGTAAAGGCATGCAGGCCTACAATGAGTCTCCTCAAACAACATGTGCAAGTATATCCTATATTTCCTTGATATATCCCACCTCAACCAATTGATCTATTGGAACATTGAACTCCTGCTGTTTTGTTCTTGTGTTCTCCCTCACCCAGATAAAGGTGCTTAATGCAAACTTTCTTGGAAGAATGCTCTTTGAATCTAATCTCAACTGCTCTTTCCCCAGTATGTAGATCACTTGCTTCTCGTAAGCTGCATCAAGTGCATCTCGCTCCCGGCGCGCTCTGGCATTCACTTTTGCATGGTCGTTGCTGATACGATGTTCAGGTCCGGTTTTATTGATCTCCTCGTCCAAGAATTCCTTTAATTTGTCATAAAGAACAACGCCAAAGTCCTCCGTGAAAATGCGATCGTTATAGCCATGACGCACAATAATTCGGAATGTGTTAGAGGAACATACACGTTGAACTATGTAACGTTCGTCTTCATGAACCTTCGTTCAGACAATTAGTCCCAAAAAATAGGAATGGACTGTAAGGATTAACTTACCGTGGGTTGAATGAGTTGACGGAGATGAAAGAATACGATAACGTCGTGCTGGGCTTCAAACTTTCGCACAAAATGTGTATATACCGCCGGGGCATGGTATCCGATTTTGTCAAAGAAAATACCAACCCCCTTGATTTTCCCCATCTCTTTCTGCCCTTCTGATCTCTGCAGCATTAGCTTTCCGTTTTCGTTGCAGATAACCAGCGAGGAAGGGGAAATATTGTCGTCCACTTCGGATTTCCATTGCTGTTTTTTTCCAAAACGCCAGAGGAATAAGACGCATGAAAGTAGCAAGGCAAGCAAAAGAGTAAACCATGCCCCTTGGGGCACTTTTGTGAGGGCAGCGGATAGAAATGCTCCGTCCATAGCCCCGAATAAGACAAAACCGACCAGAACAAGAATGAAGTGAAGTTGCCACACAACAAGAGCAACGATTGATATCATGCAAGTTGTGATAAAAGTAACCATAATTACGCAAACACCATACGCATTGCCCAAACTCGTGGTCTAGTAAATCTATCAGTGATTGAACATTGCCAATTGTGCGGAGATAACCCCTACATTGTTATAAACAGCTGTCACAATGATAGTCCCGATCATCATTAGCCAATTCGCAAGTGGTATATAGATTTGTCCATGAAACCTGGTGCTCGTGTGTAGGACCTTTATCCTTGGGAAGTAAGATAGACTCATACATTGGGATATGAGTTGAAACGAGCCAGTTATCATTGCCTGGGACGCTACTATTGCAGCCAGGATTGATAGAATTAAACTGGGATAGTACATTCCAGGAGGCACTGTATTGAAGAATGGGTTGTTGACTGCCTCTGGTATGTTGCTGATATAGGCAGCCTGACCAGTATATGCGAGTATTAAGCATGGATATGCGAAGAAAAGCCATGACAAACGTATTGCCCTTCACGAAATAGATTAGGGTCTCGCACAAAGAACAACCCACACCCAGGGAGTACAAACTTCGCTGAAAACGCGCCTAAATCCGCAAAAAGGGCCTCTACGCCCGTGAAGGAGAGCAATATGGCACCAAGGCTTTTCCAGCCGTGTTCCCCATTCCTGTGGAAATAGTAGAAACAGTGTGCAGGATTAAAGGCTCTTAAGACCGAAGCATCAAACTTAACAATATTCTGTGAATAAAACAGTCTATCAGTGGTAATTCTCTGGATTTGTTAAGAGTTACACCACGAACGTGAATCCCGAACACCATATTAAAGAGTAGCCATAGCACGACAATTGGTGCAAAAGTAGTTCCGAGCCCTGTAACCCCCATTGGTTGGATGGCATAAAGTACAAATAAAATAGCACAGGAGATGCCAACTATCGTATTTGTTTCGATATCCGGTACCTTGACCTTGAGGCCCTGAATGGCTCCGAGAACAGATTGTGCAGGAGTGAGGATACCATCTGCGATTACTAAACAGACACCAAATACCGCCAGGAACTTGACAAAGGTTCGGAGGAAGAAGTTCTTTTCTAAAAACGAGCGAAACATCGAGTTCGGTCTTTTCATCTCACGAGTGAGCTGTCGTTCCAGTTTCACCATCAATGGCTCACGGGGATTACGTTGCATGATATTGCACTGGTAAAGTACCCTTGCTTAGCCTAAACTCAATTTATATTTTGGAATATATATATATATATATATATATTGGAGCTTGAATCATACGTATCGAGTGAGCAGAGAGTATAGTGCAAATGTCCCTCCTTCGCCGTCATCATCGGCGAAAAGAACGATGGTGACATATTTTAGGGTGACGACGAGGGTAAGAGCCCAGATGATAAGTGACAAGGCCCCTATAAGGTCTTCATTCGATGGCGGCGAAGTAAATGTTGATGAGAAGACATAAAGCGGGCTAGTTCCGATATCTCCATATATAACGCCGATGGATTGATAGGTAAGCCTGTTGATGTCTTTTTAGTGACTTCAATCATGATCCCAGAGAGGGGCTTGAGTATTTACCATGCTAACATAGATCCGCTAAATTCCTATTTTGTGCATTTATTTAGCATGTGGGAGACTAGCCGCTGTGGAATTTCTTAGTCTCAAAAGAAATACTGACCTGCTTTATCTTAAAATCTTTGTACCGAATATGTGCCTCAGCATCATCGAACAAAACGTTGCTATGACTAGACTCGTCGCCATTCACTGCAGAGCTATTGATATTATTGATTCCTTTTAAGTTTTCTTTCTCGGTTTGGTTACTTGGATTCTTTGAAGGTTGGATATCTTCCATCTCTCAGGTTTGATATTGAAAATGATATATTAAGAGTATTATGGAAGGTTCGAGAGGTTTGGTGGGCTAGAAAGACCAAGGGGGCGGAGCACTAGTTTTTAAGTGTACTAAAATGTCTGCCAGTCTCTTGAAATACGCTGGGTGGTATACGTACTAACAATATTAATACGTACGTTAATTAAAAAGTCGCAATTTTTGGTTGCAACGATATCCGACGACATCTTAACGCGCGAGTAATCTACGATCCATATGCATGTAGAGGCATCAAAGACATCGTATCTTGTCGATTTATAATTTATAAATTTAATCTCTCGCCGGCAGTCAATAGATTTATTATCATGGGATTTCTATATATATAGTACTAGGACAGAAGTTTTGGTAATATACCCTTTTTACAGCCAAAGTAGCCATGTTTAGCTACCCGAAGCAACCCAACCTCATCCAAAAAATTTCAAAGTTTCAAGGACAGTTGGGAATTATCTCAAGACGGAGCACAGAGAATTCTAGAATTTTAAGTCCATTCTTCAGGTGTGTGCGATCTAATTTTTAAAGTCATGATTTGAGTATTTCTGATTTTGTATGGTGTTCCCATATAAATTTTGTTGCAACGGCAACCAAAATTTGCCAAAACTTCTGTACCCCGACTGTACATATATTCGCGCTGGCACAAGCATTCCCACGCTAAAATACTTAGGAATTGCGAAGATGGGTCTCCGAAAGGTTAACTACATGTACATACGTACACGTACCACATGTATCCAATTACGCGCAGCTACCTCAAAACGATATGTTGCATGGCCATGGCCACTGTGCATCAGCAAGGAGCATTTAAAGTTCGATATTCACGATAAGGTCTTGCATCACAGTACACTATTATAGGCAATCTTTCAGTCGATAACGCGCCTCGACATATTAAATTCCTATGATGTATGAGGGTCTTTCGGTCCCCTTTGTCGTCTGATAGATCGACAAGAATTCACAGACCGCTTGGTACCAGTAATGTTTAACGTACCCAACAATTAATTCCCGAAGCGGCCCAGGGTCGTCATTTAGATGACAAATGTAGGTACATTTATACATACAACTCAAAACATAGGCAGCGTCTGTAGCGTCTTGGATTTCCCAATCATACCACCTATAGGCCCTGGAATATGATGTGGTAATATATCGGGATAGAAGAGAGCAACGTAAGTTATAATTACGTCTTCAATCAGCCGTAGATAACGTATTCATACGTCATCTTAATAAGTAATCATCAGTCGATATCGTGCACGTGGAGTTCTTCATGAAGCTGGATCAAATTCATGTAATGTGCGTGGAGTCATGACGAATGCTTGAACCGGATTCACGGCAAGTTCCAAATTTAATGAAAAACATCTGCTAGACTACTACATGTAGCCTTCTAAGATAAGTTCTCGGCTGATCTCTAGCCTCTTAGATGTTTCTTGTAACTGTATAACGTTGTGCATGCAGATATACCGACATGAAACCTGAGGTAATAGGAGCTAAAATTGAGTACAAACTTCATTAACAATTGTACAACTACAACAATTTTTCCAGCTAAGGGAACATTAATAAGCTTAGCTATATTATCTACGCTTCCAACAAGCGGCAGTTTACCACGTGATGATTGCATGTCCGGATTGTAACATCAGATGCTTACACCTACATAGGCTACGTCGATGCTGTGCTCATTAAAGTAAATTCAAATCTATTAAGCCGCTATGAGCTGTGCAATGTTGACATGGAAAACCTCCAGTCCAGAGTGTTAACGCAGCTGTGGCTGTGTAAAGGTTTCAAATTTCATGGTTAATGTTTCACTAAATTTCGGTGTGACTTTAGTAGTGAATGTAATACGTAAAGATTTATGTTTATGTGGTAACTACCTTCTTGGGATACTCTTTAAAACAGGATACGTCGAGTCATGTGTTGGCAAAGGTGGACAAAAGCCCGTACTTAGAATGAGTGCTACAACTTCAGTTCATCTAATTATGTATCACCAATGCACTCATGATCATTGCATAGAAGTAACTATCGAGATCCAGACGAAAACTATCACATACACGTTAGAGCCTTTGTACAAGCTGATCTCAAAGTGTTTGATTGGGCAGTTAGGGTACCCATGATTAACTTCAGCTAATTATATAAGTGAATACATATCGGTGATTGCAAGTCTCCATGCATGCGGACATTTGTATATTCCAGTATATATAATTGTGGATCCGGGGTGGGGTGGGGTGGGGGGGGGGTGTGAAATATGAACAATGGTGTCCCCTATCTGAACCGGTAATTAAGCTCTCTATAATGATACAAACATTCGGCCCGGAGAGTATCTTATAGCTAAATCATGTAGTCTTATCACTCTTTGGAAATTCCCGTGCCGGAATGCTCACGGACTCGAGAGAGAAATGGCTATTTATAGCCTATGAGCAATGACCCTTGTTTAATAGATTTTGTAGGGCTAGGATCCACCGTGGAGGACCAAGGATTATAGTAAGCAGTGTAGATGAAACCCGAAAGGAAGGAGCATGTTTGTTTCGGTGTGGCTTCTCTCCGAAGCTATTATCTATTATGTATCTATTATGTACTGGATTAAAACTATAAGATAATTAATTTAATGATATGATATGACTGGGAGAACTGGCCATGGGAGGAGGAGGTGAAAGAGGTGGGAGAGGTGGAGGAGGTGGAGGGGGAGGTGGGAGGCGGTGGAGGTGGTAGAAGGCGGAGGGGGCGGAGGGGGCGGAGGGGCGGAGGGGGTGGAAGGGGGTGGAAGGGGGGTAGGGGTGGAAGAAGTTCCCTCCATCAAATGCTTTTAATATTCATATTTATTTAATACTCATAATCCAACGTTAACAGCTCGCGGTCGTGAGTTGGCACACCCCTAGTACCATGTAATGAATATAACGGACATACGATTGTCTATAGGGTCTTATACCTCATGACTCCAATACTTTCCACGTATTCCCCAAGTATCAGCGCGCCCTGTCACTGCCCCAACTCTAATAGAGCTTAGTTTTGATGGAAAAAGTGCTCGGGTGAAGCTTAAAGCTTAAAGCTTAAACCCTAAACCTTAAAGTACTTCACCTAACCCTGTCTACTTACGGCTGCGTGTGGCTAGATCGGTGGCTACGAGACATGCCCTATGCCTTGTTGGGCGATAACTGTAACCAGATCAATCAAGAGAGAGCCGGATTGGCCAGTTAGGATAGAAGGATCATGAGTCAAGCATACATGCATTAGTAGCAGCGAACTTCGATGATAAAACCTGCCATAAATCCGGGCCCTTTAAAAGTTAGTTCATAATTACATGTGTACCTACATAGTACTCTAATCTTTTTTATATTTTGTGTTTCTATCCAGGTTTGTCCAGGCTAGGACCCGCGCCTGGACTCCCAGAATTAAGTACATGTACATGTATGAACCATCTAGACTTCGACTTCTATTGGTACGCGTCGGCCGCGGGAGGATCTCACACTCGTTAGATATAGAAATTTTAATGTATGTAGAATAGATATACCTGCATATTGCATTTAGAGTATAGATCTAGAGTAGAGTACATCACACGGGATGATCACGGTTTTATTAATCATGATTTGTCACTCGCATTTCCCCTTAGTCCCTTTCTGGGCTTGATTGTAGGTACGCATATGTATACTGGTTGCCAGCAGGCTGGCTCGGCCCCGAATGATCCTACTCTTCCTTGGATATATACATAACATAAACAGTGGACCTAATGTAGGTTATTGAAGAAGTTCGCTCGATCTCTAGTTTCCAGGGTATTTACTATATGCATATATTATGCGTATATGTACATGTAGTCATCTTTGGTCCATAATGTGGGAATGTAACTTCAGGCTGAGTGCCAGATATATGCCAAGGACTGACTACCAGCGACTATGTCTACAGTACCGTATATACCGGACAAAGCTCCAAGGCTCGCAAAATGAATTTGGTTCGCTGAATAATTGCCAGCTAAACTTATATAGGCAACTTTGTACCATTCAACTCGCGACCCCCTCTGTCTCCGACATTCGGGGCAACAAGTACATGCAGTGATTGAAAATGACACTTTCCATTACTGAAATAGCTTTGGCATGTAGTGGATGTTTACATAAAATACATGTAATATTGCCAGCCATCTTAATTTGAAAGGGCGCTAGTCTAGGTAGATTAAGAAGTATAACCTGGCGTAGTAGTGAAGAGTGGAAACAAGATCGCAAAATTAAAGTATGTATGTTCGAGAAGAAACCGTTCCGTCTCTAAAACCCAGTCGCTTGTGCGATATTGGTCAGCCAGCGAAATCTCGGTCCTAGTATATTTGGACGGTGGATCTACTATGTACTAGAATACACTTTTTCTTAATTCGTTGCGGTCTGATTGGTCGACACCGACATGGGTGTTTAGTAAGCATGACACATCAAAGTACTGAACACTCGAGAGGAGGAGGACGGGGGCCGAAGGCCTCTCATAATTCTAGAGGGAGAATTAAACAGAGGAGGTGGAATGGGGGGGCCGAAGGCCCCCATCGAAGGCCTTCCATAATTATTTGATACCCATAATCCAATAACTCGCGGTCGCGAGTTGGCACACCCCTAGTATCTAGGTACGTACATAGGTATTCGAGCTTTGGCGGTACTCTGGCCGTAGGCTTTCTTGGAAATGATCAACAAAACGAGTTTCATACAGTTAACTTGATTTCGGTGACGCGAATAGTTACTCGTGCGTCTTCGCCAAGGATTTTAACGTGACTGAGAGATCAAGGCATTTGGCCAATTGGAATACCAAAATCCCTTTCTTCACCGAATCAGGTGAAAATTCTTGGCGAAGACGCGCGAGTACTTCGGTATCAGGGATAAGTGAGAAGACACCACGATGCCAAGGGTGTCTTCTCACTTACCCCTACCCCCGAAGTACATACGGTACTGTACTGATCGGGCTCTACACTTAATAGGGATCACTTTGCAGCTTCTCATCCAAGGGCTTCGACCGAATTCCGTGCAAGTTATCGTTGTAATGATGTAATGTTACAAAAAGGTAAGGTGCAACCGACATGAAAGTAATGCTGACAGAGTAGAGTACTACTGCTATTTGAGGAAGAAAATGCACACACGCAGGGTTTAGCGGTGTTAATCCTTGCTTGATAAAGAGGGGAAGTGAAGAAGGAGGGGATGCATAGCAACCAAAAGGTACGATACAGTAAGACACGGTATTGATAACACGGGGGCAAACAAAATCATAGCTTCACTTCTTGAAACCTCATACATACCCACCACACGACAAACAAAACATTTTTTTACCATACCTGTTGAGTATTCTGTCAAGCGCAGACATGGCGACTCACACCACGGCCCTTGTGGTCCTAACATTCTTGCTCCTGGTGATGTTCGCTTCCCCGGCGACAGCTTTCGGCGCGGGGAACATCGCATCTATTGCCAAGATTGAAGGTCATAATTGGCGTCACGGAGATATTGAGGATACCTTAAAGACATTATTGGCCCTTCATGGAGGAAAATGGACTGCAATGAATATAAGGCGCGTTTATTTCGGAAACTGGTTGCGTGATTATTCGCAGGCACTGGATGTGGGCACACTAAAAAGCGTCAACAAAGATACCATAAGGGTTCTTGTTTGGGTTTTAAGTTTTTTGAGCTTTGGATATGCTACTGGAGAATTCGAAGTGACAGAGGAGAGGCTAGGTGTTTATAGGCCTGAGGAGCATATAGGTTTGCGTAACCTTTCCTTGAGCTGAATAGCTTTGACCCTGACTTGTTATAGATAACCCTAAGGACTATGCCGATAACCTCGATGCACGGGTTTACGATCCACGTCTTCGTCATCCAGTTCAAAATATCGAACTAGATATCGACCCGATGACCTATATGAAGAATTATATAGCCAACGAAGCCGGCGGATGGGCCACCTCATCCGGCTACGTTAAGCATTCGTTGCTTCGATCAATCCATTACGGTCGTCTGTATACCTCCGGCGGGGCTGGTGTTGCAGGCAACGAGGCAGATCTTTGCGAAGCTCTACGATGTCTTGGACAAGCCTTACATTGTCTCGAAGATTTCTCTGCGCACAGCAACTATGTCGAGTTGGCACTGAGGGAGCTTGGATTTTTGGCTGTATTCCCGCACACCGGCACAAACACGGGGCGTCCCCTTGGAAAGAACTTTGTGTTCCCTCTCGTTACTGGAACCTTTGGCGCAGTTGATTTCTTACATTCGGTTCTTGGGGAGGCCCAAGACAAATTTTCTCAAACGGAGGTTGACGAACTCAACGTTGCTCTTGGGGAGGCGCACGAACAACAGAAGAAGTCCAAGAAGACTGGACAAAAATCAGTGCTCCAAGACCTTCTCGGTCAACTTCCAAATATGAGTGCGTTTTCTAGCGACGCTGATAGACTTGAGGCCGACTCCAACGCAAAGGAAATGGCAAATATGCATATATCACCACAGGGAACACGGGGCCCTGGTCCAGCTGGCCCGGGTTCATTCGACCCTGTAAAAACTGCTAGGGATATCTATCCTATTCTTGAATTCCGTGACAAGGTCATGCGTGCGATCGAATCCACTATTGAAAAGATCCCAGGTCTTTCTGCTCTTGTTGAGAAGATTTCTGACACCCTTGCCCTCTTCGTTCTCGGTCTCCTTGCCCCATATGTCCAGCCCATCATCGCACAGGTTTCGATGGAGCTGAAGACGGGCTCGTCAATGGTTGTTGACTCTTCTGCTGCGCACCAATTTGAGCCATGGGATGACCCGGATTGCACGAACCCCACTCATTCGCTTCTCTCGAAAGACCATTTCTCCAATAAACTTAACACTCCTGCCGGTGAAATTGCTGCTGCTATTGTTAGTTATGTCGTTCCACGAGTTGTCCACGCATGGGAAAGACCTGAAGCACCCTTGGAAATCATCATCCCACAAATCATTAGCATCTTTCATCATCCTGCTCTACGACAGGTTGGCCAAGATTTCGAAATCCAGGGGATCATGTTCTCTACAGTACAGAGATGGGTTGATCGACTTCCTGACCGTGGTGCCAGCCTCAGCGATTCCCTTTCATCCGATGGTGTCCGACAAGGCAGGAATCATGAAGGTGGTGTGTTCGCGGGAGGCCACGGCGGTGGCCATGGGAAAACCAAATGTGGGGAATGGGAGAAGACGAAGAAGGGGAAAAAAGATGGGAAAGGGAAAAAGAACGATCCTTTCGCAAACATTCCGGGTGTATCTAGTACCTCTGGTGGTGGAGTGAGTGTTGGTGGTATAAAGCTACCGGGAGCAATAGGTGGGGCGTTAGGGGGGTTCTTGGATGCTGCTAACCAAGGCTACAACGATGCAAACCAGAAGAAATCAAAGGATGGAAAATCAAAAGAGAAGGACAAAGATGAGAAAAAGAAGAAGGATAAATACGATGATCAGTATGAAAACACGTGACTCTATCTTTTTATTTTCCGTCTGGGAAACGTTTGAGGTTTATCGATTGCTAACGACACTGCGTGGGAAAGTGGTGAGAAAAAGGATAAGAAGGACAAGAAAGACAAGGACAAGGATAAGTATAGAGAAAAGGACCACAAGGACAAAGATAAAAAGTACTTATCACCTCCCCTTGCATCGTCATCATACCCTTAATCTCTTTACGTTCCTCCTTGCCATCTCCCTTTAGTGTACATTTCTAACTAATTAGCGATTCCAGGGATAAAAAAGATAAGAAGGACAAAAAGCACAGAGACGACGACTCAGGCGATGAACGACGCCGACATGATCAACACAGCGGGTATAGGTATTGAGGGATCCCGTTCGGGTATCTTAGGCAGCACCTTTTTTATTATTAAATACACTCATCAGAAGTTGTATGCGGTATAAGTTATGTAGTTAAGTTTATTTGCTGTTTATCAAGCCTTTCAATTATGACCTATAGCCGCATTGAAGTCGACCAATTGTTTTTCAAACTCATTTCGACTGATATTGCAGTATTTGACAGAATTGAAGATAGGAAAATATGCGTGAGTTCTCAATTTCCCTTGACGCTTGCATATGTGCCTTGGTTCCCATCTTGTCAACAATATTGTGAAGCAAAGATCGATCTGATACCGACCGGTAGCTCACACCACCCCTTTTGGACCCGTTACATGACCGAATTAGAACTCCTCTTTATTACTTCTTTGTATTTGACATGGTAGTTAAAGACTTTGAGAACTTTATACGCCCCATAAATACAATCAATTGATTAACAAGCTGGTCATATGTATATGCAGATATATTTGGAGCAGAAGTGCATGCAGTTACATGTACTACTACTTATGTATACTCTAAAAATTGATTTGATTGGGATATGATAATGATTGCAAGCATACAAACTCAATCACACGTACACACCCACTATATAGTTCATTCATTGACCCATCCTGAAGGCCTACCGGAAATCTCAAAGAATTGAACTGGGCTGAAAGGCTGTTCTATCACTGGACAAAACAATTTGAGCTTACGTACAGGCCAGTACGTCATAATTGGAGCCCAATGCGCAAATCTAAAGGCGAATGTCTATAGTATCCCTTAGGCGGTCAGTCCAAATCGAAGTCTCTAGTGGAGCAGGTGGAGCTTTCTAGCGTGTAAGAAACTCGAGGATAGGATAAACAGGAACTGTGTTTATCAGAGCATGGCTAGCTACCAGGCTCGATTTTTATTTGGACTGATCGCCTAAGGTATATTAGGATCCTTATGTAAGCATTATGCCAAGTTAGAGCATGCGCGACGCAGCAGCGCGAGAGCCTCATTTCAGGGATTCACCCAGACGAGCTTGGCCCCCTCATCCAATTGAAGATCAACACCATGTATCAATAGGCATGTCTGTAGGTACTTATCCCCTCCGAACTCCCTCTATTATTCCGGGTACATACGAGTTACCCTAATCCTCCATGGCACCCCGGGCAGAGTTCCTCACGCTCCGAAATGTCTCGTCCACGCCGCTAACGGTCACATCTTTCGCGACGTTCCCACTCGCATCCAAGCAGAAAGGGCCTGCCCCAATAACGATCAAGAATCTCCATAATATTGGGAACTTGACACAGCATCTTTCAAGTGCTTTGAGGACAAGCGGTGTCGCACCTGCTTCAGGCCCTACAAGCATTGTTATTGCAGAGAACGCAAAGGCATTCACAGAGAGTGCTGCGAAGCTTGTTGTTCTGCCGTTTGCGACTGTCAAAACTGACATCAGAGTTACGCATGGAGCTGGAGACGTTGTGAGGCTTGTTTTCGAAGTTCTTGATAGTGGCGGGAAGTTCAGAATAGACCTAGACAGCAGCTCGAGCCCATCTGTGATCTGTCTAACCCCTTCCTCCCCCCACCGCTTCCACAGTGTTTTCCATAGTTCCCACGCGCATGTAGCCCTCCTGTCCACTGCTCCCCTGCATAAATGGCAGACACAGCTCCATGACAGTGTCTCTCTCTGCTCTCTTTCAATCCCCGGAACCCATAATTCCCCAACCTGCTACCGTGCACTACCCTCTGTCCGCTGCCAGGCTGTCAGTATCCGCACACAGCTTGAGCACGGAATCCGCTTCTTCGACATTCGCTGTCAAGTCGAAAGTTCTGGAGAGCTTACTCTTGTTCATGCTGCGTTCCCTATATCGTTGTCACTACCCGCAAAAAAGTTGAGCACGCTTCTGGAAAGGACATACCAATTCCTGGATGAGCATCCGGGGGAGACAGTGATTATATCACTCAAGCGCGAGGGATGGGGTGGTGCGACTGATGAAGTGTTTGCGCGCCATCTCAGGGAGCAGTATATCGAGCCCCAGGCGCACCGGTGGTGGTTGGACCATACTCGAGTCCCGACTCTCGGAGAAGCGCGTGGGAAGTGCATCCTATTCCGACGGTTCTTATCTGCCACGTGGGAAGCAGGCATTAACGCAGAGGACTGGGAATACAATTCCTACGATACTTCGACACCGGGCGGGATGTGCAGGGTTCAGGACTTCTGTGAGGTTTTGGATACCCCGACCATCGAGAAGAAGATTAGATACATTAGGGAGCACCTTGACCGTGCCGCAGTGCCGACAAATGTGAATCAGCTGTTTTTAAACTTCTTGTCAGGATGTAACTTCTGGAAGGTGGGGTGTTGGCCGGAGAATGTGGCGAGAAAGGTCAATATCGAGGTGAAGCGCCATCTAGCAATAGATCATGGCGGGGGTGGGACTTGTGGTGTTGTGATATGTGACTTTGTGGGCGAGAGAGGCGAATGGGATCTAGTGAGGTTAGTGGTAGCCATGAACGGGTGGATTAAGACGAAGGATGAGGATAGTGAAAATGAGGTTTTAGCACTAGAGACATAAACTTGAAGGTTGGGTAGTCAGCTCTTCTATACACATTTCATTCTTTTTACCCCATGCCCAGTATGGACTTATTTATGCACGTGGCGTTTCTTTCTTCCTTACAATGTTGTTTATCACAATAATACATGTCCACAACCCTCGGCCACACACACAACACGTTTGTGCAAATGAAGGTTATACTAAAAGCCCATTGCTAAACGTCTACTGGCATTCACGTAGCCCAACTCACCCCAAATCCTCGAAGTCTTTAGTAAGCAAGAATGAGGACTTCCGGAAGAAATGGAGAAATATCACCAGTAAAACCTAGGGGTCATAGTGATCTCCGGGGTGGAGATATCAGCGGTTTCGCGCGTGAGTTAGTAGTGCCACTTCCCATTGCGGCGAGCCTTGGATCCATGGAATGACGAACGGTACATATATCGGCCGCCTGTGCTTGGGGCTCATGTGCAAGGTCTATCTGAGATCAGTGACTAACATACATCTTGTGATCACTATTACATCAAGAACTCAGTACATGACTTCTAAAGCCTTTTGTTTCGACCAAATTTGGCATCTAGGCCAGGTATATATAACTCTGTAGATCTGCTGGTCATGATCTGGGACGTTGAATTAATGGAATTGAAGTAGGACAGCCAATGCCTTCTTTAAAAGAGGAATGATACAGGCGTATTGAAACTCAGATCGGGGCATCATTAGTGGTCTTCGCACATAGAGTAAGCATAATGTTTTTTTTTTTTTTAATTCTTAATATACACATTGCCATTATCAGCGCATTGCATCACACTTTTATCGAGGGCATGCTAACTATAAGATCTATTCACTTAGTACCTCAATTGATCAAATAGTCTTCCAAAACCCAGGTACTCTGCTTGACCAACCTCATGGTCATGATATCATTGTCATTGAAAAATACCACATCACATTGTATGTTAATCAAATCCATATTGAGACGTGTACCTGCAGCTCTATAATCTAGATAGCCTTAATTACTCATTGCTAATGATTCTTCTAGTCAAACCTGACCTTGTATACCTCCGCTCCCTTAATACCAGGAAGGGGGACATAGAAAACATCGCCTGCATCCGGGCTATGGCCCTTTCCAACTTCCGGATCCATATGTACCAGTTTTCCCGTCGTTATGACCAAACCTTCACCTACAAAAGCTGGGCAAGCAACCTGTTTGCTTGTAGGGACCTCGATAATTCCCTTCACATCCTTAGTTTTCGAGTCAAATCTAATCACTTTGTTACCGTTGAAGACAGCGACCCATAAATCACCATCCTCAGATATGGCAATTCCATCTGGCGCTCCTGGGCCATGAACCTCAGGGTCGAATTTGATGAATTCTATCTCGTTGGTGGCTGATCCAGTTTCTGGGTCATAATCGTATGAAAAGATGGTTTGGAGCCGGGTTTCCACAAAATACATAATTGAGTTGTCGGGCGAAAATGCGAATCCGTTTGGTCCAGCAACTGGATGCTTTACTGTACGTAGGGACTTCTTTGTATCAGAACAGAAAACGGCTCCTTCGTTTTGAGGAACCCCAAGCCCGAAACTGTTCTTGGTTAGCTACTCAATTGGAAGATCTTTGATTCTAAGTCTACGAACCTCCTCATAGCGGCTGCCCAGTAACGTCCCTTGACATCAACAGCCCCATCATTAATTCGCATCAAATCTTGTTTCGCCTGGTCATCAGGATACAATATGTTGTAATATTCCAATTTGCCGGTTCCAGTGTTCAGTTTTCCAAATCCTCTCTTTGCGCCAACTGCAAGGTGCTCCTTGTCCTAAGAACCAGGAAAGCTTAATTAAGAAAAAGCCAGTCACAGTATAATACAGGGCGCACTTACTCCTTCGATTAACGCAAGACATCCAACATACTCGCCAACCTCAATCCTTTTCAAACTTTCTTGCCCGACTTTGATATCGAAGCTGTAAACAACACCCCTAGGGATGTCGGTGAACCAAGTGAGGCCGTTCTCTTCATCGTGCACTGGAGCTTCAGTGAGCCAAAAGTCGTCCCGGTGAAGAATAGGCTTGCCAGCCGTAGCAATAACCGTGAATGAGGGAGCCATATTTTGTTGTGGATACACGATTGACTTCAAGAATGGAAACACCAAAAATACACCAAAGATATATATGATAAAGCTCACCAACTCACAACGAAGAGAAATCATGAGGTTTCTCAGCGAAATTATAACTCGGAATGCCGAGACAATTAATATGCACGCGTGCCATTCCGAGCGGGTCGTAATAGACCGAGGCGAAGGCGGGGCCAGCTTCAACAAATTCAGGCTAAATTCGCAGACTTCAAAGAGCTGATATAAAATCTAGACAACCGGCCGAACATACGCCCGTAAGACTCAAAACTATTTATCGACATCAGCCAAGGTTTTGACCGCCAGAATTCATACCGAGTGAATCTTGCAAGAGAACTGGTCCCACATATGCATAAAACATGAGTTTGAGCGCTAACCAAAATATCCCCTTCATATGAGTAGTATGCGGATTTAAGCGCCTTATATTCAGTTCAGGATCAGTAAAATTATTTTCGTGATTCGCGTCATGATATATCACCCATGCGTTACCTGCGCCTAACGAGGTGCCGCGGCCGCTGCCGCGAGATATGTATACCTGGCTCATACATGCGTTATTGGTATAGTTGAATCCCGATAGTGGCATATAATTTAGAAAATACCAATATGTTTGTATCGAACTTTAAATTTGACCATATTCGTCTGTTCGGCCCAGCCTAGTTGGGGTCGAGCCATGAAAGCTTTTGTGATGTAGGTTGCTTGAGCGAAGTATAGCAACTCATGAAAAGTGGTTTAAAGCAATCTATTATGGTATACTACAGCTTTGCTATAGCCCCGGGACACAGCCTTATCTACCCACGTACCTATACGGGTGTAGGGGCAAGTCAGTTGACAGTGAGAACTGTTGCAACTACGGCCACTGTCAACAGACTTACCCCTACATGTGTAGTACATGTAGTTTTGGGGTAGGACTCTATATAAGGTGTATGTGTATACATTTAATTAATGAATGGATTTGTAGTCAGTATCGTTCTTAAAAATCAATCCCACACAACGCGAACAAAATCTCACCACAACTAGGGGAGCTAAATATCATGTTGAGTTTACTAGACCTAGGCCAAGTAATTTTTAGCCTAATTAAATCTTACTAAAGAAACCCCGAAGATGCAATTTCAGTGAGGAAAGGTTTCTTGCTTCATTAGTACCATAAGTTGGGTTGTAGTCAAATGAGAGCGCTGGTAAATACTGTGGATATCGACACTTGGTACGTGTTTTCTCAAAACTCAAAAGTTTGGGTTTTAATATTCAGTTTATTATTGTAAGGGCTAGAATCAAGGCGCACTTTGTGTGGAGTCAGCCACACGCGCCACACACCTGTTTTATTGGATGGTCCGAATTAAACTATGAGTGTTGGCAGCTGTTAAATTTCGTTATTTAACTACGTACACAAGTATCCTTTTATCATTAACAACCTTTAACTAATTATAAGACCGGAACAACTCTCAACTCAGAACTAAGCTCTTGAAGAAATTTCACCAACTACGCCGTCATCAATATGCACGCACTCTTGATCATGAAGATTGTTTCTGGTGCTCTCGTTCTTTTCTCCAGTCCTGCACTTGCAAGTACAGAATCGAAATATGCCGAAGAAAAAGTCATCGAACATGAGTATGAACAACCTGCTATCTCCTATAACGATATCAATGTATCGGAAGAGTTCAGTGTCACAATGATGGTACGCCCAAGTTTCCCTGTTTCCTTAATGTAGTAGAGGTGATATTAGGTGCGTGGTACCTTACTAAGCTCCTCTTTATAGTTTGATGAAGTCACAACAGACGGTAATTTCCTCTGGCCAGAAGGATATGGAAATGTTGATTGGTCTCCCAATCACTACATCTTCAACGAATCCGAGCAAAAGCTCTTTCCCCGTAATCACGCCACATCACCTCCAAATCTCCTTTTCGTTCAGGATTCATCCCACACTGGTGGGGTGGAGCCATATTTCCAAGTACGACCAAACTCACCGGCACAGTCATTCGATCTTCATCAAATCTCGATTCTTCCATACACCGCTATCCCGAAGTCACCAATTCTCTTTTCGATTCGTGGTTACCCAGCAAGTGGTGGTCCACCAATCGTGAGATGGTACAAATGGACCATCGACGCTCAGCTCCAATACCCATGGGATGCACAAGTTCAGGGGGTGGACGCTATCAATAAAGTTGAAATATTCGTGGTTCCAGGAGAAGATGTCAAAAGCAAAGAAAGGCTTCCTTACACTCTAGATAATGTCAAAATTACATGGAGAACTTCTCTAGTAGTTTCTGACAGGGCTAGAAATGCACATGTGGGTGTCATTGCAGATACCGATGCCTTAAAGGACGTAGAGTTATAATCAAGGTCTGTTATCTTGTCCATATTACTATAAATGCTATAATTCCACAGATATAGTTAACATCTTCATACATAGGTCCTGATATTGATGAGCGAGAGATATTCTGATGTATTGCCTATTCCTTTTGAAATTATTTTCTATCACTAGCTAGTGGGAGTAGCTACATATTCAGCGGAATTACAATAAATGGGCGATCGAATACTGAACTAGAATCCATTGAGTTTTTCAGCTACATAAAGCGATAGCTGCAGGCCACTCCCGAACATCATTACGCTTAGCCGATCGTCGATGATATACAGTGTACAATGCGTTATATGCAAAGATTCCTCGGCGTTAATAATTTTAATCTTGTAGACAATAAATATACAGGGACCACGCTGTATCGTATTAATGGTATACCTGTACGACAGTGACACTTTGTGTGCGCAATATGTAAACCATCGCCTTGTCCAGCGCTGCGGCTCTAGGTAATGGCTGAGCTATTTGAATAGTGTATGTTTGGGAATTTGCACTAGACTGTTTACTGGTATCTACTGGTGGCCATTTAAACCCCGCAAAGAAATCTGCGCACGGAATACCTACTTGTACTTATATATATTCAATCGCCGAAATTAGGTTAATTCAGCGCATCTTAAAGAAGCAGGCTTTCACACTTAAAGAGGGTCTAGCTCTTGTAGATACCTCCCACGTACTATAGTATTCGGCGCATAAAGTAACGGCCGATCATATATATGGGTTGATATGGGTTGCTTTAATTTACGATCGAGAGGTAAATGCACCTAGTAAAAAAAGTGTACAGAGAATAAAACTATTTGTTCAACCAGCTCACGATCATAACATGTTTCAGTTGAGTTCTCAAACTTCTTACCTTTGCACTTCGTTTCGAATGTTGTTACCTATTCATTAGCTCCCATAGCCGTCTGTTCCTGTGCTAATGAAAACTCAGGATCTAGGAGCACATCCAACAATTGCAAGACGTCTGCAGTTGTTCCATTCCGATGTAATGTGCCCCGCGCGCGTCTTCCTTCAGCTTTACTCAGGTGAGGCGGCAAGGCTACGCCGCATCGCGTCGCGGTTCCCTCGGAATCTTCCACGTGCCATGCAGTTATATAGAGTACTGGCCCGCTAGCTTATAACTGCGTCTAGCATGCACATCAAGGAGTACTCATGCTTAATGGAGCGGAAACTTCCCCCGTTACTTGAATGTATTGCTATGTAAATGTTTATAAAAAGCCTTAATCTGTAAGCCCCTCAAGTAGAGTACGTCGGTTAGCTCTATTTAAATTACTGTAGGCCAGTAAAGATGTCAATGAGAGCCGACAAATGACTTGTCATTCTAGATCTGCATAGCGGCCATGGTAGGCACCAGTAGTAGTAGGCTTGGCTAATCGCATTGCAACAACGATCGTTGAGTGTTTGCTTGTTTAGTATGTTTCTCCGATAATTCACTGTTTCAAAAGGGGTGCACAGCAGCTTCTACTGCGATTGCGGTAGATAGAGTTATCTCAATTGAGCGGCAGCGGGTAGTTATTATGCGCAGGGAGAGGTGGAAATGACGATTGCATCAATATTAAAGCCATGTATCTTTAGGCAACATAGATGAGTTCAGTATTATCATAGATCTAGAGACCGTGTGGAATTTTGGTAGGAGATCCTCTCATTGATATATAAGCTAGATCAATCTGTGAGCTAGCAGATATCACACTCAGCTAGCTACGTACACCAAGCACCTGTACGTATGCACTAGCTCTTGGCACCAACACCCCCAGGGCGGGTGGCTGGCATCGCCGAGTTGTAGAAGAAGGGAACCGGATATCTTAGGCCACATACTCTAGATATCTTAATTTCAACTATACAAGGCGTTTAGCATGTTTTGGTCCTGATTATATTATAATTATCCCACCAAACACTACCATATTGTCTCTCGCACGGCTCTGTCGATTTTGGTTATTGATGATTAATCATCTAATATAATCATCTTCATAAATATCGATCTAGCTTATCGCCTTGTGGGCCGAGACATGCTCAGAATCTGGTGCTTTATATATTATACAAACCTGGCGCTTGCCTTGCCAGATAGGGGGATGGTGCAGTTAAGATTTAAACAAGAAACTCCCACAAGCAGTAAATTTTGGTCTAAAGTTGCCAAGGCTGCAGAGCACCAGATTCTGAGCATGTTTCGGCCCACCAGGCGATAGCTATAGGGTAGAGCGTAACATGGGGACGTTGTTTTCAACCCCGTGTGAGCTCTTGGCCATGGGCGATCTGTTATATAAACATCGACTTCACGGCCAAAATTATCAACGTGTGGATCCGGAATCAAAAATTTTAAAATTTTTAATTCGATCTACGTGATGTCTAGTTCCTACTTCCGAATCACAATTAGAAATTTAAAACGGGACCAAACTGCTACACACACAATCATGGATATGTGATCTCTAGATAATAAGTCAGGTCTTCACTACCTTAGCATACCCCATCATGACTATATATATAGTAACGTATAAACTTTACCATTACTAAACATGTTTTATAGCAACTATGACGATATAGATGTGTTTAAACTCAGAGACTGCCTGCATGACATTTGAATAAGGGTGCCGGTATCTTTGGGGTTTGATATTGCCTTCTCAATTCGTGGCTGGCCGCCTATCTTGTAGTACGTACGCATCACGATAGAATAAACGAGTGATAATTTATGAATATAGTTTAATCAAGACTAAGGGAAAGGGCCTAAAATGATCGACATAGTTGATATTCCAAATCGTCTACTCGACCTCACATGCACACAGAGAGCGCAATGGCATCGGGTAGCCAGTAATACGGATCGATCACAAGTCCCCTTCCTCCTCTAGAGAAAGCAAAAACTAAACCAGCCCCCTAATTCATTTCACTACAAAAAAAAAAGAACAAAAAGTACTGCAACCGGCGATTAACCCCAGTTACTACTCCCACCCCTGGCTCGAACTCCGGACCTTCCATCGTCCTGAGCATAAACACTCGGTGTCTAACCCGACGAGCAGTCTAAACCACTAGACCACTCGCCCATACTGGAAGTTGTGTTGGAACTGATATTTGGGTTTAGCAGTGTGCCAAGATGAAGCAGAACCCCTAACCCTTCAATGTCAATTCTCAGCCATCCCTTCGTTCGTGCCCGGTTTCCGCGTTGGTTAGCCGGGTTGACATTCAAAATAATAACTGCTACAGGGAGTGGATATTTTCTAGGAGTTGGAAGGTCTGTTGAAATAGAGGTCACAAACTGTGCATGTGACTAGTGTGTACTTTGAGCCTAAAACTGAGTGGGTGAATTACAACGTGAATTGCCCAAACAACTTAATTTCTATAGTACTACCTTAAAAACAAATGAAAAGATAGATGCTCAGGAAAGATGGCAGATATATGCTCGGGCTTAACGCATAACTGAAGCGAGATATTAATAAAACTTAGCGTAGATCAATATCATATCTACAATATATGATGTAGCGATCAGCTTCTGCAGCTGGCGCTTGGTTTCACAGTTAAGTGATCAAGCGGGCCAGGCTTATCGCTATAAATTATAAACCTGACCTCTGTAATTTTATTCAATCTTCTCTTACTCCGAAATATCGTACAATCCGGCCGGTGGTTATACCCTCACCGGAGTACTGTGATACGAAGATTTATATATAAGAAAGCAGGGCTTGTATAAATCTCCTGATTACCACCCTGACATGACTCGGTGATTCCGATCTCACGACATGGAAGGCAGAGTTCACCTGATTCAGGCCTCAAACCAGTACTTGTACATCAGCAGATCTAGGGTAGACCATAGATTCTACTATTCTACTCTCCTATATAGTTATTTGTGCTCTCAAATCTAAAATCGACCCCGATTGGCTGGCCTTGGTGTAACCATGGTGCTAAAAACAAATTAGAGAGACACAAAAATAGCTTAGAGTCGTGAGAAGCTAGACGATTGATGCTACCTTCGTGCTATCTTTTCGTATTGTGGGACAAATATACCTAAATAGTATATCTAAATCTAAATAGTATAAGCTTCCTCATTGTAATCATGAAGCGTTTCTAATATTGGTTAGAACTGCATACCGTATAGACAAAGAATTACTCCCGAGATAAAGGAATTCCGGGAAGGGAGATAACATGGATGGACAAACACTCACAGCTAGAATTAACTGCTATATATATAAACTCATAGATCAGCAGAACGTGAGAACTTTATTCAGAAATAGCTAAGTAGGCACTAATATAATACAGCTACAGTTACATACTCATGCCAGAGGTTTTAACGATTAACGTAAATAGGCTAGACAGTATTTTTTACCCCTTTCCTAAGCTTTAGCTAACATATGTGGACAAACAGATAGCCATTTCCTGACTATAGCGGTCGGTCGGAGGCCGCGCCGCACTGCACTTATATTATATATAATACTAGCTGACGGGTATATAGCTGGGCAATGAGCACTGAAGGTACAAACATTGTATACGTATATGCTTAGAACTCATTCTATTTGGAAAATACTGTAATGTTTCTTACATTTTGATCGACCAGTATATATGTACTTTACTGAGTATGTTTGTGGACGTATCGATTCCTCATGTCCAGTCCTCGCCTTGCATGTGGTTACACGTATAGTATACATACGCGAGCGCGTATTATGGTCGGGCTTGTTCCAGGTAAGGTACGAGAGCTACATACCATTGCAGCCCATGTTATGAACCACATGTAGTTTTAGTCAGCCTCATATGTATGGCAGGGACTCTGGTTGACAGTTGTCCATGAAATATTGACACGTATGATTTACTTTACATAGTTCTGCATTCGATTGTATGAGAACATTAAGACTTAAATTTCGTTGTGGGGTATACTTTTTTTATATCTAAGTAACTATATACATCTAGTCAAGCTGGTTGAGTAGAATGGATAATACTTCTAATCAAGGCTATGCGGTTAGAGAGTCGTTGATCAGGCTTTTGGGGATCTACTCCTTAGAGAAGCCCTGCAGTGAATATCTGGCACAATAAACTACATGTATCGTCCCATACAGAAGACAATAAAAAACCTGTTTTTAGGTTATAAAAACAAGGTTCCGGAAAATATGGTTCCTATTGTTGGTTGAATTAATATTACGACTCGATCTTCCCGTCTATCGACATGGTAAGAATGTCAAGAAGGAATGTATGCATGGGTTGCAGTTCAATTCACATGACTCGAGTTCGTGGGATATGAACGTACGTACAGCTACAGACCCTCTGCCCGTCTTTCCGAAATTTGAAAAACATCCGGGTCCGCTTTCTGGCTTGTTTATCACAATGAGCTACTCTCAGGAGATCTATTTTCTAACAACCAGCTAATTCTCGCAAATTTATCCACAGCCCGGCTCTTACTCGGGACGCGCATCACCACGGCTCAATTGCAGAAGACTCGCATCGACAGCTAGGTTGAAAGTCTTCACATAGATCTAGAAGATTTGGTTGGAATGGATCCAGTAACGGCGATTACGGTACTTAAAATCGAAATCTCCAGTTCCTAAGCTGATATGCTGCTCTTACACCCACGCTCACGCCTCAGCTCCCGGTGCTTCTTCCACGCTCTACTCGTAGATTCATGACGTTTCCGAACACGACCAATATTGCATGACATACAAAAAGGTGGATTTGGCGCTTTTTTGTATGGCATGCAATAGCAGTCGTGTTCGGAAACGTCATGAACCTACGAGTATACTATGTATGTATGTACATACTTGAACGTCGATCTGCATATGGATATTGTGGGAATAGAATAACGTGCGTGCATTGGTAGTTATATCCACCTCCACATTGGTTCTAAAGACTTTATGACATACATACTATTATTAAGTGCTAGAAGACACGCCCAGCACAAGCCTCTTTGAGCGAGCTCGAGTACGTACATACATATCGTTATATATAAGCTACAACGTAGTCTCTGGAAAGTCCCACGTATCCCTAACTCATACTCAGCTTCGTCTCTGGCACTAAGTTGATTTCAACAGGAATAGTTCTCTCAATGTTGAAATCAACTCCATACACTACATGGAGAATCACTTCAGGTAGTCAAGTAAACACAACAGGCTCTAATATTTGGGCATGCGCATGTACGACACCCTAAACTTCTCAAAATTCAAAAATTAATTCTAGATATAGGTAGATTTCTCCAGGAACCCAAAACATATTCCATGTTAAGTCTATTAGCATGCATTGTTATTCTCACCTTTTCGATATCGCTCAAAATCCTATTCTTGAACAATCAATCAATACAAGAGCCTCTTAGCCATCAATCAACGGTCGAAAGCAGAGTTCTTTCAACCTCAAACTTAATGGTTTTACGAAACCGATGCATATTCACAATTATGCCTAAGTCTGCTTTACGAAAATGGTGTCAACCTGACTTCCAAGCTCTTCGTGACCACCAGAGTCAGGCTTCGGTCAGTTCTTCAACACAAAACTTATCCTCGAGCCCAAGTTCTTTCCCTATCCCGCAGGGTAATCAACCAGAACTCGAGAAAACAAGGCCCTGGAGTAATTTCGTGGATAGCGGATTGCTTAGCGAGGATTGGCAAGCAGAGGACGACGACGATAGCTATTATAAATCGCAGATTCTGAATGCCTTTGGGCTAGAGCATGTTCCTCAAACACCGATTCTCTGGCAGCACAGCACGGATACACTCGCTGTGCTGTGTACCACCGGGGTTTACGGGTTTGGAATCGACTTTGAGTGTGGGTTCTTAATATCAGATACTGTTGAAGGGGCTATACAGTACATGACAGTCTACGGCACACGGCAACAAGGCCCAACAAGGAGAGCACACGGGTTCTACGACGTTACCGCGGATGATATCTTCGGAAATAAATTCGGAGATGACCTATTAAATTCAGACGGATATTACGACTCTGGGTTCGAGGACTGCTCGGATGACGATGAGTTCTGGGAGTCAGGAGTCGATATCCGAGTCCTTTCAAATGTCGCCCTTGCGTAATCCGCGGTGTCATACATCCAACAAAAAACTTCACTCTTCGAGTCTCTGCGAGTGAGGATACAGGAGCCATCATATGGGTCTAAAATGTATTGGATGAGGATAGAAGAAGGAGGAGAAAAAGAAGTTGTAGCAAGGGAGGAGAAAAGATCTAGTTCCAGCCCCCCTTCCTTCGAGAGCTTGTTACAACCCTCGAGGCATCACCTATCACCTATCACCAGAAATTTATTTTCTTGTAGTACTTATGCTGGCTCGACACCATATTGTTATGGCTCCCATTACGATAGCGCTGGTTTGAATGAAATCTAGCCTGCACTTCAATATTTTATTAGTTTAGATTGGAATTTTTTCCTCTACTCATCACTACGATGCTTACTTTCTTTTTTTTCCCTCTCTTTCTTTTCTTTTTTTAATGCAGTCGTTCAGTGCGCCCATAATTAATATTCAAAAGCACAAAAGCCCGATTCAAGGGCGGGAATGAAGGTATCAACGATCTTGTATCATGACCAAACGTCTATTCAAATCAACGTACAAGACGGCTGAATTTCCAGTACGAGGAAAGTGTACCTACAGGAGTTTCAACGCCTCGTGACGTCTAGCCCCATATTCGAAGACAAGCCAACTAGCTGCATGGTATTTATTCAGACACCACGCATGCATGTTAGCAGAGTACTCCAGTCTAATAAGTGCAGTATAAAGTACATTACTACATGCTGCATCGCATGTATAGAAGAAGAAGACCTTAATTCTAGATCGCTTCCATAGGATTCCATGAATTAACTGTGACATCGATCGAATCTTTTGAAACTGGACGGAAAATTATACATACCTTCTTGGCATGCATAAAGGGATGGTTGATATAACGCAGAATCTCAGGAATAACGAATCGAACTGGACTGGAATATTTTGCTTCGGATTGGTCAAATGCTTGTTGAGCCTCAATCCAACAAACCCAAAGCGTAACTTTTGGTCATCTTGACCAATAGGTAAGTGGTATTCCAGCCCAGTTCGATTCGTTATTCCTGAGATTCTGCGGTATCGAACTACATGTATGTAGACACAAATGGCTTGCATACATGTACATGTGAACGATTACCGTAAATTATCGATGTTCGACTCAAAAAAAGGTTTGAGATAAGGTCTAGGCAGCTTTAGGAGAGTAAAGTTATTGAAGTTTATAGAGGACATTTTAGGATAAATACATATTATTTGTGCGTGCATATAAAATCATGTACTATTATGCTCGAGCTTGGTAATCTGACACATCTACTATTGCTTCCCTATCTAGTACAATACTCTAGCAGGGAGTACTCTAGTAGATCCGGAGATTAATTTTTAACGTTGTGGCACCGGTACGTACCGGTACCGGAATATACATTATGCCGCCAGCAGTCGATCTTTAGCGAATCTTGGCTTCCGTTCAGTATTATTTTATCCGTGACGTTTCCCCCACCAACCCTATTAACACCTACAACCAACTCTTTCGACCGGTTTATACTTGTAGTTGTCGCGTCCAGATCCATCAGAAACACGCAAGGAAGGGGTCGGTATTAAGTACTAGTTATTTTCCTATGCCTGGATATATGTACAGCGCCAGGTTGCTACGCCGCGCCTTCCCATGATTTAAGGCCTAGAACTATACCTACTCGCATATATATCCCGCAGCGTAGACAAGAAGTGCGTTCTATGGTTTAACCATAACTTCAAACAATCCCACACTAATATTTCTGCATACAATGATACACACCAAGAAGTCCATTAATTAGATCTAGACCATTCACCGATACTCCTTGGGGGTCGAATAACAAGGCTGTCCTTTCATATCTGCCGAAACACGTCCCCAGATAAAGTAGCCTCGTCAACTGTTAATTTTCCCCTTATCTACCTAGTTTCTGGGACCAGTTAACTAGCATTGGTATATCATGACCAGCCTAGCTAGGCTAAATAAGTTTTTTTCTTCCACACGTCGACCGATTGTCGAGAGCGAGTAGTTACACTAATGTTGTGTAATTACAAGGCAGTTTTGATTTTAAGCTTTACGTACCACTAGGTAATATATAAATGAGCCTGCGCAAAAGGTGAAAATCTAACATTTATTACCTTCTTTTCATATGATCACAATTAATTCCTGCAGAAAAGGTAAAAACGCAATGTACTTCCTGACCAGTTGCGAGGAAAAGAAGAGGTACTGACCTACTATATTCTATTAGAAGATTTTTTTGAGTCCTTAAAGACCCCTAGCATACCGGCACTGATGTTCAAGAAATAGCAACCGTAATACGCTGAAGCCAGGTAGCTATAGATTATATTTGTGGCCCACCTTATTTCGACAAATGTTTCTTCAAACCATCTAGTACATTAAACCTTTTTTGTAAGGGGGGGTGGGGTTGAACTCGAGTTCGTTTTCATTACTCCTCCGGTTGCGCTTAAAACAATATGGGGGTGTATTAGATTGGAAATCCAATCGTTCTCTGTGCATGTGGCAGGCTGAAAACACACAAATTGACTGCATCAAGTTCTAAGCGCATGTATGTGCATCCTTCATGGTGGTGATAGGCGAGATCGAGAAGGCCCTTCGCGCCCCCACTGCACACAACACATTGCCTTGCAGCAGAATCAGGTAGTACTGAGCCTCTCGGATCTGTTTTCAATAGCCCTAGTGGTAGAAGACCCACAGGTCTATCTGTACTGGGCTGAGACCGGAGGCTCACATGCACGCGGAGAGCAGGATTTTGTATTTCACTTCCGCAGACGCCGTATTCAACTAATGTTATTTGGAGTACCGCTATATGTGCATATGTAGGATGTACGTAGTGTTTAATCATAATGCCTAAGTGAGAGAGTCGCGTACATATACATAATAGCTGTTTGAACAGCGATCGGAGCGGGAGCTCACATCCGTTCGCTTAATTAAGACTCAAGAGATTTCACAAGGCGCGGTCTACCGGTCCATCGATTTTTATAGAATAAATGAGGCTTCGATAGACTGAAAATGTATCATAATGAGGTTATGATCAGAAATGATGCCGGCCGTAAGGTTGTTAGTGCGATTTGCAAAATAGACAACTTAAAGTCGGCGCTGTAACCAGCGCAAGGAGCATCCGCAAGCCGGGCCCGCGGGACAATATCCAAGATAGAGCTAATTGACCCATCAAACGTACGTTTAAACACGACCCCCTATGGTGTGGCTGGTATTGGTAACCAGCTGCCACATGTACTTGATCTGTCAGTTCAGTCTGACACACATTTGGGTAAATACTGGTATGTATATATGGTCTTATATGTAGTAGAGTCTTTTAGCTGTGCAAATTGAGCTTGAAGTGCTCGACTTGTTGTTCAACTCCTGCAGCTAAAAAACCTCCAGTCCCATTATATATATTACCGGTTGTAAGTAAGGCATTAATGAGACCTTTTATCAATTTGACGTAAACGCTGGAGCATTTGATTGGCTGGTAGGTGTAAAGGGGGCCCCGGGGGGGGAAGGGGGGCGGCAGAGACTTCCCCATTGAAGGCCATAATTCCAAATACTACAATTTGAAGTCAGAATTAAAGGTGGTACTCGTCTATTCATAGCGTTTGTGAACACCACCGCTATTGCATGCCATACAAAAAGATTGTCTTGGCTATTTTTTGTGTGTATGTAATGCCGGTTGTGTTCACAAACGCTGTGAAAACACGAGTATATATGTACACTAAATATGTAGTTGATTGTGGGGCTCGAAGCTCCGAGTGATACTCCATGATTCAATTCATGGAGCTTCGATCGGCGGCTGTGGTACTTACTGGTATATGTAGTTCTATAGAATCACACAGCCACATGCACACAGGCAAAAACTAGTCCTGTGCCCAGCTTGTGGTATGATTCTCCAAGTTGACAAGGCACAAGACTAGTTAAGTTAAGTGTATTTGGCTGCAGTCGACTACTAGGCGCAGAGAAAAAGCATACAGAAAGACTAAAGAGTGATGCGTGTTTGGATTTTATATGTATATGGGGCCAGAGTATTCGGGATTTGGAACCACTTTAGCTCTGCATATAAGTAGTTGAAATCATGCAGGAGTTACATGTACTCGTACTTTCGTGACGTTTGTAAAAGGAACCACTATTGCATACCATACAATTACGCGCCAAGTCCACAATTTAGTATGGTATGCAATAGCGGTTCCTTTTACAAACGTCACGAAAATACGAGTATAGGTACATGTATGTGCATGTATGCGGTTGAGCCGCATGAACGAAAGGGCAAGCTTCGTACTCAAGTCACAAATTTATTATGACTAATTGCAATTAAGCTAAGTGGCAGCTCCAACCCTAATGCATACATAACGATTTACATGAAGGTAATTGAGTACCGCAGAAACTCGCCAACTTGATTATCTCCGTGCAGGGATTTCTTCATTGATGATTGGCTGAAAGGCAGAGATCAGCTTCAGATATTTCTTCTACAAGTTAGTTTTTGGTCAGATCCGCTAGCAAAGTTCGTGAGTTTTTGCGGTACTCTACATATACGTATGTAAATACATGTACGTGTAGCCAGTTCTAGAAGTTCACTAAGGGTTCCACATGATAAGTAGGGAATTTCGAAATTAAAACTACTGCACTATTAATTTCCGGTTATAATTATGAATTCTTTTAATTTAGTGACTTTATGATCATTAGTATCCACGAATTTGAAGATACATGGCGCTCGGCGGCGCGCGACCTTTGCCTTACTTCACCAAGCCTTAGGGCGCCATTGCTTCGAAATATTTGTCTACCGAGTTTTCCTCATATGCCTATATAATCACTTTTCATATCCATATACCCCCCCGGTCAAGTCCGGTATATTGCATTACACCATGCAGCACAAGAGAAACCGAAAGGGTACCGACTTATGTGGCCCTAGTAAAAAATACATGTACCAATCTGTGACGTAAACGTCGACAAAGGTTGACCGGCGCCCAGGTTATCCGGGGAAACGCATATACGAATCGAGAGCTGTGAGCCGACACAATTAAGGGTTGTGCTTTTAGATTTTTAACTGCATTATGTACTAATGCGAAAAAACTTTCATTTCACACGTGTGAATGTATGTCAAGACAAATGTATGTGTATAGCTGATCATATATGCAACTATAAGGTGTTAATGCTAATTGCATAGATGTTTGTATGTATAGATATACGCGTACAGCTGCATTCGAAAAGTACTGGCACCCTACTATATTGAGTCGTTCATGAATTGTAGCCACCAAAATCCATGGCACTCGCGCATACTCAACTTATTGATAGGTATGACCGCAATAGAGTCATGGCAGCTCTCTCTGGCAATTATCTCGAATATGAGGGTTGAAAAGCAGAAAGGACTGCCTCGTGAGCTTGGCTCGGAGGTGCCAATACTTTTCAAATGCGGCTGTACGTGTAGAATACAACGTAGAACAAGTATATCCACATATATGTCTATTCATGCATAATAAATGAGATTTGTAGACCGCATATACGATATATTCTCTGTACGTATACTTACATGTCGATCTCAAAACCTACATATACCATCGATTCAGTGTTGAATTCTCAAAAGCGTAATATATAGATCATGGTTTAACAGGAGCGGGAAAAGGGTTATAATCCTCGTCAATAGGATTCACCCTACTAGGTGTGCTGCTGTATCTAGTTCTCTTTCTCTCTTACCCTTCTTACCTTTGAATCAATCATTTATCTATCCGTGCCAACAACGTATATATATATCGGCGGATCGCTTACTTGATCATGAACTGAAATCAACTACTCATGCCGGTTTGTCTAGCTAGATCTACTTATAATTATAAACACGTACATACTGAGATAAAGAATTTGATCCGTTGCACATACGTCATGTGTATGACAATAGAATAAAAGATTATATAATCAATTAGTAGGACGGATTAAATACCTATCGATTTGATAATTGCTTGATTGAGTGATAATTCATAAAGAGGTAGACAAAATCAATCGGTAATAACTTTATATTTAGAGTGTAGATAGAGGTTAAAGAAGTATATGAACAGTTTCAATATATACCTATCCTGCTTGCATAAAGTTTCTAAAGCGGTCTAACATAATCAATATTACCATTAGCTCTATCATTGGTACTACTAACCATTGCTGTGCATGCTCATGGATCTCTATCAATTCTAAGGCCGATTTAAGGGTCGGGGTGCCACGTTACGATCGATCATGCACCCAAATTCTTTAAAAGATGTCAGCTAGCTCAAGATAGGGAATGATATATATATTATGACATTTTAGGCATTTTAATCGACTCGCGAGAAGGGCAAGAAGACGTTATATTAACGATAAGCTAGGCTAGTTCTAAGCATCTTTATAGCTAACCATGATTAGCTATGATTTCAACAGCTGATTAATAAGTATTCATGTGTGTAAATACTTGCACTTGATGTATATATATATATGCATGTCCATACGTACGTACTTGTACCTACATACATGTAATTTTGATCATACAATGTCATGTAGCACTAGTACTACACCAGTCAGCTGCATGAAATTAAGTACATATCATATGCATAGTTGTAATGTTTGGAGAAATCGATCAAAAGCTAGTGAGTTGAACATTGGTATTAAATCTGTTGAATGCACATATATAGCGACGTATAGTGAAGAGTGCAGTGTGTTTACGGTGTAGCGCCGCGGCACGTGCAATATATAGCGGAGTCGACTGGCACATTAAACAGGGTAAACAGCACCATCAAACGTAATCAGAAATAAATAATAAAATCAAAATGTGAAACCCTAACACAAAATCCTCCACAACCCGCGTAAAAGATACGATCGATGAGAGATAAGAAACCCCCCAAATACAAATAAGTAAACCACCCAAAAATCACAACAACCAACCCTAGCCCCGGTCCCTCACCCTGGATCCTAAACTCGAACCCCGTCCTTACGGTCATGTCACATAGCCAAACACTACTCCCAAACGTTCCTATCATCGACATTAAAGACACCCCCGACCCCGAAACCCCGAAACCCCGAGCCCCGCCCACCGTCACACACCACGATCAGAAAATATGGTTCACAAAACACGAACTCGAAACTCTTGCTAGAGCGAGAGCTTTAGTTGTTTGCTTCTTCGCCATTTGTCTGACGTGCGAGCTTGGATGAGATATATCCCAAAAGGCCACCCCGACGCCTTGGTGTACCACGAGGTTCGGTCTCGGTAGTTTCGTTTTCTCGCTTCCTTGGGAGCTTTGTTAACACCTCTTGGTCCCCCTTGGCCGGTCCGTCATCTTGTGGTGTGGTCGAGACAGGGTTCGAATTCGCGGTGTCCAAGATGTCAGCAATGTTGACATCCGTAATTTCGTTCAGTGTAATGTTGTATTTGGCTTTGATGGCACATGCCACAAGGCAACAGGTGTCACAAATCCCTTTTGTAATTTTGGATGTGCTTGAGTTCGAACGGCTGTACCGGTATCTTGGACCGAGTTTGATGCTATTCAAGTGCTTGCCCTGTCCCAAGGCAATGGAGTAATAGCAGTCACCAGGACGATTGTGAAGAATTTGTAGCATAAGTTGAAATCCCCATGCCTCTGCACAAGCCCCTACAAGATTTTTGCATGACACATTTGAGCGTTTATATTTCGTGCAGAATTCGTTCCATGTTTTTTCAGTTACCGGCTTTCCTGAACTTGCACAAATTTTCTTGCCCCGAGCTTCGAGGTCATCAGGGTCTGGCAGACGGCCATCCGGCTTTAGCAGAATTTTAAGTGGATTATCGTCTGTATCGAAGAGATCGGGATTTCCGGGAAGCGCTTGATATAATTGATTCCTTCTCGCGTCTACCAACATTTCGACCACACGGGTACGAATATACTCGAGATCGGGCGTGCCAGTCTTCAAATCCACTACCTTTCCAACACTGAGTAGAAAGATATTCCTTTGGCTGGTTTCTGTATAAAAGACGCAGTAGACTGGAGGGTAGAATTTGTTTGGGGCGAGACAACCACTCATCAATTTCGACCATTTGGCAAACAAAACATTGATGTTTAAGGCGTATCCTTTGGCGGGTCCAGTGGTGGGGTCGTAACGCGGGAGTTTACAGTTCAAAATTACGGCAAGGGCGTCCCAGGAAGAATACATCTTAACAGTCATCTCATGGCCATATATAGTCATTGTGAACTCAATCGGGTCTAATATGTCCATTCCGTTATAATTAACGGGTCCGGGCTTGAGTCGTAGTGATATTCCGTCAGGTAGACCTGCTTCTCCGCTTTCCTCTGGACCGGGTTTGGAGACCTTGCTACTTAAAGTTTAGATCAAATTACTCTTTTCATCTTTGGTACGTTATACACGAGAATGCCAATACTTACAAGTGATTTTCGAAAAACTTATCCCAGAGAATTTGATGCTCCCCCCTTGTAGCGTTGAATAACCATTCCTTTATGTCCACAATCCCCCAATCCGCTGCAAGGTGGATTTCGAACGGCGTATGGCTGGAGTCTGCGGCCACCGCCGGCTCGGATATGTTACTCATTCCAATAGTTATAGCTGATGCAAAGCGATTTCATGGGCTACAGCAGAGGTATATTCAAAAGGAGGAGGAATTGATGTTAATTGTTATAGCTGGCACAATTAATTAAGATCCATTTGGACAAAACTATATATACTTGAGATAACACTGGAGACTTTATATCCACTCTTCCCTTGTTATAAGTCTGTTGAGCGATTATAGATATCATGGCATGATTGGTAGCCATGTGAACTGATAGATATTGCTTGATACCGCGATAAATATCAATTGTCATAGCCAGCAAGCATTACACATACGTGTACTTCGAAGATTAATTATTAGCTAGCGCTAGCTACGCAGGTTAGTTGCGTTAAGCAGGTCTAAAGGCCTTAATCGATGAAGCTTCGATCTCGATTCGAAGAACGTTCTCTGAAACCTAGGCCTTCTATACACTGATTGCTTCCAAATTTCTCTCATGCATTGAATCGCGCAAATTGGCTTCATTTCCTATATTCACAGTTCTTTTAACAACATTACAGACCCAAACTACCGGTCCAGTGCGCAGCCGATGGTGTCCGACGAAGTTGAAATGCGATGCAGATTACTTACATATGTAAAGCTTTTTGAAATCTCAGCAGATGCTACCCGCAGCTGTACCTGTATTATTATCGGCTCCCACGATATAGGCGCAAGACGGTCTCCAAAAGTAGAAACTTGGTACCCTCAATTGGACAGTACTTCATTATTATTTCAAAGGCTGAAAATGAGTAGACAAATGGCTATTTACTGTGTAAGATCCCTTCGATCGGCACGTGCACGTGCATACGTACGTGTGGTATGTAAGTTTAATAGTAGTATTACGTAGCTAAGATAAAGACCGAACAACTGTACAGCTCTCTACATGTACAGCCTCTCTCTGTTATTTAGATTTGAAATCGTTATATGTACGGTAATATATTTCGGACCATCCATATAGGTCTCAAATCATATATGGTAAATCTAGATAAAGCTGGTTAAGATAACTCTATACGACAATTTCAAGAATACGTTGGTACCATCGCGCGATTCACAGATCGCAACCTAGGAGTTGACGCGAAACACACCCCTTGGAATTAGTAGATCTCGAACCGTAAAATATAAAATTGACCTAGCTAGAGGTACATACATGCTTTAGCCTAACAAGTTATTCTTTAATTACACAGCCTGTACGGTTTTCTCTAGCACTTACTCTAATAGACATAGCTAGCTAGCTGTAGTATATCAAATAGCGCCCCTGTGCGTACGTTGTGAGGCTCTTAAAGCCTTGCTAATAATGTAGAAGATTCCCACTCATTAAGGAAGGTTTTGCCAAGGTTCGGTCTGGAAACGGGGTACATATATGTATATACATGAATGCAGGTATATAGGTAACTGACCAGCTACTATAACGTGATATAATATGAGTGCATACATACATAAGTACGCTTATATACGTAGATATGTACGATAGCATTAATCTACACAATATGTCATACAAGCTTTGAATCGAGCTGGGCAAAGTGCAAGCTGAAAGAACAGTTTACCACGCCCGGAACCAATCGGCTTCGTTCCCTAATTTCCAACTAAATTTGTTAATGGCACCTCGTATATGATGGTTTAATTCTATGACATGATCCTGCTTCATAATGCTGTTAGCGCTATATGTATAGATCCTGCGATCGCTCTTGCATGATCTGCCGATATATGATCAACATACATCATCAGTTATCACTCGCCATTGGGCTTCTCAATTAATTGAGGCTCTAAGGATGTGGAGACAAGGCTGAGCTACTAAACATCATGTAGTGTGTGCATATGTTGATGTTTTGTGGTTCCACACATGCAGTGTGTGTTTGCTGTCGACGTCTGCATGCAGCATGATCAGAGCGTTTTCGTGTAACGTCCCAGGTCCACCAGTAAATCACTAATTTGGGGTGATGCTAAATGTGACTGGCCAAACATGTTACCTGTATACGTATCCTCTGTATTGGAAGCACATATCTCGTTGGTTGTGTGCGTTGTTGTCATTAAGATGTCGATGTCGTCGCATGTTGTGTGAAACAATGCCAAGCCGATCAGCCATTTCAGCAATTTATATACCGAGTGATAACTCATGAAGTAAATTCATGCGATGATGTACCCGCATTAATCAGGGCTGTCAAGCTTTCAAACCCTTTACATATTTTTCTTGAGGTTAGATAAATAGTTACGTCCGGCCATTGATCTTTGCATGGGTTACAAGTAACCTATAACCTTATCATCCCATCAACCGTAGCAACCGAGTTAAGGACCCAATTGGCCCCACTTGAAATAAAGTAACCTTTCCTAAATTCACAGCAACATCAGCTCCGTGAGTACTATATTAGGAGCTTTTATTGGGATCCTTTGATAAACTTTCCCGCTTCTTTGTTATTAGTGAATAGGGCTGATTTATATCGTTTTTGTGTTTTTATCGAGGTTGGAGTTGCAAAGTACCCAATTGGAACCTCAGGCTTCTACGGTTCATGGGATGGGGTTATAATCTATAATGATATGTATATATAATCATGAAAAACCTCGGCCAAATCAAGCCATCGACATGGGCCCTGTATACGAGTATATATATATACATGTATACACATTTTGAACTAGAATATATGCCATCATTGGAGCTAGAATGATATACTTGCTAAGAAGCTCAGATTAATTGGAGGCGAATAGCCTCTAGCTCTATGAGTTATTCCATGGAGATGTGCATGCTTTTCTCTTTAATCAGGTGTATAGTATGCTATATATATATGCCTACTAGCTATCTATATGGCTACCTCGAGACGCATGCACCTCGGCCTTGTGGGCTAAAGTATACGTTGAAAAATAATGGCACGAGTTGTTACATTAATTCACGCTATGAGCCTTCTGTTGAAAAATATCAGCTCCTAAATTCACAGCCGATCATAGTCAGCTCAAGTTTAATAACGACGGGCTTACATACCTCTAGCCAAGCTGCTCGAAGTGAGAGCTGACTAATCAATCATCACAGAAAATCACTCGACCATAATTTCAACAAATGCTTCCAGTATCAGGAACTGGGAGGTACTGGCATAATTGAGGATGATTATGTATTCGGGTCATTGACACCCAGTTTAGTTGTAAAAGCTCTCAAAACCTCAACCCCTAGTACAATAAGAAGTGGCCCACAACCACTCTCCTTTGACTTATCCCTTCGTCTGGCAAAAAATGCTGCCCACGTGACCCCCCAAAAAGCAAATTTTATTTGTTGCTTTACTAACAGATGTCGTTATTTCTCTTATCTAATAATAGATCTCCCATATAAATCTAATACCTGTGTTATAAGGTGGGCAGCATTGCCAGACGAAAGGATAAGTAGGCTCGGAAGCTCTTAAGATGAAAATAAGTCTACTCTGATAATACATGGTCAAACGAGGCCGTTAGCTGGCTCGAGTTTACTAACTACAGTTTCTATACTGTACAATCATTATAAGCACACCAAATTAAATCGAAAATGATAACCTCTGCATCTGTATTCATATTTGATGCATGTCAATATCAAGCACTTCTTCAGGCTGGCAAACTATAAAGCTAGTACACTAATCTTCTATTGAAAACACCATAAAAATCCAGGTTTTAATACGATCTAGCTGTACTGGACCACATATCAAAGCCTCGCTAGCTAAGGACAAGAGAAGAGGTTCGGTATATAGTTATCATCACGAGATATCACTCGAATAAAAGTTTAACAGGTTCATGGGGAATAATGTGTTAGGTGTACTTGATTTGAGGATGGATAGTCTAAAGTCTTGCAGTTATATGTTTTTTTTACGTGGAGCTGATTGTACTATCAACTGTTCGATGGTTTTAGCATTAATTAGGTCGGATGATATTCGTTTAATTAAACATATGTACAGCCGCATTTGAAAAGTATTGACACCTCCGAGCCAAGCTCACGAGGCAGTCCTTTCTGCTTTTCAACCCTCATATTCGAGATAATTGCCAGAGAGAGCTGCCATGACTCTATTGCGGTCATACCTATCAATAAGTTGAGTATGCGCGAGTGCCATGGATTTTGGTGGGCTACAATTCATGAACGACTCAATATAGTAGGGTGCCAGTACTTTTCGAATGCGGCTGTACATTCTAGTTTGAAAGCCGCAATATAGACTATAATGTATAACTACTAGTTTTAAACGATGTAATCCAAGTGATAAAGGTAATGATTTCCTAAAATACAACAGAAATCTGAAGCAGGAACTTATAAGAAGGCCTCTCTGTTCTGACCACCTATTCCCGCCTAACTTTAGCTACTCACACACATACAGCTACGTTTCCTCCGCTGAAACCGCTTGTACCGGTTAAGGAGTCATAAATAACGTCAACCAAAACGACACACGCCACTACGACAAGCCGACGCCCAAAAGAGCATATAAAGTAATTACTAAGCTATCACTCGATCGGCTCCTTCGCTTAGTCCATCACAAGGGTTATTGTACGTAGTGTGGAGGTGTAGTTGTTGGGGGTGTTTACCCTCCGATGTTTTAAACTACTGGCGGAAGCTGAGGAGATTTGTCTGGATGATATATTTCCATAATATGTATTTGCTATCGATGTCGCGATTCATGTTCTGACTGTAGAGTATACATGCAATTTTTGCTAGAATGAATTCCCGGCCCGCCATGCACTATGTACTACGCCTGTGACGGTAAGTCTGTAGACAGGTGGCGGTGACACACAAGCAAATGTTCAGAGATCGTCCCCAATGCACCGCCACCTGTCTACAGACTTACCGTCACAGGTGTAGTACCGGGTGTTGAGGGTAAGTGATCAGAATCTGATAAGTGAATGCTGCGGTGAATACGTGTATTTTTCTTATCAGATTCTGATCACTTTTCGCTATACCCAGTACATAAGTTCTTGTGAAAAGTGGCGGCGCATGCATGGCGAAAACCTATCCTCGAAATAAGTATAGGTAAGCAATGAATAAGACCCTGCTCGACCACGCGTTGATAGAT